CACATGCCTAACACATGATGTTGAACAAGCGCTAAATCAAGGCATGACTGCCTCACTCCTTACCCTAGATGTCAAAGGCGCCTTTGATTCCGTGCTTCCCGGCAGACTGATCCGCAGACTACGCGAGCAGGGCTGGCCTACCAATCTCGTTCTCTGGATAGCGTCCTTTCGTTACTGGAAGATCAGTTCAGATCCGACTCGATGGAGAGATCGGCCCCTCAACAGACATTGCCTGCGGTCTTCCACAAGGATCCCCAGTATCTGGCATTCTTTTCATGCTCTACATAGCGCCCCTATTCCGTCTAGGAAACCCAAGGAACAGATTTGGTTACGCGGACGACGCAGCCAACCTGGCGATCTCAACTTCTCTTGCTACTAATTGCGAAGCCTTATCAGACTCACTTCAAGAAGCTCTTAATTGGGGCACTGCAGAGGGCATTACATTTGCACCAGATAAATACGAGCTTCTTCACTTCTCCCGACATAAAGCAGACCAGGACCCAACCCGCACACCTTCAGTGAAAGCTGGATCTATTACAATATCAGAAAACACCAAACGGCTATATCTACGATGGCTAGGAATCCTCTTTGACAAAAAGCTAACGTTCAAATGGCACGTTAGAGAAACAGCATCTAAAGCCCTCACTGTGGCCAACGCTCTTCGCTCTCTAGGGAATACTGTTCGAGGAGTCAAACCTGATTTACTACAGCAGGCTGTATCAGCCTGTGTACTCCATAAAGCATACTATGGCGCAGAAACCTGGTGGCCAGGACGTACTCGCCCTGGACCTTCCCAGATTTCAAACCGAGTTGGAGAACATCTTGAGAAACTAACTAAAGTAATACTAACAGGCGCAAGAGCAGTCCTTCCAGTCTTCCGCACAACCCCAAAGCCAGTCCTTTATCGAGAGTCTGGATTCTCTCCACCAGAAATCGAACTAGATCGAATAGCCCTCCATGCAACTGTCCGCCTACGGCGTCTCGACCCTTATCACCCACTTCGAAGACGCGCAGAACAGATCGCTAGTAATGGCCGACAAACCAGCCGATTTGCCCGCCGTACACTGGCCCTCCCAAACTCTGAACAGATAAACCCTCTCCAATACGCTCCCTGGCACCCTCGCGAGCCACGCAAGAGTGCCCTAGCCCGAATAGGAGCTCCTATGGGACGCACTAAGGAACAGGCAGCGGCTGATTTCACGGCTTTTCAACGCACCATCCCTAGCTCGGATATTGTAATCTTTTCAGATGGATCTAGGCTGATAGACGGACGTGCAGGGGGTGGCTATATTGGATTTCAAGCACACCATCAGTTCCTCCGCTCCTCACTCTCATACGGACATGGGAAAGAGGTCTTTGACACAGAAGCAGAAGCTGCCCTAGCTGGTGCTCAAGCAGCAATAACATACCCAACAGCTCAATTTGCTACCAACCTATGGATCTGCCTTGACAACCTGGAAGTTGCCACGCGCCTCCTATCCCCCTCTACAGGATCCTCCCAAGAGGTCTTTGAATCCTTCCGCACCCTTGCAGCCGCCTGGCCACTACGCGAAAGGCTTCCACACACCAAAAGTGGATCAATCCAAATCCGATGGGTCCCTGGACACGCTAAAATCCCTGAGAACGAAGCGGCTGATCTCGCTGCCAAAGAGGGAGCTGCCTCAACCCCTCCTGCTCCTCAGAAATCCTCATACGCCTCGCTAAAGAGACACGCCAAGACTCAATCCCTATCCGCTGCTCAGTCACAATGGCAGAAGTGCACCACAGAGTTATCAAGATCTAGAAATAACTACTTCTCCTAAGCGCCCTGGGAGCTTCAACTCAACCGACTTGACTTGGCCGTATTATTGCGGCCCGTACTGGTCATGGAGACTTTGCAGACTACCATGAACGCTTTAATCATGATGATGCTTATCTTCTCTGTCGGTGTAGAGCACGAAAAGCACCTCTACATTTCTTCTTCTGCCATATAGCTAAGAGACGAGCTCCTCGTCCACCTGGACCCCCTTCTGAAGTTATCTCTTTTCTTTTAGGTACTGCGAAAGGAACACGAAAACTAGCCTCATGGCTAGCAGAGACCCGTTTCTTTGAGGATATCTGTCCTCGCCAACCTCTCCTTAGCACCTAGCTAAGTCAGCCCTACTTCCCCCTTATATCTCTCTTTTCCTTCGTTCTTTCTTTCTTTCTTTCCTTCTTTCCTTCTTCCCTTTTTCTTTTCAAACTCACTGCTTAAGTATGATAGTGGTAGAATGATGGGTCATGGAGCGTAGGTGGACCATTGCAGCTGGCAAATACCCAAAACCCACTAGGAAGTGGATCTCCCTTTAAGACCACGGCAGCTATGGAAATGCGCCAAAGAGTCTCTTATCTGTATATAAATCTGATAGGACCTGAAGCCCGAGGCTTAACCCTCGGCGGCCTATGTCCCAGTAGGGATCGGTGGGAAGCGTGCAAGTCACGAACCACGGCCGTTAAATATACACACACACACACACACACACACACACTGACCGTCACACGTACAGCCTGGTGCCCGTACGAGTTAGAATGCCTTGCTGACTCTCACTGTTGTATTCAAGTGACTTATGTCAAAGAGCTATGAAGAACTAAATACATGATGGTAAAAGAGCGTCCTTATATATTCAGTCCTCCATGTTTTGTATATCATATATCGTATATCCACCCTGGATAGTCGGTATACGATATATAATACTTGTCCAATCATATCACGTAGTTTCGTATACTCTTATCCTGGATAAGATAACCGATATATCTTTCCTATCTTCACGTGACTTCTGTTCTCTGATTGCACAGTATATGTTACTGTCCATGACGGGTACTGACCTTTCCTTTGTAATTTGAAACCTTTCCTTTTTCGTGATAGTACCTTTTAGTGTCATGTAGTCTGGCTTCGTAACAGTCGTACTCTGATATCTCTTTCTGTCGCGGATTAACTATGTTCCAGAATCATGTGACCGCCGTAGTCGGCGGCAGCACGTGACCTGGCGGCATCGTCGAGGATTAGGTAAGCTAAACCTAATCAAGGAAAGCCTAAAACATGATACAAGGAAAATTCGAGAATTGAAGACACAAGATTGAGCCTACGAATCAGTTTTACAGCTTTATATCGAGAATCTTCTATTTGAGGTTGTCTGGATATCCTCTAGATGGGATTCTCAAGCATAAATAGTGTCCAACATCCCCTCAAGATGTAGATAGAAGAGAGTGCGCAGAATTAGGTCAATATCAATATTTCCCACTATAAAGACATCTTTGAGTATTGAGCACTGAGTTTGTGCTAGTGCATAGCAAGTTCCAATAGGCATTTCTGTTGGGACATCCTTCCTAATTGGGTTTAGCGCTCAGACTTAGTCAGCCAATATATATAACCTCTAGTTAATTATAACTATATGAAGTCTACATTTATCTATGTTCAGTATGCATCAAATCGGCAGAGATTCCCTACCGTGTCCTTGCTAGAAGGCAAATTCCTATCGTCTTTGAGAAAGTTGCCGTGCGAAACGGTCTGACGAAGAAATCAAGGGCCGCGTTTAATGCCGTACTTTTCGTAATCGAATTGTTCCAGACTGGATATGCTTTCAGCCCAGCCATCATCAATGTCTCCTGGTTGCCAGCCGTCTCCGACGTTGAATATTCCCGTCCTCCCAGCCAGCACATCTTTCTGCCTCGCTTGATGCTCTATCGCCACATCTGGATGCGGCACCCAAATAACCCTCATCCCAGCCCGTCTTCCAGCTTCAACCCCAGCCACGCTATCTTCAAAGACCAAACATTCGTTGGGCATGATGGGGGGGTTTCCAGAACTTACCGTCGAGTTTAAACACTGCAAAGCGACTAAATATATGTCAGGCGCCGGTTTTCCTCGACCCTGTCGTACCCGTGGGTCATCTCCCAGGACCTGCCTGTCAGCTTGGAAAAAGCTAATCAGCCCTTTTGTTTCCGGATTCGAGGTTTTTAATTTGTAGCTACGGGTCTTGGTGCTGGACGCCAGTGCTAGCTCAATTCTGTCTCCAGAACAAGCATTATGTGCCCGGCTGAGGTTTGACAGAAGTTCTTGTGCACCAGGCAATGGCTTGCAACTCGGAAAATGCCGGCGCATGTTTTCAGTCGATTCACGGGCGAATTGCTCGCGGGAGATTGGCAATTTGGCCCAGTTGTGAAACACGTCGCCGTTCGTTGAATCTGGGACGCCCATGAGCTGAGATCTAATCGACGAATCAAATACAGGCCTTCCGTACTTTTTGAAAAGTTCGTTTGTGGACACAGTGATTATGTCTTCGCTATTGATAAGAAGCCCGTCCATGTCGAAAATGCAAGCACGGATTGCGGGGAAACTGGTGCAGCCTCAGTCATCTACAACTAGTAATACCTATAATGTGTACTTACTCTGTTCTATGGGTAGTCATTGCATCTAAATGCAGGCCAAGTTTTTGACGCGCTATGGTCGTTTATTCAGAGGTCGGACCTGGCCATCGAACAGAGGAACAGAAGGGACATCTCTTTCGGGGTTTGAATTGGTATACTGTTGACAGAAAGTTCCTTCACCTGTGGAGTCTCCAGTGCCGCCTACCTACCGCATGTAGTTTAGCGCCGTTGGGATTTGGATATAATGTTGGGATTCTGCCCTTAGATAGTCAGCACCGCCTACCGGATGTAGTTAGCGCGCCGGTAGCTAGATATCTTCGCTCCTAGGAACCTAGGTTCCTAGAGACACACACACAACAGAGTCAGTTTTCCTGCTTCCAGCTCAAGATATAATCTCTCTCGCTAGCGAGATTATTACTCTTCCCAGCAGACACACCCATATCAAGATATACCCTACAACACCAAATCCCGATACCCGGAAACCGCTTCAGCTACCATGCTATCTTCTTAACACGCATTCACCAAATGAAGACTTTTGCGGCCGTAAAGAAATTCTAGAGCATCTTGCGGCCGAGCTCTTGCCTTCCAAAAGCGTAGTGACTGCATCAGGTACCACTCTGCGACAATTCGCTCTCTGCGGATTTGGCGGTATTGGGAAGACTGAAATAGCCCGTGAGTACTCCAGACGTCGCAAAGCCTCCTTTGATGCTGTATTCTGGGTCGTAGCGGATGAGATTGCAAAACTCGACCATCATTATCAGCAAATTTCATTGGCTCTTGGACTTGAAGATCCATCTCAATGCAAGAGTCAGGCTGTAAGCAGAAAAATTGTCAAAGGATAGCTCTCCAACCCCCGAAAGTATCTGTCGGGATCTGATGAGTCTGTTCAACCCGGCCACGCGGGATCAGACGCTACATGGCTACTCATATTCGACAATGCAGATGACCCAATGATCCTGGCGGATTATTGGCCTCAGGGTAGGGGATTGATTTTCATCACTAGCCGCGATCCACTAGCTAGAAGTATGTTTACTAGAAAATCTTTAGGTTTAGATCTCGGTCCCCTATCACAGAATGATAGCATATCACTATTCAACCAACTCACAACTATTTCCAACGAATCAGAAGAACACACAGTGCGACAAATTTCTGATGCACTTGGTGGCGTTCTCCTGGCCATCTCTCAGATGGCGGGTATCGTCCGTCGACAAGACCTTACTTTGCCAGAGTTCCTCGAGCTGTACACGGATCATGAGGAACATGCCAGTCTTTATGAGACAAAGTTCGATACTAATTTGATCACATATCGTCACTCGATTTCCACCGTTTGGGCATTTGAAAAGCTGAGGCCACAAGCTCGAAAACTGTTAGAGCTCATTTCATTCCTTGAGACAAGCAACAGCAGCAAATATCCGTTCATCGCATTGTACAAGATGCAATCTTGGCAACGATGGATGCTGCGAAGAAACGGTTCATTTTCAACCAGGTCGTACGGATCCTTTGGAAAGACTGGCCATCGGCTATGCCTAAGCCATCGAAAAAGCCAGAATTACCACAGCCAAAATCAACTGGAGGCAGGTTACATGTTGGAAGATGGCCTGTTGTCATCATGAATGAAAAAGTGTGTTGGCGTTGTGTCGAGATCCGGGTGGATAATGCGCGCAATAGGACACCGATGCAGAAGGTGGTAATCATTAGTTAACGTCGTGAATATCTTTATTTTGTGCGCATATTGGGATTATTTCTAGGTGTATTTGAGATTTCATGACTCTTTGCCTCTTTCTCAACGCCACTCCCATAGCCTAACCTATACCAAGGACCGGACGATACATCATCGTAAGACAGAGCATGTTGTTGGTCTAGAGTTTTAGCGTTGGGTATAATACGTCTCCGAAGGAAAAGTTCATTGGCGTTGAACGATCCAGTTGAAAGGTATAGACATTTTAGAAGACATGTCGCCATGGGGTGAAATAGTCATTGGCTCAGTGACCGGACCAGACTGGTCAGCTTCGGCTCACTGAGCATGTTTCTCAGCACATGCGAAGCTCGCTGATCTCTACAGAGTACTCAATGAGTAAAAGCGGCGAGGGGGTGAGCACTAAAACTGAACACGAAAGTCAAGACTCAAGAAGTATCAAAGAAAACGCGGTACACAGGTCTGACACCTACCCTAATTCGCGCGTAGGTATCTAAACCTAGACTAACATTCCAACAGCAACCTGTGGTACATTCAACTTGTCAGGTGTAGCTTGATGATAATTAATTACTTGTTTGGATAATCATCTGTTTCATATTAAGCCTAGTTCGTAGTAGGATGCGTCACGTGGCAAACACCATGGACTAGTCAATTGATCTGCTGTGAGAGTCGCTTACTCCCTTCCGATCCTGTACCGATAACTGCAATCCGGAGCATCCAGAAAGAAAGGAATATGAATTTGAGATTTGCCGCCCTCCTTCTGTCAGTTGCCCTGGCCTTCGCACTGCCCGATGACATCCTCTCCACCTGGCCGACGAGCACCGCCAACAACATTACCGAATGCAGCAACCCTCGCTCTAACGACTGTTTATTCTATGCTCAATGTCTCCAAACTCGCTACCGCTGTGCCCCGAGCGACTATACCCTCGGTTACGGGCAAAAGTACTGTGAAAAATTCCAAGCCGACGCTTCTCTCCTGTCGACTAAGGGTCAGACGTGGATGGAGACAGTCATGCTCTGCTTGCAACGGGACTTGGTACCGTACACCCTCGGTGGGCCGCAAGAGTTTGCCAACTGTTTGGCTTTGAATGATTATGCGTTTAGTACGCATCCGAAATGTTATGTACAGAGTGGGTTGTGCACATTACCCGTACACGATTGGGAGGTTATTGTGTTCCAAATCGTTGGTGTCGAAACCTTGTTTGATAGTTGGGATGCTATCAAAGCCACTGTGCAAGCTGCCAGTGGTTGTGCTGAGTTTTATTTATGGGCGATTGAGCACGGTATTTTCTGATCGATTATTTCCTACCGACTTAGAGGTATATGTCGATATCATATATGATTCTTGTACTACTTCCCCAGGTCGAGAAGTAGAATAAGAGGAGGCTATACTCAGAGTGGGATCCATTCAAATTGAACTCGGTATGTTGACTATCAACCTCTCAGAAAGTGGGTTCTCGTTTTGTAGCGCAAAGTAGAGCACCTGAGGTAAGGATGGAACCATTCATGCGATTATCGAGGGTGCGAAGCGCGTGAGTCCAAGCATCGTGCGCAACACCACAAACACAGCTACCAAACTTCCATGTTTGTCTAGAGAATTCACCCGGTGCATAGTTGTTACTGACATTTTTAACGATCAGACAGTGGCGGTCAATAAACTGCAAACCGACAGGTATACTATCCATAATGTCCCCAGCGATGCAAGCTTTTACATAGTTGCGATAGCTATAGAAGCCAGCAGCCGCTCATAAAAGTGGTGTCGGAACGTGAATATCAAACCCTACACGTTTCGGCACCGGATATAGTTAGTCCAACGTGGCACGTGCGTGCCGCGTATATATATCTAGCTAGTTATCCCCGGTCCCCTTACTCTTGGCCTATCAGTACTTGGCAAAGGACTGGAGCGCTTGGTGGCACGGAATATGGCATGGATCTCTATACACCATAAAGTATTAGCAAGGCAACAATTTGGGGCTCTCCCACTAAGATCTGCAACTGACCTGACCACATGCCTAACACATGATGTTGAACAAGCGCTAAATCAAGGCATGACTGCCTCACTCCTTACCCTAGATGTCAAAGGCGCCTTTGATTCCGTGCTTCCCGGCAGACTGATCCGCAGACTACGCGAGCAGGGCTGGCCTACCAATCTCGTTCTCTGGATTGCCTCCTTCGCTACTGGAAGATCAGTTCAGATCCGACTCGATGGAGAGATCGGCCCCTCAACAGACATTGCCTGCGGTCTTCCACAAGGATCCCCAGTATCTGGCATTCTTTTCATGCTCTACATAGCGCCCCTATTCCGTCTAGGAAACCCAAGGAACAGATTTGGTTACGCGGACGACGCAGCCAACCTGGCGATCTCAACTTCTCTTGCTACTAATTGCGAAGCCTTATCAGACTCACTTCAAGAAGCTCTTAATTGGGGCACTGCAGAGGGCATTACATTTGCACCAGATAAATACGAGCTTCTTCACTTCTCCCGACATAAAGCAGACCAGGACCCAACCCGCACACCTTCAGTGAAAGCTGGATCTATTACAATATCAGAAAACACCAAACGGCTATATCTACGATGGCTAGGAATCCTCTTTGACAAAAAGCTAACGTTCAAATGGCACGTTAGAGAAACAGCATCTAAAGCCCTCACTGTGGCCAACGCTCTTCGCTCTCTAGGGAATACTGTTCGAGGAGTCAAACCTGATTTACTACAGCAGGCTGTATCAGCCTGTGTACTCCATAAAGCATACTATGGCGCAGAAACCTGGTGGCCAGGACGTACTCGCCCTGGACCTTCCCAGATTTCAAACCGAGTTGGAGAACATCTTGAGAAACTAACTAAAGTAATACTAACAGGCGCAAGAGCAGTCCTTCCAGTCTTCCGCACAACCCCAAAGCCAGTCCTTTATCGAGAGTCTGGATTCTCTCCACCAGAAATCGAACTAGATCGAATAGCCCTCCTTGCAACTGTCCGCCTACGGCGTCTCGACCCTTATCACCCACTTCGAAGACGCGCAGAACAGATCGCTAGTAATGGCCGACAAACCAGCCGATTTGCCCGCCGTACACTGGCCCTCCCAAACTCTGAACAGATAAACCCTCTCCAATACGCTCCCTGGCACCCTCGCGAGCCTCGTGGGAATGCTCAAGCTCGAATAGGAGCTCCCATGGGACGCACTAAGGAACAGGCAGCGGCTAATTTCATGGCTTTTCAACGTACCATCCCTAGCTCAGATATTGTAATCTTTTCAGATGGATCTAGGCTAGCAGACGGACGTGCAGGGGGTGGCTATATTGGACTCCAAGCACACCATCAGTTCCTCCGCTCCTCACTCTCATACGGACACGGGAAAGAGGTCTTCGACGCAGAAGCAGAAGCAGCTCTAGCTGGCGCTCAAGCAGCAATAGCGTACCCAACAGCTCAATTTGCTACCAACCTATGGATCTGCCTTGATAACCTGGAAGTTGCCGTACGCCTTCTATCTCCCTCTACAGGATCTTCCCAAGAAATCTTTGAATCCTTCCGCACCCTTGCAGCCGCCTGGCCACTTCGCAAAAGGCTTCCTCACACCAAAAGCGGATCTATCCAAATCCGATGGGTCCCTGGACACGCTAAAATCCCTGAGAACGAAGCGGCTGATCTCGCTGCCAAAGAGGGAGCTGCCTCAATCCCTCCTGCTCCTCACAAATCCTCATACGCCTCGCTAAAGAGATACGCCAAGACTCAATCCCTATCCGCTGCTCAGTCACAATGGGAGAAGGTGGCACCACAGAGCTATCAAGATCTAGAAATAACCACTTCCCCTAAGCGCCCTGGGGAGCTTCAACTCAACCGACTTGACCTCGGCCATGTTATTGCGGCCCGTACTGGTCATGGAGACTTTGCAGACTACCATGAACGCTTCAACCATGATGACGCTTATCTTCTCTGCCGATGCGGAGCACGAAAAGCACCTCTGCACTTCTTCTTCTGTTATATAGCTAAGAGACGAGCCCCTCGGCCTCCTGGGCCCCCTTCTGAGGTCATCTCTTTTCTCTTAGGCACTGCTAAAGGAGCACAAAAGCTAGCCACATGGCTAGCAGAGACCCACTTCTTTGAGGATATCTGCCCTCGCCAACCTCTCCTTAGCACCTAGCTAAGACAGCCCTACTCTTCCTTTATATTTCTCTTCTCCTTCTTTCTTTCTCTTCTCTTCTTTCTTTCCCTCTCTGCAAAACTTACTGTTCAGTTATAATAGTGGTGGAGTGATAGGTCATGGAGTGTAGGCGGACCATTGCAGCTGGCAAATACCTAAAACCCACTCAAAGTGGACCTCCCTGTAAGACCACGGCAGCTATGGAAATGCGCCAAAGAGTCTCTTATTTGTACATAAATCTGATAGGACCCGAAACCCGAGGCTTACCCCTCGGCGGCCTATGTCCCAGTAGGGATCGGTGGGAAGCGTGCGAGTCACGAACCACGGCCGTTAAATATATACACACACACACACACACACACACACACTCCCCTTACTCTTGGGGATTAGTCACAATATAAGGAATCAAGATATCTTCATATTGTCAGGCTCATTAGGCCGCTTCGTGTTCGCGCCTTACTACCGTCTATGCTTCGTGATACGGACCGTAGTTAAACCAACAAGTGGCTAAGCGTTAATCGTGCTCACATCTTACGTTGGTAGGTGTCTCTATGGTTCATGGCAAATTTGAGAATCTCATTCCATATGTTCTTCGTAAAGCTGAGATCTGTGTTGACGCAACTGACTATGCAACCTATGACTTTCCCTCGCTACAGCGATTGCCAAGCTAAACTAGTGCACACACATCTGCATTATATTTTATATGGACACTACTAGGTGCTCAGATAACTTACTGATTATTACGAGTAGTAACGGATTTGACATTTGAGTGAGTTTTGTTTTGAGAGACATGGAAGCACGAAGAAGTAAATCCTACTGGCCGGGGGCGAAGTCCCTAAGTCTGAATAATGGAACACTGTCCAGGTGGAAACGGCCTACAGCCTGCCTTACAAAATGCGCGTCTGGGGGGCTTGTTCGCTTAGGTTTCTGGTACGTTGATATAAGATTCTAATTGGCCCAGTCAATATTGGTTCAGCTTCGACACACTGTGACAGCCTGAGCTGCCTGACACATTAACCCTAACACCAAGTTACCTCCAATTCTGGTATGAGTTAATGCCATGACCCTAAGCATTTTCAGGGTTAGTTTCACACATTTTATCTATGCAAATACTAACATTGATATAGCGTATGATCGATTATCTTCTCAACTGGCACAGAAAGCTAGAGACACCTAGATAGAACACACTACTAGTATATGCTGAATCAGGCTGCAAGAACTTTAGAACAATAGCCACAATCGACTCATAAAAGCAAAAACCAGTTCCTTAACCCCATATCAAGGCTTCAAAGCCCTCAAAACCCCCAACCCACCCTCCTTCATCTCCCCAAACTTCCTATCCAACTCCCTAGTCTCACTCATGGTCTGATCATGCCTCCTCCTAATCTCCGCCTCAAACAAAGCCGTCGTTCTGCGCCGCGCTTGTCTAGACTCCTTAATCATTTTGAGCATCTCACTCATCTGATCGAGTAATTCGTCACCCAGCGATTCCCAGTCGGTTATATTCATGGTGGAGATGTATTGGTGTCGAGCGGTGGGGTTGGGGAGAGCGTTCATTATGTAGGCTAGTTTTTCGGAGGGGGTTGTTGCTGTATCTGGTGGTGGATGGGGGGAAGGGGGAGGGGAGGGTGCCTTTAGTTTTTTGGGTGTTGTTGTTGCTGTACCTTTTCTATGATTTTCCAGGGGGCTGCTGCTGGTGGGGCTGTGGTCGAAGGGCTCCTTTTCGAGTTCTGAGAAATCCATTTGTTGGAGGACCTCGTCTGGATAATCTGATGTAAGTTTCTGATAGCGCCTGTCTATACTTTCTGACGTAGTTGATATTGATATTTTCCTCTGCGTGACGTCTGTCGTTGTCAAAGATTGCGCGTTGACGCTGCTACCAGAACTTTCATTGCCGATATCTTCACTAATGTTTTCCGTTTCCTGTTCATCTTCCTCATCGTCGAAACTCAAATCAGAATCATCTAACAGACGCTTGACTCTACTCGATGATGCCGATTCATGCTTCTTTCTCGTCTGTACTGCTTTCTGAGAGCTGCTTGACTCACCACATCGTCGCTGCTGTTCCTGTCTTTGTCTTTGATGTCTTGAGTTAGGCTGTGGACGAGGACCACTGACTCGTCTCGTGGGAGACGCCTGTTGAGATATAAGCCGCTCATAAGACCGCTCACTCTTGAAATTGAATCGATTATTCGGGGTCGTAGCTAGGCTTTGAGGAAAATTGCTCGTTCTGCTATACCCGGTACGATAGGGTATTTGTACCGTTCTAGTATTGGTTGTTGGTTCCTTTGCAGTCGTGATTCCAGAGCGGAGACCGGGATCACTGTCGCTGCGCTGTAGAGACATCCTGGATTTGGCGCGAGGGATTCGCGATACGTTCGCAATGGAGTTTCTTTTGTTACTTGATGCTGTAGCAGAGCGAGGTATCTCTGCTGGATTCCAGTCTAGTTGCTCCCGACGGACATTGTCCTTGTATCCATTGGCATAACTGATTTCTTCTGCTGCCGCCAAGGGAACAACTGTCTTTCTGCGATATTTTGAGGCTGCTGAAGCAACTTTTGTCGGATCCTCAGCCCGATAATAATTATTGCCATCTGTCTGATGATCAGATTCAGAAAGGACACTTGCATCCCAATCTTGCGAGATGTCATCATGATCAAAGATCCCCCGACCGCCATGATCTCGAGATCCAATATCTGCCAGACTGGTCACCGTAATGGTAGTATCATCTGCATTCTCAATATCAGTATCAAAAATGCTTTTTTCTTGCGGTTGTTGTTGTGCTGGTAACTCGTATTGTTGCGATTGCTCGGTAATAATTTCCGCTTCTTGAAATTGAAAGGGCATTAACGGCCTCATGAACCTTGAAGACGGTACACCGTTTCCGCTTAAAGATTTGTCGAATATAGGTGTCCTTTGTCGTTGAGGACTGTGTATCCTGACATCTCTTGTGCTTGGAGCATAGTATTGGTCGCTTCTTGCACGGATGTAATCTTCCAAGCCCATATTTCCGAAGATAATTCTCTCTCGGTAAAAATGGACAGACGTTGAGTGCAATGAAATATTAATTCAAATAATCATCATCTTATCGGTGTGTATCTGATTCATAAGTCTGGCTGTGTTAGTTGTCGTCGTTTTTATTTTGATGATGGGTCCAAACTAAGCTGGAAGCTATGAATTTAGGCGCGGAGCTACCCGCCGTCAGAGTTAATGGCACGTGACTAATCTACATCTAGATCTTATTTATGAGAACAGAGAACACCAGTAGTGAAATATAAATGGTACTTCTTAGTCAATTATAAGTCGAAGTCCTCGGTGAATTGGCTCGCGCCTTGCTGCCTTGCCTTTGCCCTCTCGAACAAATCGTTCGCTTTGATACCCTCTATCGCTCGCCTCTCCAGCGCAATGTGCAATTCCCGGCTTGCAAGTAGCTTACTAGCAGATGCGCTTCTGGACATCATGCCTTCATCGTCAGATATATTGCTATCCTCCTCCTCCTCTTCTTGATGACCTAACGATGAGAGTTGGAGATCACCGATCCATAGAGCTACCATTCCCCGAAGTCGCAAAAGTGCTGGACTGTCTGAATACGGCGGCCCAACCATGACTTCATCCATCCGCGCTGCAATCTCCTGTGCACCGGCTAGTTCTTTGCGTTTGATAGTGGCTATTTGGGACATGATGTTTCCGTTGCGACGGGTCTCATTCTCGCCGTCTGACATGTCTGCATCGAACTCTGCTGATCGTTCAGAGACAATCTCATCTTCCTCCTCCTGCTCAAGAGTCTCTCTTGCCATCTTGCTCTCCTGGTCGACAACGTAAACCCAAAGACTAAACATGGCAGGGTAGAAATGTAGAGAGCTGCTAGCCGTGCTGCGAGCGGACCGAGAAGGATATTGAATGATGAGTCTTTCATAGTAAGCTTTTGCTGCTTCGAATCCGGGCTGCGTAAAGATATGGCTGGCGCTAGTTGGAGTATTCGTTCCTGCGGTGGTCTGGCGGAACAGTATCTCAGCGCCGATGCCCCATCGACCGCCATGACGTATATTCACGGGGTCTTTGCCAAACTTCTCGTGAAGTAACATGCCCCATGCGCGACCAGCGCGTACAAAGTCACCGGCTAAGAGACATTTGTGTAAGATGGTGGTAAGAACACCCAAATGACGAATATGCAAGGTAGTTTCGGTTGTCTGCGACCCAGGAAGAAAGATAGGAGGCCATTGTTGTTGCAATTGCTGTGCAAGACTCTTTGATCGTTTTCTCTTCAACTCTTTAACAGCTGCGTCGGGAAAATCTCCTCCAGGAAGCTCCTGATCAAGCGACAGACCAGCCACTCGATATTGATGGACTTCCTCAGGGGTAAGGACAAGATCTTGTGTCTGTGTCGATTCATAGCCTGGTTCAAAATCTGTAATACCAGGGTCGCCGCTTCCTTCGATCAAGTCGTCCACTTCTGACCGTCGTCTCTTCCGCCCAACTTTATGTTCATCTTGAACTTCATATTTCCGTACCCGAGTACTAGGAGTTCGCTGCCAAGATAAAAGGGGCAAAGAGAAAACTGATGTTTTTGGTTGGATCATGAATCCTTGAAAAAGATTGATGTACAGCTACCGGGGGTGTGGTGGATCATATCCAAGTTCTGACAGACACAAATTCTGCACGCGTCAGTGATGAATCTGACTGATAGCAAGCTGCCTTGTATCAATCATTCTAAAGCAAGAAAAAAGATACTGGCCGAACACCATAAGAAAAGCTGAGTACCAATTGGACGAATCGGATCAGGCAGAATGCTCAAATGCGGTCAAATGACTGGTGGGGATCACGTGCCGACTGGTAGTTGGCTCGTGCGCTGATAGCGGCCTTGGCGCCTGATTGTCGATAAGTTGATAAGCCAACTGCTCTCTCTCCATGCGTCATCCCAACAACGGATGGCTCACACTCTCTGAATTGACTCCTTCGAGTCTTTGTGCAACTATATCCATATCTGTTTATCCATCCTGAATGTCTACTTCAGAAAGCTGTCGACACACACATCTCAGCCTAATGAGGATAGGCAGTCTGCTCCTCGCTCTCCATGCGGGACTAGGCCTCGCCACCGTTCCTGGTTCACCCTCTCCAGGCTACCATAATGAGATTCCCATCCTCCCTCCACACATCCCGCAAGGGAACGATGGATCGAGTTCAATAGCACGAAAACATGAATTTGTGAGTATTTGAATGTTCATCAAAATTATTTCTGCTAATGATTATATAGAGACTACGGCATATCTTTCACCGCGGCACCTACCAGCAACCGAACCTGCATCTGAGGCTAGACGTAACGCCGGATACAAAGCTAGCGATCCTATCCGAAGATGAATACCTACCTCAACCGGTTGACGAACCGCAGACTACATTATATGCATTATCAGATGGCTTGACAATTGAAAGACTAGCGGACCGCCGACCGTCCGTGATCGAGAGCTACTTGGCTCATGCAAGGTCATCCGGTGTTGCGGCTATATTGTCCGAGGATGCTTGGATAACGGAAGAGATTGATGGGCCAAACATGACCGATAAAGAGACCGTATTGACATTCGCCAAGATGACAGCAAATGATTACATCGAAGATCCTGGTAGTGGTGATTGGAACGAGATTAGCGGTCGGTTCAACTGGTCTGCGAGCTTTGGATGGCAGCGAGACGGGATTAGGGGCCATCTGTATGCTGATGAGACAAACAGCACTATTGTTATATCTCTGAAGGGTACTTCGCCGGCATTATTTGATGGCGCTGAGACGACCACCAACGACAAAGTCAATGATAACCTCTATTTCAGTTGTTGCTGCGGCCAAGGAGGTTCTTATCTTTCACGTCAAGTCTGCGATTGCTCTACGGATGTGTTCAAGGCCAATCTGACCTGCATTACTGAGGCTATGCAAGACGAGAATCGTTACTATCGCGCTGCGATTGACCTGTACACAAATGCTACGCAGCTATATCCGAACGCAAATGTTTGGCTCACCGGTCATTCATTAGGAGGGGCTATGAGCGGCCTCCTTGGCCTTACGTTTGGTCTTCCAACTGTGGCTTTCGAGGCAATCCCGGATGCCCTACCAGCGTCGAGACTAGGACTGCCCACACCACCGGGGTACGATTCTCAACTACCCCAGAAGCGGCGGAATACTGGTGTCTTCCATGTTGGGCACACTGCCGATCCTATTTATATGGGTTCATGTAATGGTGTGGGCGCCACTTGCACCTGGTTTGGTTATGCCTTGGAGTCTGCATGCCACACTGGAAAGATTTGTGTTTATGACACAGTTGAGGACAAAGGTTGGAGGGTGGGTATTGGTACCCATCGTATCAAAAGTGTGATCAAGGAAGTGTTAGAAGTCTACGATGAGGTACCACCTTGCGTGCCGGAAGTCGAATGCTACGATTGTCAGCTTTGGAAGTTCTATAAGAGCAATGGTTCTGAAATCACAACCACCACTACAACCACAACTACTTCCACATCCACCTCGCTGACTAGGACGTCGACTTGTGAAACACCAGGATGGTGGGGTTGTTTAGATAAGACAACGTCGACGACATCAACGACTACCACCGCCAGCATCCCGACCACTACAACTACTACCACAACCTGTGAAACACCGGGTTGGTTCGGATGCAAAGATCCCACCACGACAGCCAGTGCCACGAGCATTCTCCCTTCTCCAACAGCCACCACAATTCCCACTTCTACATCCACCTGTCACACTCCCGGCTGGTTCGGCTGTCGTGATCCAACAACAACCACTAGGCCGAGCCCAACGGTGGATTCACAGTGGTATTATGATAACGCCCCGCCATCCGTCAAGCATGCCATTACTGCTGCTCCCGTCATATGAGCTATTTTGAAGATAACATATACCGTTTGATTTTTTCTTTTCGAGACATTGTCTTTGGGTATGGAGTTTGGTCTGTTGATACCTTTCTTTTGTTCATTGGGCAGAGCATTGGGATATATACAACATACAATGGAATTTGTTCTTTCTTTTTATTACAACAAAAGAATACCCCTGTGTAGTCCGACCTTTTACCCAAAATAGCACCGCCTAGCAATCCTGCTAACCGAAGCTCATATGGGGCACCGAGTCTGCGCCCATACCTAGGTACGTAACACAGCGTTTCATTGTTCCTAGGTACCTATCCATACTATTACTACCCTATGAAAGCGCTCTCACCCACAGACATTGATATCATTGATAAGTTTTGAGAAGGTAATCTCCGACAATATGTGATGTCTGTCTTTTCGGGCAGTTCCGGTGAGACGCCTAGCGTCTATAAATACTTAGGTAAGGCCCTGCCTCCCTCTCAGCCTTCAAAAATTTTCTTCTTCATACACGGTCACTCTATAAGTTCGCCTTGCTAGCTATTTCATGAGCATACTATAGCATCCGTTTTACGCTCAGCTTTCTGGTCTACTAACCCCAACAGAATTTGTCTTTGGAGATGGAGCAGTAAGGTTCATATCCCTGCCCTCCAGGTCAGGAGACTCATGTCCCTCATTTCATGCGGCCAACTACTGCTTCTCTGAGGCGTATTGCTCCTCGACATCCAACTGCTCAGCAGGTTCAGCAATCAATTGAAAAAATGTAGGAGTAACAGCAAATCCCATCTATCTACGCCATTATAGAGCTCCCCTACTCCCTTTTTATTATCATCGAGGACTCCACTCGCAAAATACACTACGTCACGAAGAGGCTCATCATCACTCAGAACAGGACGGGCGAGCTCAATATGAAGCCCGACGAACTGGGGAGGACGTCCAATCAACTCAGGATCTGGACGCTTATATTGCACAACAACAAGAGCAGGACATACCCTATATACGATGAGCTGGATGACCTGATGGTTGATGTTACATTAAGTCATTGAACCTGATCATATATCTACATCCAGAGCACTGCTGATTACAACAATAGATCGCTTCAACGGATCGTTTCAGAAGATCGCCTCACTCCGAAATGGCTAGAGCTAAAGTCACTGCGCGCAGAATTGTCTGACAGAGGGGGCATCAAAACTCCACTTGGAGTTACGAGAAAAAATCAACCCTCACGCCCTATGAGGGATTGTCCTCGGTATAAATGGGTAGTAAGTTTATGGTTGCTTCATATAATTGCTTCGTTTGGCTAACTCATTGTAGTTACCAGTTTCCTTCAAATCAAACAGTGTCGGAAATAAAACTGAATATATCAAAATTAACTTTCAGAGGACTGTGACGTCTCGGCTTCGACACGGTTGCAATCAGGGCACGTTCGAATAAAGCCCCATTGACGAATAAGGTTATATAAGTTTATCAATATGACACGTGGAGGCACGTGGCCAGACAACTTATCTGGACGTCTTGGGGTTGGATTCGAACGGTAGTTACCGAATTCCACGGTTACCGTATTGGGAGACCGGCCGAACAATAGAGATTTATGTGTGATGGGAAGTACCGTCGATGAGGACAGGCGAAGGCCTATAAATATGAGCTGTTTCCCCTCGACAGATAGTTTTCCTCCTAATACTCAGTTTCTCGTCAACACTGACACCCTAGATAGCGAATATTATTCATTGGGATTGATCGTTCGTTACAAGGACAACTGTGTCCTGGTGGTATCCGATAGTGTCGTCTCGGTACTGATACACTTAATGGACCGCATCCGTCACATCAAAGCAACAGACCGTCATTTTCAGATCCAGCGACGAAATCTCCAGAGCTACAATGAGGAGCCCCAGCACATTCAGAGTACTTCCCTCAATCCCCTTGTTCGTGTATATGATGATTCAAGCATGAATCACGAAACGGGGGTAAAGGGATGGAAAAAGAGAAAAGGAAAAAATACCCATATTGTGAAGGCTCAATCAAATGTTATTTGGAAGCTAATACGAGAAATCTAAGCATAGGGAGGAAAAGGAAAGAGTGTAAACATGAAGCTATCCCTGGTCCCAGATATCAGTGGCGCGCTCACGTGCCCCTTCTCGCCCAACCCTGATCACGTGACCTCTGTCCAGACCTCTCAAGTCAGCAAATCTCACCATCTTCTGTATAGCCTCAGCACCAGCCGTCACACATATCGTGAAATTCCTTACAGATTCTACTGGCATGAACGTCTACCATATGTATGGGGAGTGTCTAGTACGCCAATATCGACTTGACTGGATGACTTGAAGGGATGGCGGAATACCCTCTGGCGATCAACTTGGAGTGACCACCTTGTGCCGAAGAAGCTGACCAAGGACACGTTCACTAGGGTAGACACCAAATTCATCTGATGGAAGTAGAGCTGGTGGCTACTCGCTTCTTGGGTTGATAACCAAGAAATGTACGATAACATGCCCGATGGCTCCGAATTGACCATGCCTTACAACCCCGAGTCTGAGCATCGACTCGATCAAAAAATGGGTTCGGTCGACCGAACAGATGGATACTGTTGACGAAAGCACCATGTTGTTCAAATACAAAGATAACAGCAAAGTGGCTATCAGAGATGATGGCATGTTTCATATGGCGTTGACGCAGATGCTATGTGACAAAGCCTCAGGAGAAGAGACAGCAGATGTAGTCTACGAATTTCATTTCACCGTAGCAAGGCGAGGTAAGATAACCCTACTGATGAATAGTGGGATTCTATTAAACCAGATGTTGCAATATAGCGATTCCGGAAAGACACGATAACACTTCTTTGCCCATACGATCTTGATCCATAAGCACTGCGCCACCTCGACCTACGTCCAAACCTGGTTCCAAGCGGCAGTCCGACAATGGAGATCTGCAAAGCACGAAGCTCGGTCCGAGGACCGGAGATCGGGGTAGAATCGATGAAGGCATACGGACTGACGATGAGAACGCTTTGGTTATGGAGGAACATTATGCTCGTTAGCATTCATGACTGGGATGTACTCTTTCTTGACAGTACCTCCCACGGGGTGCTCATCCTATCCCTTGGCATGTTCATATGTATAAGGTCCAACAAGCAATCCTCCATCTAACACGCCCGCCGATACTGAACATTCAAATAACGATAGGAATGGAGATGGAGAGGAGTTAGCGACCAGTGATAACGACCACGACGATGATATGGGGTCTGGTGACGATGGTGATATCCCTAAAACAAACAACTCTCCATCTGCTGAGGATGCTGTCACGAAGAATGCTGGCGCTGAGAATGATTCTATGCCGAAATATCAACCGAATCTGAACATTCAGATAACCGTGAGGATGGAGATTGGGGAGAGGCAGAGACCAGTGATGACTCCGACAGTGATATGGTGCATGTCAACGCTGATGGTGAAAATAATATCACTACAACAGACAATTCTCCGTCTGAGTGCAATTTCAACCTCCATGCTTCTTCAATTACCCTAACAGTGTCATGACAGGTCTATGACTTGGAGGTCTAACGCATGAGCAAGACGAGCTCGTGTCTTGGGTAATCTTGCTCTTTCTCCACCGATTGGAAGATATTGAGTTAGTCGAGATATCGAAACTAGCGGATGTTGGACCTGTCGAGGTCCAGATGGACATTTCTGACAAACCAAGTTATCCTGTGGATCCAAATAAGCCATGGCTTTCCGGAAAGTCCAGAAAAACGCAAAGTACTTGAGTACATGATAGATCGTCAGCTCAGGGCAAGCATCTGCCACTTGACACTTCTGATCTTGATTCAACTCTACAATGGCTTTAAGACTATAGGCATGAGTCCATGGAAGACAAAAAAAGTGCCTGCGGAATTATGTGCTGGGAGATTGGCATGCAAGAAAACCTGCGAGCCTATGTCGCACAGCACAACACCCCCGAGGCATGAAAGATGTAGTTATGTGACGTCCATGTGTGAATGTGACGCGGCCGATCATCTCATGGCACGCATGAGTGATGAAACCATCGATCCTGTACCTTGACGCCGACGATTTTTCTCCCGACCGTGATGTATTTCCTAGAAGGCTACCTTTGGCCCCATCAGGTGGAACATGAGAAGCCTTGAGCTCGTGGAGGCGTATTCTCCACGATAATGAATCTAATAATCACAGAGAAAAACAACCGCACGCGGAATTTGACAGGGAAGTGGGTGGACCGCAGTGAATCTTTTTACTTCTGGACAAGACAAGTCTTCCTAAATGAATCGGCCATGAGCTTGAAGAAGTAAATTCTCGTAACTAGGAATACAAATATGCAGCAGCTATCCAACAACGTGAGCAAGAAAACAAAACACGGGATCTGATTCAAGCTTTTTCTGGCTTTGGCAACAACAATGAAACAATGCCAGTAGGAGGTTATTGGCAACTTGAGGTGTGTTCTTAAGCAGCGAAGGAAAGTACTCATTGAGAGTATAGTTTTGTTTGAAAGAGTCTTTGTAGGAATTATTATTTCATTATGCCTGTATAGAATGAACTAGTCAGGGGTCCTTGAATAATTCATTGCTGCTCTATGTGGATAAATCATACATGCGATGAACTTAGCCCTAACTCGTGCCGAATAAGGAAATTAGGCTAGGAACATCAAGGATTACGCCAACTAAAGGATCTAAAGGATCCAAATGACGTTAACGTGAAAAGTCATATCATTTGCAGAATTTCAGTATTAAAATTCGAGGAGATAGAATTGATTATAAATTGACTAATTAGCCAAACCTCTTCCCCCGAACTGGACCGAGCCTGTTGAGCCGAGTATCTGCTTCCGCCGAGGGACATTACCAACCCTGGAAATCTACTGTCCCAGCTCCTTATTGTTTATTAATCAGTAAGTGCATTTAATGTAAATAAATATTAGTAGCATATCATTGTTTAACTTGTCTATATCCATCGGGGATAGCTTCGACCGACATGGGTTTGTAATCAAGAACACCATGATTAGAGAAGAGGGGTGTATAAGTAGAGGCATTTCACATACGTGGTGCCCTGGTCATTAAATAGAACATCCAAAATCACAACTCAGGAGCACAATGTCAAAACTCATTGTCATTGTCGGTGTTACTGGCCTCCAGGTACCATAAACATCCAAATAGGAGAAAAGCATACTGATTGATATAGGGGTCATCCGTAGCAAACACCTTTCTAAACCTACCAGGATGGAAAGTCCGCGGCATATCACGCAATCCCTCTAGCCCAACAGCCCAAGCTCTTATTTCTAAAGGCGCCGAGATCATTCAAGCAGATTTGGACGACGAGAAATCACTCTATCCAGCCTTCGAAAGCGCTAATGTCATTTTTTCCAACACCGATTTCTTTGGCATCTTTTTTCATGCATTAATGTCAAAGAATGATTCACCGCAACAATATGCATATGACCGTGAAGTCGAGCAGGGAATCAACATTGCGCGAGCAGCTGCTTCGCCCACGGTACTACGCACCCTAGACCGATTCGTACTCTCCTCGCTGAGCGATGCTCGCAAATGGAGTCAAGGGAAGTATCCGAACGTGTACCACAACAACTCCAAGATAGAGATTATCCAAACCATCGAGACGCAATTCCCGGAATTGGCGGAACGGATGAGTATGGTCCAAGTAGGACATTACGCGACAAATTGGAAACAGTCACCATCCTTGGCGCCACAGAAACAGTCTGATGGGAGCTTTATAGTCAAACGAACATTCACTTCTGATTTTAAGATGCCGTTTGTTGTCCCTCATAAGGATACAGGAGAGTTTGTCAGAGCCTTGACGCTTGATCTCCCTGCCGGAACACATATTCTAGGCGCATCTGAGATTTTGACGTTGCCGGAATGGACCAAGATTTGGGCCGAGACTCTCGGTGTCAAGGCTGTTTTTGAGCAGGTTACCTTTGACATTTTCTTTCAGGGTGTGCCTGACGAGATGAAGAGGGAGCTTTCGGAAACGTTTGCATATACCAATGAGTTTGGATATACGGGCGGTGATCCGGCGATTAAAACTGCTGAGCAGGTAAGCAATCAAATGATAAATCTTGGATGATATTGAAATAGTTGTGCTAAGGTTTTCAGCTTGGTATCAAGCTTTCGCTCACATCGATGGAGGAGTATATCAAAGGTGAAGATTGGTCGTCAGTTTTGTAACCATTTCTCTTAACTTGGCAGTGTAAAAACCCTGCTAAGACTCGGTGAAGGTAATCAACTAGCCATCGAATAGGTTGAGCACGAATAGGTTGAGCATCAATAGCTCTCTTACTGTCCATCCATCGATGATGCATACTCATGTCTTTGAGGTGGATAGTTTGAGAAACCAAAGAGTCATATAAGAGGAAACCCCTGAAGAATTCAATCAACAAATAAAAACCAATCTTAACCAGCCTGATAAGCATCGACACATGCACATCATAAGTGGTACTTACTCTCCCATACTCTTTAATATGACACCTCAAGTACCTCCTCATATGCATTGCAATGTGGCCCAATAAAAGTCGTGCAGTGTGAAGCCATTCTTTCCCCTCTTGTATCTCTGACAGTGAACAAACAGACCAGGATACCGTTTCACCACCGCACGCGACCTTTTTCCTTTCTTTCTGTCTTTCTTTCTTTCTTTCTGTCTTTCTTTCTTTCTTTCTTTCTTTCTTTCTTTCTTTCTTTTAGGATGGGCGTAATTTTTTCTCTGCCAATATTTTCTTTGATCAGGGTTAGGAATGATGTCGTCTGCTTCTTTGTCGTATCCGGCTGGTTCTTTTCATTACTATAAGGCACCTGGGCAAAAGTAAGTCCTTTTCTCTTCTGACCAGAAATTTGATGAGGTTCATTCTGTTCTTTCCTTGTGTATATTGCCAACAAGGCTGACTGGTGATTGTGCCTTACTGATTGTGCATACAGTGAGGACTTGGTGAGTGCTTTCCCCCTGGTCGACCCTAGTATTTTGACTATTTCATTGCTCTTTACTCACAAAGAATTCTATGCCAGGTTTCGCTAAATTCGACAATGGAGCTTTTTGCTTCTCAGTCGGAGACGGTGACTATTCTGAAGTCTCAGTATGAGGATCTTGTAGGTTATCTACCCCCCAGTCACTGATGATACAAGTACTGAAGTGGGATATGCCAATAGCTTTGTCTAGCACAGCAATTTGGTACGTTCACTCGTTCGTTCGTTCTTCAGATTGGATGATTGCTAATATCAGACAGAGAATCTCAAAGGGAGTCTTTTGAGAGGAGGCGTCAGTACAGAGGATCTCGATGTGATAATATACACTCCTACATATTGAGAAGAGACTAATAGTACCAGGTCCTAGTCCACGGCACGCTCGCTCCCCACGCAGTCGACGAAAAGCACGCCCAGAATCCGTACAATCGCAGCTATCAGCCTTCCAATGGCGTGTCCCTATCTACACGGATCCGGCCCTTTGAGTCTGCATCGACCAACACTGGGCCAAACCACTCTCACTCCCACGAAGAAAGTATCCAAGACTACGACGACGATGCCCTCGACGAAGTAGAATCCCAAACACCGCCCGACCAATTTAACGACAACGAACAACAAACCATCGAAATCCGCAACTTGCCCGAACGATGCACCTACCTCGACATCACAAAATCCATTCGGGGAGGAGCTCTGGTACAAATCTACCTACGCTACACAGAACGCATAGCTCGCGTCTCATTCGTAGAAGCAGCTGCAGCACGCGAATTTCTCGCTCGCGGGAAACGGGCTGGGGTTTATATTCGGAATCAAAAGGTCCCCCTTTCACACCCCGTATTAAAAAAAATGATACTGACTGAAATGGAATAGGTCGACCTATCGTGGAGCAACAGCCAATTCATCCTCCGCCCTTACATCAAACAATCCATCCTCCACAACGGCGCAACCCGCAACCTAATCATCCACAACGCCAACCCAAACATCACCTCAGCCCTAATCCGTGAACATCTCGAACACATCCACAATCTGATCATAGTCGACATCAGATTCAATCACAGCAATAGCAGTGTCTGCATATGCACGAATTCGGTGCACAATGCCATGTTTGCACGGTCTTGTATGAGGTCTAGAGCGGCTTATAAGGGGATGAGGATTGATTTTGGGGTTGATGAGTGTGCGGCACCTTATTCTGAGTTGTCGGCCACTGCGGCAGAGTATCATGTTTCTGCATCGACGCAGGGGAGGGTTTGGGGGAGGCGTGATTTGCAGAAACAAGGGACCAGAGCACGCTCGGTATCGAATCGATTCGGTCTTTTGAGTCTTGAATCCGACGGTGGTACTGATTCTGAGGAGGAAGAGTCAAGGTCAGATTCTTGATTTTCGTTTAAACATGATCAACACGGTGTTATGAATCGGTTGGGTTGTATGTTACCAGTGAATATCCTTTTTCCATTCTTGAATGTCTGAGTATGCAGTTACATGTGCTTTATAATATATGAGTTATCCTAATTTCCTCTTTGCATTCTCCCTGGACGTCTTACGATTCTTCTATCTACTTCGATCGAGCTCTTAGATAGACCAATCGATCACGACCTAGCTTACTCAAAGTATTATCATAGGTATATTCATTCAATCTATAGACAGACAAAGGTACAGCTAAGGTATCATTTTTATACGCCTTCAGAACGAAAATATAACTCAATAAAAATAAATCAATTCGCCTCGCTAAACACCCATTATTCAAAAAAAAAAGAAGAGGGAAAAAAAAAAACGGAATTAAAGGGTCAGAGTCTCCATATCAGCACTACTTGATCTTGATCGCTCGCTGAGTTCTGGGCGTCGGGGGTTGTTGCCGTCGACATCGGAGGTTTTGGTTATGATCCACGCGGAGGCGTACATGTTTACTCTATGCAGGGATTAGTATACGGTTTATATACCAAGTAGAAGGTAGAAACTTACCGGTCAATGCATGTCCCCGGGAATCGCGCTCCGACGCGACGAGGTGTGAATCCGTTGGCTTCGAAATCCTTGATGTACCATGGCTCAATGCTAGCGGATCGCAATAATACTCGGCCTCCCATCTTCAAAGCACGGTTCAATGCTTGGGCTTGTTTGGCGGCGGCGTCTTCGTCTGGGTTGAACCAGTCCATTGAGTCCATTACCACTGCAATGGTTAGTGTACGGGGTGTGATGCGTGCAATGACTTCGTTGAGGCCGTCAGTGTGAATACGAAGACCGTCGAATGCGCCAGGAGTTGAGAGCTTGTCGTGTGCTTTAGGAGTCAAGTATGTGGGATGGCATCTGTAAACGATTAGAAACGATCAATACTATCATGAGGAGACTTACTGTCGAGAAAATTTGCCCTGGAGACAAAGGTAGTAGAAATAATTGTCGTTGCTGATCAATGTATCCTTGGCCACAGGGTCGAATGTGTCGACGACGTATTCCCAAATTGCACGTCCGCTAACATCCGAATTTTTCTTGATTCCACCGCTCAACCCCTTGCGCTTCAAGTAGTCATCAATAATCATGTTACGCTGAGGAGGTGGGACACCAGCGGCTTTCCAGGCAAACCATTCGGTCTTGACAATGGCCCAGTTGAGTATCCTGCTAATCAGCACCCGGCGGATAGTAGGCCAGATTTCGCGCTGCTCGTTCAAGGTATGGGCCTCGCACAATCTATTGTTGACCTCGCGGAGACCAAACACTGTGAATAGGTACCTGACCAGCTTAATGGCAACGCGGGATCCACCAGTCTCGTACAGACCTCTGTTTGACTTAGAAGTGAAAACGTCGGTTTGCTCGAGCCAGTACTGGAACGCCTGGCTAGACAAGTGCGGACTCAACTTGGTAAGAAGAAGTTCACGGAACTCGGGATGTTTGCCTTCTCCGAAAATCTTCCATACATCCTTGTACCCAAGAGCTCTGAAAGAAGCGACTTTAAGTTCCAGCAAGTGATTCTGGTTAGGGTTCATATCAACAGCATGAATGCGCTTGGGGCTCTTTTGGAGGTAATCCAAAATGTTATCACCAGCACTTGTAATAGTCAAAATAACATCTTCACTGTTGATGTTCAACAAACGATGATCAACGCGAGGATCTTCCCAGTTGAAAGCATAGATATACTCATCCTTGAACTGGGTGTGCTTAGTAAGCTGATCGTTATAGTAAATGCGATGGTGGTGGTTCTGATAGAACGCAGACGGAAGAGGAAGGTTGGTGCTGAGATTGACTACCGCCGACTCGTATGCCTTGGACTTGATCTCAGGAGTCGCTTTCTCAACAGCGTCGCTCATCTCTCGTCGGTGTTTGGCGGCAGATAGGTATGGAGATTCTGTCCACGAAGCATTGAGCATCTCGATGCTAGATCTTCCAGAAGTGAAATCCTTTTGGCAACCCAGGAAGATATAGTACGGGATACCACCGAGAAGGTAGTTTCGCTCACTAGCCGAAATGATAGTTCCAAACTTGTATTCCAAGTAGTCTCTGCGAGCAGCGTCCAAGTTGACACGGTCAAAGTCGAACCATGCACGCCAGAAGGCCCGACCAATCCAGTTGACATGGCGGTTGAACACACCACCGGTGTAGTTGCGGCAAGAAACATCGACAATGTTTTGGACTACCAATGTCAGCGCGGCGAACCAGTCAGTAAGACCAATTGACATACCATAAAAGTCAACAACGCCAAGGAGAGCATCGGACTTCATCAGACTGTTCAACGAATCAACGACACTGTAGTAGTCTGTAAGGTGTGAGCATATGTCTTTTTTTTCCCCCTCTCTCTCTTTTCTTCACAGTATGATTGCAACTGACCTGGAATCATTGACAAGCTGTAGCTCATTGTAACGATATCAGCACCGCCATTTGCAGCGCCATTTTCCCCTGGTAGGCGGAACTCTCGGGCATCGCGGCAAATGACAGATACATTCTTCCAACCGAGACGCTCGAATCGCTGGCGGGCGACTTCTAGCAGGGACGGCGAGAGATCGACCAGGTAGACATGCGAGAAGAATTTGTCGACGGGAAGGAAGGCGTTCATAGCTTCGATGTTGTAGCTGCTACGGTTAGTTCACATCTCTCCATATTTCGGGATACGAAGACCATACCCGGTACCTCCACCAATCTACGCTACAGTCAGTCAATGCTCGGCAGAGGAGTCGGCCTACTTACATCAACCCAAACCGGCTTAGACACCTGATGCTGTGATTGGCGGTATTTCAACTGCGCAGCCAACAATGCAAGCATATCCTCACGGCCGCAGAGAAGCTTCTTGCGAGTAGCATCGTACACGGAAGCCTGTAGAAGTCAGCATGTTCCCCCCGGAACGGAAGCACTGAAACATTCTCACTTGAGCACGGTAGAAGCTCTCCAGCGCATGTTGCTGGCCGGCTTCACCCTCGCGATCCCGCTCATGCGGCTTGATAAAGCAAGAATAGGCGAATTGGATATAAGATAGAAACCCTTTATTCCAGTCCAACTTGGACTTTTGCAAAGAAAGCACCACGGTAGTAGCGACCACGCCTAGCACCAGCACAAGGGCCACGCCAACCATGATGTGCGGCGTGCTCAAGCCATCGAGGCTGTTGAGAGGTGAGTGTAGAGTGTAGACACTCATTGTGAAGTTCCAGATTATTCGGGAAGATATACCTAGGTAGCACTGAGGAAGGAGCAGACCGGGCCAAGAAAGAAAGGAAGGAAGGAAGGAAGGAAAGAAGAAGGAATATACGAGAGGAAAGAACAGAAGAAGAAGAAGAAGGAGTCTCTCCGCCAAAAAAAATATTAATCTGCCATTAGCCTCTATTTAATTCTACCCTCATTCTCAGATAGGACAGGCACGGGACCACCAGAAGAAGCATCTCGAGGGAACCCCACCATGGATTGTCTCTGCCCTTGAGTCTTGACTTCTCAGAACAATCCGCGTCTCCGTATATCTGGGAGAATGATCCTATCATATCGACACATGAGCGCATCCGACCACGGAGAGCTCCCCTCTTGTCCCGCGCATCGTCACGCATTTGGCGGATAATTATGGATAGGTGGCCTAGTGGATACGGCACGCGACGACGAGGGAGTGCATCATTAGTTGTTTCTGAGATGTTCCGTTCAGACTTTTGGGAAAAGACAGAGAGAGAGAGAGAGAGAGAGATAGAATGGTATCAATTGTACCTGGCGCTTGACCGGATAAGGTATAGCGGTACTGCATTAAGCCTGCAATCGACTAGTGTCACACATACAGGCTGTACTGATACGGTAATCAGGACCCTTCTGAGCAGACGGGGTCTGCCTGATCCCAACAAAAATTTCCCTTCATTTGTCAATCAGAGGCCGAGTCAGCAGCATGTGCCGTTTTGAGTGCTGACCAGAATTGCTGCCTCAGGTTTATACTCTGGACCGCTTGTGTTGCACGGGCCAATCAGCCGCCGCTCTGCCACCACGACACGGCCAGATTGGATCTCGATATATCCCGCCTACATTCATTGAATGTGCTGGTGATATGCATGCGATGTCGGGGTTCTAAGCATTGAAGATACGTATATCCGCGCATCAAATATAATCTACATACGACAAACGATAAACAAAGTATGCCCCGCAGCCCCTAGGTAGATAGCTGGCTGCAACCGCTGTAAACACCTCAAGCGGGCACTCAAGCGGGCACTGCCCACGGCCATGTCACTTATGGAGACGGTATCAATTGATCATACAACAAATCAATACGAGAAGCTTAGTATGAATACGGAGTCGACAGACGAACTAGTGGTTATTGCAGCCTCAGAAAGTTCATTCATCCCACATTTGCATGTGATCCTTGGCGTTCCTGACTCTTTTGAGATGAACGAGGAACCCCAACAGATTGAGAGCTCTCGTTTAGAGCTTTATGATACCGCTATATATTGCTAGTGTATTTGAGCTGGTTGATTAAGTTGTTGACTAGAATTGTGGCCTGAGGGCTGTACGCTGTGTCCGTCTACAGAAAGAATCACGAGACAGTGAACAAGGACTTGAGACCAGAAGAATTGATTTGAGGTTGATTCTCACGAGGACGAGGACGAGGACGACACTGCTCAGTTAAATAATGGAATGGCACAGAGAATTAAATAAATATATGAAGCTTGAAAAATAAGCAATGGTGGAGGGTGAGAATGTTGTAAGTGTTGCAAGCCACGATCACATGTCAATCTTACCTCAGCTCACCATCTCCACTGTCTCATTTCTCGATCCAACGATACCAATGCGAGAATAGCCTCTAGGGCTAACCGTTCCGCCCTGTCTCACTGTTATGGATCAGAAGCGAAAGAAAAAGAAAATTATATACTATCATGATTAAAAGCAGGTATTATAGAATAGCGCTGGCATCGCCAGTATCACGCCAACAAACAGTCAGACAGGTCAATCAACCACTGACCTGCCGTTGACACCGAACCACGTCTAAGGCACACACGCAACATGACGGCTTCTAAAGCTATGGAAGGATGCCGACGAAACAAAAGGTTGAAGATTGAAGAACGAGCAAGACGCCTGGGGAATTGATGCTGCTGCAAAGTAAAGTCACGAAAGATGGTACCGTTATTCCTTCATTCATGCATTCTCCGACTGAATTGTTTGCTGAAAGAAAGGAAAAAAAAAAAAAAACCAGGTCAGCGGTATCCCATTATTGATCAGCGAGTGAGAGAACTTACCACCAACCAGTCCATGCCTTCATTAATACCTTTACCATCAATAGCCGAACAAGCAACAATACTCCAATTCCGATCACGTAATTCACCCAACTTCAACGCTTCGGAGATCTCTCCAGCCCCCTTTGCGCCAGGTTGATCCTGTTTATTGGCGAATACCAGCAGCGCGGCATCCCGGAGCTCTTCCTCGTTCAACATGGCTGCCAATTCGTCGGCTGCGATTCCTAATCGCTCGATATCGGTGGAATCTATCACGAAGACGACGGCGGCGGTGTTGGCGTAGTAGCATCGCCAGTAGGGACGGATAGAGGTTTGGCCTCCAAGATCCTATTTTTTATCAATCGTCAGTGGGGGTTTGCGCTCGTATACGGAGGACTATAACATACCCAAACATTCAGATTTAGATTCTTGTAAGTGACCGATTCGACATTGAAGCCGATTGTGGGAATCGTCGTAACAACCTCGCCAATCTACCACCAAGGTCAGCACGTACTCGTGAACAAGTAGAATGACAATCTCACCTTTAATCTATACAAAAGCGTCGTTTTCCCCGCATTGTCCTTGATTCTCGTCAGCTATTCCAACCCGTTCCCTGTTCATGTTGAAACCATACAAGACCTAAAATCAAAATTCGAATCTCCTTTTTCGCCCACAGTAGGGACCACATTCGCGACAATGAGCCTCCCATATTTATCTGTCTATTTATTCTATTGCGAAATCAAGTACGATCGGCGCGATATCCCGTAATAAAGAGTCGTGATAGTAGAATACTCGGTGGTCGTGAGGGTATGCTGTCCTGATGCGGCGAGGTGTCCTTCCCCTTTATAAATCGTTCTCGTCGGTGGCGGCTCGAAGGCGTCGGATTCGTGATGTATCGTGAGTAATCCGGAACGTATAGAAGACTAAATGTATGGTAATATCAACCTGGCCGTCGAATCTGTTCTCGAGTGCTGTTCTGATTTCAAATAAAAGTCGTGATCGCATTGACCATTACGCAGAAGGATGTGGCTCGGGATTGGCCTGACTGAGCCACACCCGCTTGGTCAAAGCTCGGATGTGATAAAAACGACTTGCAAGTTGCAGTTTGATTTGATTCAATCAACAGACTTCTTGTATACCTAAAGTATCGCCAGTGCAGTTCGCAAGATTTATGTCCCGTTTAATTATTTCAGCCTCCGAATGACTTCTAGCCGGGATTGTGAACATACACCCTGAGCAACGACAGACAGCTCTTGCGCCTGGAGCGCTTCTACAAACTGTTGTCTTATTACGGTAATCGAGAAAGCAACTGTCAAGATGGTTGGCAAAAAGTCAGAAAAGGCTCTTCGAGATGAAGGTAATCAGCCAGGTTACACCGAGCAAATGGAAAAAGTCTAATGTCTAACTTGTATAGGCCTCGAACGAACCGACAACAGCATGGGACTATCCAGTTGGCCTGTGATAACCCCAATCAACCAGAAAAACTATTACACGTACGTGAATCTACTCCAATCATCCAGCACATCCTAATATTGAATAGAGACTACCTCAAACGAGATGACCAGCTCCTCGCCTACCGCCTCCAAAACGAAGAAGCGCGCAACCGCATGACCAAAACCGCCAAAGACCGCGACCGCGCACTCGCCCTAGGCAAACAGGAACAAGCCGATACCGAAGCCGACGGAGACGCTGTAATGGAAGATGCCGAAGAAGCAGTCGAGGCGGAAACAGCAGGCTCAAAAGTGATTGTTCTTCATTTGGGAAGCCAGAATTTACGGATTGGGCTTGCGAGTGATGCGCTTCCTAAAACTGTGCCGATGGTGATAGCTAGGAAATCGACACAAAACGAGTCGGAAGATGGTGTTGAGCCGAGACCGAAGAGGGTTAAATTGAATGAGGATGAGAATGAGGAAGATATTGCACCGGAGAAGCGGTTTGGGACAGAGGTACGCTAAATAAAGATACATATTGAAACCTGGAAAAGGGTACTAAGACATCCCCAGTTTGCATCACAATATACAAAAATGTCCGCCGATCTCAAAACGCACATGCGACAAAACAAAAGACGAATGCTACCCAACTCCAAAGAAATGGTCGTCAACTACAACCGTCGAACTGTCCCCGAACTCATCCCGGAACATAACGATCCTTCGCGAGTTGAATGGACAGAATTCTCTAACCCGCCACCTGAATACATAACAGGGCAAAGAGCGCTCAGAATACCAGATGATTCAACCCCACGATACAAACTATCGTGGCCGATTCGAAATGGATGGTGCAATGAGAAGGATTACACGAATGCGCGACTCTTGTTTGTGGATATATCTCTTATCCTGGAAGACGCAATTAAGCGAGAGCTAGGATTGACCAGTAAGAAAGACTGGCCGCAGTATTCATGCGTTTTTGTCATTCCGGATCTCTACGAAAGGTCGTACGTTACTACCATATTGGAAATGTTGATGAAAGAGTTCTCCTTTGCGCGGGTTTGCTTCATCCAGGAAAGTTTAGCGGCTGCGTTTGGCGCCGGGTATACATCTGCTTGTATCGTGGATATCGGAGCACAAAAGACTTCAATATGTTGTGTGGAAGAAGGAATGTGCGTTGAAAACTCGCGTATCAATTTGAAATACGGCGGATTTGACGTTACTGAGACATTTATCAAAATGATGCTCTTTGATCATTTCCCATATGCCGAGATCAACCTGAACCGACGATACGATTTCTTACTTGCCGAGGAACTGAAGAAGAATGTCTGCACAATGAACGAGGGCAGCGTGTCTGTACAAGTATTTGATTTCCATCTCCGTGTCTCAGGACAGGATACAAGAAAATACACGTTCAAAGCATACGACGAAGTCCATCTTGCGCCAATGGGTTATTTCCAGCCTAGCATTTTCAGCCATGACGATAAACTACAGGGTCGTCGGAAACTTCTACCTCGATCGTATGATATTTATGATGGTCAACCGAATGATCCTACATCAGCAGCGCAGTCGGAAATTCTTAAAATCATCGCACCGCCTCTTCCCGCGGAGTTGTTGGCGGAGGATGAAAAGTCACATTCTAATGCAACTGACGTCCAGGCGACACCCGCCCGCTCCCATTTAAATGCTCTCGGTCGTGTGCAGGATTCCGAAGCCACGCCTCGATCATCAGTGGCCGGCTCACCAGCTCCAGAGACAAACACGCCCCTGAATGGAATCGCAGCTGCTGCTGCAGGGAACAGCACACCTGTCCCCGGCGAAAAAGCGAGTCAACCCGCCGTTGCCCCTGCCGCTGGTGCATCCCAACCCTCCCAAGCATCCCAACCCCTCCAACAACCACCACCTCAACCCCCTCGAACCCCCACAATCGAAGAACGCGACGACATCCTCCCCATCTACCCCCTCGACCAAGCAATCCTAGCTTCCATCACGCATGCAGCGCGCTCCGATGACAAAAAAATGCGCGACTATCTGGGTGGAATCATGGTCGTCGGCGGCGGGAGTCAAATCAATGGGTTCCACGCCTATCTCGAAGAGAGATTACATGCGCTCACTCCGACGTTCACAAAGGAGATTATGATTGGTTCCCCGCCGAGGGATTTGGATGCGCAGGTTGTTGTCTGGAAGGGGGCGAGTGTGTTTGGAAAGTTGGATGGGACGAATGATAGTTGGATTGGGAGGTTGGAGTATGATCGGTTGGGGAGTAGGTTGTTGGTTTATAAATGTATGTGGGCTTATTAGGTTTGTTTACGTGACACGATTGTTAGTTTTTTTGTACTCTTCTCATAGTAGCCCTAATTGTGACTACAGTCTAGCAATGCGATGTTTAAAATTGTATAAATGTTCAAGTTACTAATAACAACGATAACCGAAGGTTCAAGTTGAAAGAAGAAAAAATAATACATAAAGGTTCTCTCCTTTTGATGAAGCTCATCTCTTCTTTTCTCCTTGAAAGGAAGACAGTGGTTGGGTTCCGTAGCATATCAGGCCATATCAAATCTGTTCTAGACAGATAGATTCCGAGTGATGTATGAGTAGAAGGTGGTTTATTAAGTGATTTCATGTTCATTGCAGAATGGTCATCTCATTCCCGTTCCGTTCCTTATCATGTGAATGGAAAATTCTCTTTCAGTCGAGCTCGTTGGTTCATGTCCAAAGACTTAATCACGTCCATATCGGGCCTTGCCGATATTGAATGGAATGTATCGATATTTGATCATGTGTTGAATTTGTCGTCGCACTATCCACAGTCAGCACTAAAACCAAAACCCTCAATAGCCAGGGAAAGGAGACATACTAGTCAAGAAAAACAAAATCAACCAATACATAACCAACACCGGCCAAAACACCGGAATATCAAACACCTTCATCCACGAGCACACAAACGCAATCGCAATTGCGCGTGTAGCCGAATGCCAGAACTTGAATTCGGGCAAACGACGGATAAACGGACGGAATTCGTCGTCTTGTTTGATGGGTAGACTTGAGCTACCGGCTTCGCCGTCTTCGAGACCTTCGTCTTGGGTTAGGGAAGGGTCGAATTTGGGGGAGAGAAAGGCTAGAAAGAGGTTGAGGAGGTAGATGCCGAGGGTGTATGCGACTGTTCATATCTGTCAGCCTCGTTTTATGTTTTGATGTGATGTCGCCGAGTGTAGCTAACCGATATACCATCCTTGCGCAAGGACAATTCGTAGGAAGAAAAACAATAGAAGAACCACGCTGCCGACCCATCGATATGTGGTGTATGGTGTCAACTGATCTAGGTATGCTTGGTATTGCTATAAACAATGCGTCAGTTGTGGTTCCTGGAAACTGCCCGATCTTGAAGGTAATTCTCGGAGCGCAAGCTCTCTTCTGATCCAAAACCGTGGCATTGCTTTGAAGAACAAACTGACCCTGGCAAGCTTAGAAGTCTGAGCCTGAACGGCATTGAAAGGAGTCTGATCCGGTTCGGGGACATCCATCGCGACTGACTTGATGAAAGAACGTTTAGGAAACCGCGACGATTGAGTATCCAATAACGAAGAACAATTTCCGGAGGACAGAAAGACTGAAGAAAAAGGAAGGAAAAGAACTGCGTATCCGCGACTCTGGGTCAATTTGAGACGAATTGCCAACTCCGGAGAATAAACTTGGTGGGTTGTCTGTCTGAATTCGCAAACTTGACGGATTCCGTTTGAAGGAAAAGTGTCCTCCTTAGACTGTTTGCCTGAGAGACAAGGCTGTGAGCAAGGTGCTGCATGCGGTTAGCCGCTGCATAAGCCACAGAGCACGTGCTTGAATATTGGTCTAACCGGATTAGGAATTGTGCAAACAGTGCAAATTCCCGCAACGGATAAGCGGGTTACCGCGGTTTGCCTCGGATGAGCAGCTATCATCTTCTGTCAATAGTATCGTGATAACCTTCACTATTCTATCTGACATTCATCTGTTGTGTTCTTGATTATATTATTAGGAATCCACTATAGTACATTACTATCATACGCAATGCTTTTCGCCCGTAGCTCGCGACTGGCTATATCCAGCACCAACTCCGCATTGACATCATACTTTACCCGAGCTAGTTACCGACGCTTCTCATCGACATCTCCAGCTTCTTATGAATACATTCTCACAGAAACACCCAAGCCGGGCGTTGGACTAAGTATGTTCGAGTCCTATCTATACCTCTATTTCAACAGACTAACAAATCAGTCACTCTTAACCGACCCAAAGCTCTCAATGCGCTATGCAGCCCCCTCTTCCAAGAATTGAATGATGCATTGAGCAAATATGATCAAGACAAGGATATTGGCGCTATCGTCATTACAGGCAGCGAAAAGGCTTTTGCCGGTTAGTTCGATTGAGGAATTTTCTATTTGACAAATCTGACATCGTCTAGCTGGCGCCGATATCAAAGAAATGGCACCCTTGACATTCTCATCTGCTTATTCCAATAATTTCATTGCCCCTTGGTCTCATCTAGCCAACAACATCCGCAAACCCGTTATTGCAGCCGTGTCCGGCTATGCACTCGGTGGTGGTTGCGAACTCGCACTTATGTGCGACTTTATCTACTGCACATCCAATGCAACATTCGGTCAACCCGAAATCAAACTCGGCGTCACTCCCGGAGCCGGCGGCTCTCAACGCTTGACCCGTATCATCGGTAAGAGTAGAGCAATGGACCTAATTCTGACCGGCAAGAATTTCAGCGGAAAAGAAGCTGGTGAATGGGGTGTTGCTGCGCGTGTTATTGATGGTGGGAAAGAGGAGCTTTTGGCCGAGACTTTGAAGACTGCAGAGACAATTGCCGGGTACAGCCATGTTGCAGTTGTTGCGAACAAGGAGGTCGTTAATAAGAGTCAGGAGTTGTCGTTGAGGGAAGGAGTGGAGTATGAGAGACGGTTGTTCCATGCCTTGTTTGGCAGCAAGGATCAGAAGATTGGTAAGACTTTTCTGATGTCTGAGTGAAGTAGTGGCTAACTTTATTTAGGTATGACTGCTTTTGCGGAGAAGAAGAAGGCTGAATGGTCACACGAGTGATTATGATACGTATATGACATGATATTGATCTACTAGTTCTTGAGTAGAGAATCAATATACGATGGGCTCGATGACATTTTAGTACATAGACCTCCGCAAAGGACTAGTTTCTGTTGCTCATTTATATTATGTTTAGACCATCCAAGGATCCGACGTAACATCGACATGAACAGGACAACAGTTTCTAGATCATCTTCTGCAACGTGATATACCCTTATGCTCTTTCAGGGTCAGGGTTAGATATCTATCATAGTCCAACACAATGCATTAATCTAGAGCTACTATTATAGCTGAATAGATATCTCTTTTCGATCAGTCATTTTCCTGTTCTCAATGCCCACATCATCATCCGTTCAAACCGTAACAAGTTGCAAAGAGCACCATGAGTGTCATCTCCCAGGGCAACCATTGGAACACCGCAGAGGTGAGCCAACTATTTATCCCATTGATAAAGTTGCATTGTTAGTAGTGTCTTCAGAAATAATTGTTCCATAAATATCATTCTTCCGTGACGTCTGTCATAGTATCGCATCTATTCATCTAACCTAAAACCCTGCCGTCGACGTAGTCAATTAGGGCTAACATCTTGGAATGATATCATACCCGTGATAATCACCATGCGCCACAACCGTTACTCAGTATTAAGCGACATATCATAGTTGACGGAAATCATGAGTATTTTCTATGGATATGATGATTGGATCGATCGACGTTATGGAGGGTATGTTAGTGGCTCGATATGTGTTTGGTTGAAGGGTATGATATCATACGCATACGACCGTGTTGGCATATATATACCATAGTACATACATATCTGATCAATATTTCACAAGAAACTATACAACCATTCCAAACTGTCCATATTCATATCATCAAATAACTACTATCAACATGTCTAACAACCAAGACAACAACAGTACGCACCTCCCTCCATCCCACCCGTACCCAAAACCTTCCAATACTAACGCCCCTTCTTTTGATCAGACAACCTCGTCTCCGGCCTCGGCGACACCCTCGGCCAAACCGTCGGCGGCGTCACCAGCACCGCAGGCGGATTACTAGGCAACGTCGGCAAGACCGTTGGCGACGCAACCTCTGGTCTCGGAAATACCGTTTCGGGCGCAAGTCAAGGATTAGGGAATACTGCTTCCGGGGCTGGGAAGACTGTTGGTGGCGGGATAAGTAATGCTACTGGTGGTGGAAGTGGAAGTGGTGAGCAGCAGATTGGGGGAAAGGAACAGACTGCGGAGAATCCTTTGGGATTGTAAGACTAGCTTTTTAAGTCGGGTTTGGAGTGGGTTGATGGGTTATGTGTACATGATTTAAATTTGTTTAATTAATGTGATGCGATTAACTTTTGATCGGATAGTCGGACATGTAGGTGTCTACAGACGAGCGTGCTCCTTCGTCACATTCTTCTCCGTAGCCTTCTTAATCTTCTCTCCGAGGGTAGCATTAATCCTCGAGAAGAACCCATAAGTCTGTTTCCGCACCCTCTCATTCGCATTACACAAATGACCAGACACATTCTTCACAAAGTTCTCCTGTTGACCCGGCGTACGGCCAAGTACATGCCACAGAGCATTTGCCTGCACAAAATCCTCATCTGTAACGGGGATCTGTTGAGATGTTACTGCTCCGACCCATTTCTCATGTTCCTGACTAGCCTTGACGGGCTCGAATTTCAGTGGCCTGAAACTCGAGGGATAGGCCGGGTTAGCGCCGTAATTACCATTCACAGCCATAGCACCGTCACGTTGATACGGGTTAAAAGCGTGCAGGGGACAGTTGACCGGTATCTGCTGATAATTGACCCCCAAACGGTGTCGATGCGTATCCGGGTACGAGAACAAACGAGCCTGAAGCACCGGATCAGCCGACGGCTCAACACCAGGCACCAAATGCGAGGGCGCAAAAGCCGCTTGCTCAATCTCCGCAAAGTAGTTTTGCGGATTCTTGTTAAGCGTGAAACGACCGAAACGGCGGAGAGGGACCTCGCTTTGAGGCCAGACTTTGGTTAAATCAAAGATGTTCCAGCGGAATTTCTCGGCTTGTTCTGGACTCAGGACCTGCACGTAACAAGTCCATGAGGGGTATTCACCTCGCTCAATAGCCTGGAATAAATCCTGTGTGTGCCAGTCGGGATTCGTGTTTGAGAGTTCACCGGCTTCTTCGTTGGTTAGGGTTTTGTTTCCCTGATCGGTTTTGCAGTGGATTTGGACGTAGTTGAATGTTCCATCGGACTTGATCCATTTGAACGTGTGACCCGAGTATCCATTCATGTGTCGATACGAATAGGGCGTTCCACGATCACTGAACAAATGCATAACCTGATGTGCAGACTCCTGGTGCGTGGAAAGGTAATCCCAGAACATAGTCGCATCTTTGAGGTTTGTCTGCGGATTCCTCTTTTGCGTATGAATGAAAATAGGAAACTTTGACGGATCACGGAGGAAGAAGACGGGCGTGTTGTTGAATACCCAGTCCCAGTTTCCTTGCTCAGTGTAGAATTTGACTGAAAAGCCACGAGGGTCACGAGCACTATCGGCAGAACCCTTTTCACCACCGACAGTCGAGAAGCGGGTTACCAGTTTTGTCTTTTTGCCGATGCCTCTGAGCATGTCAATTGTAGTCTGGGTGTATTAGTTTCATTCTATGAGAAAAAATGGCTGGTGCTTACAATATCGCTAATGTCGTCAGTGACCTCGAATTCACCGTAAGCACCAGCACCCTTGGCATGCACAACTCTCTCGGGGATACGCTCCCGGTCAAAGTGGGCGAGGAGGTCGATTAGGTGAAAGTCTTGCAAGAGAAGGGGACCATTCTTGCCAATGCGCTGTGCTGATTCGGGGTCGAATACCTACTTAGGGAGTCAGGACTGGAGCATTCTTGTCTGACAGGAGAATAAACGAACCGGGCAGCCATTGGAGGTGGTGTAAGTTGGCGTTTCGTTATAGCGGTAGGTTCCTGTTTCGTCAGTATCTAGGATTTCGATCACAGATCAGTAGGACGACATACCTGGCTCGTCTTTTCCCATGATGGAGATCTCACTCAACTCAGAGCGCAGTCAATTCGTATAGGCAATAAGAGAAAGAAAGTATGCAAACCAGAATAAAGGTCATTGACATGAGAACAGCGAACAGGCTATCTCTCTTATACACCCCATCATCCAGCCCATAAACAAGTGTGGGGAGAAATCCCATTTCGGCAGGTCTTTCCGGTGAAATTAATTGATTGTATCGTCATACGCCAATTTTTCCTTATCGCGGTAAGATTTTACGTACTGTACGCGTCAATACCGAATCAATACCGTACGCTGAGCGGAGTACTCCGTTCTCCGTTTTTGTCTTGTACCCCTCATGCGGAGAGAAAGTATAGTAATGCTTTATATTGCTATATAGGCGAAAATTCGATATGATATACTGCTACCAACATCGATTGAGGACTCAATATAGTATGTGTATCATGCTCACGAATCTTGCTTGTGAGCCATTAGCTGATTTCAATCGACGAGTCTAGATGGTATCCAGCTGAGTAATCACTTCCAACTCCTTGGCCGAATTAACTTTGACGTCGAGAGTCGAGACACACTCTATTTATATTGACTACAAGAACCAAACGTTGAGATGATACGGTATGTATTATCAATACAATCGCATCGTATGGATGGATCACGCCGAGCTCGGAGATCGCAGCCAGTAGGAATGATGAGTTCGGAACATGCCGTGTCCTCTCTTTGCTTAAGGACAATTGAGCTGTGATATAATGAATACATTTATTAGCCCTGTCAGTTTATTTTCAATGCGTTATCAGTAAGCACGAATGCAGTTGCGTTTGGGGTGCCTGACCAAGCCTGTGGGTCAGCCCCTTAAGTAATCTGTCGCAAATTATGTTACAGCCCTAACCCTTATCGCGGTCATCAATATCGTCTCGAGAATGTACCTTGACATCAGGGAGGCAAGACTTCAGACTATTGATCAATTATAGACACTACCCAATTGATTATAGCGTAAATGCTTCATCCCGTTTAACCGTCTCCTGCTGCTCTATTTCAGCCTTGATATCCGCCTTCTTGTCTTGATTTTCATCTATAAACTCCCCATCTTCCGGTTTCGGATTCCAAATGGGTATTCCATCTGGCGGAAGAGCTTCATAACTGGGCTGTCCTTTCCGGTACTGCTCTAGAGATCCATTTATACCCACAATACCCCATGCAAAGACCGCCACGTCGCGAATTGTGCTGTAGAAGTCGTGTGGATGAGGCCCGCCAGGTCCATTGTTGATGTAGTTTGGATAAGCAGGGTGGCCTGGGGGAACCATTGGATTCGGCCCGTAGGCCCGGTTATAAGCCGGATGGGTCGTTCTAGGATTTGGTGGCCATGTTTGTGTTGGCATAGACTGCATGGCATGCTGGGGAATGATTGGATTCGTTGCCCACGGTGAGGCAAAGATGCCATTTGCAGCAATCTGAGACCGAGGAGTAAGGGTTTGTTGTAGTGGGATTGAAGGCCGTGCGCGACGCAGGACCACGACTAATCCATCTGATGTGCATGAGACGACTGCTTCGAGTTCAAGGCGTGGCTGTTGTTGAGGATGTTGAGATGTCGACCCGCCCATGGCAGCCACACCGAGTTCTGAACCTGTCGAGAATGTAGTATTGGCAGTATTGTTACCATAAAGACTATTATCATAAGTATTGTTTGTGACCGCTGGGTCCGCTGGAACTGAAGGATTGTCTTCCTCCAATGGATTTCGATACCAGAACCGCAGATAGGCTATAGAGCTATTCACCTTTGCGTCTTCCAGACAGCGAACAGCATCATGTAAACATTGTTCCTGGATACAAGAATAAAAGCTCTTGCCCACTAGTTGCCGTGGAGTGATATCGAGAATCTCTTCCACCCCGTCCGTTGCAAACATGATTGTCAGCGTTCGTGTAAACCGGTTGAGAAACAATGCTGCCCTCGGCTCATGAAGGGCATTTGTAGGATTCTGAGAGAATTTGTTCGAAAGATAGGAAAGCATATGATATCGCGGATCTCGCGGGGATGATGTGAAAATCCGGCGGATGATTGGGGCATCGACAGCTCTTTCTATCAAACTTTTAGTGACAAGCTACACGCAGATGGAAAGTGCTCACTCTGACTGAACGCCCCCTGCCGATATATACTCGTACAAGCCACTAGGACATTGTACACAACCGAAAACACGCATTCACAACAAACCCAATATCCCAACTTATGCTTCACTCTACAATACCGTAAAACGGCCGCTTTATCCAATTGCACACCTCGGCCATGCACTGATTGCGCAAATGGCATCTCATCGGGATGGAAATAGTCCCAGCATGGCCTATTTATCACTTCATGTGGTAGATAGCCCAGGATGTACTCAATCGAGTCAGATGCATATAGAATGCGAGCATCTCTGCTCATATCTGTTTGCGCAGCAGTGATGAGTAAAAAGCGGTTATATGTCTGCAGTCGAGCCCAGTTGTATTGCTCCAGCACTTACCGTGGATGGAGATAAAGGTTGCGTCCATTGTGAATGCTCCATAGAATTGATAAGGGCCTTCAATGGCATGGGAGACAATTGACTGGACAGTCGCAGATATTGACCTCGCTATTGAACAACATTTACACCTTTCGCCCGCGAACAGCGACAGGGCATTCTTGAATTGATTTATATCCAACCCAGCCTGAAGTTTGCCCAGAGATGATGATAAAAAAATGTCAAAGTTGACAGGTCTGGATGCTGACGATCTAGAAGAAAATGGACTTGGCAGCCCACGTCATTTGTCTGTTCTCCCGCATCCCCGAAACGTTACACATTTCTTCATCTCTACAGCCTCCTTTTGTTGCGCAACTGATTTGGACACTCGCACCTTACCAGCACTGAATCCTTGAATCTGTCTGTATTCCATGCTCAGTCCGAGTGTGACGCCCGGAGATTATCGGCGTTGCGATGAACCCTCTATACAGCCTATAATTCGCAAAACCAGCAATATTCGCAACCATAATTGAATACAATCTGCTTCGGTAACAATCGCGCAGTGACAGAAGTATGCTAGAATCGCCGGAACCTCTGCGGTAGAAGTCACCGAGCGTATTTGACTTTGGGAGCTCAAAAACTTGTTAGATAAACCGGATATCCAGCAAGACAGTGTCAGATAATTCGGATATCCGAAGGCAGTAAAAGGAAGTGAACAATCAGAAGCCCTATCTTATAGCCCCCAAAATTTACCCCTCTTGATGACTCACAAATCACCCCGCCAAAAGTGTCTATAAAAGACCCGGCTTTGAAACCTGATGGAGAGAGAGATACAGAACTCAATACATACAATCTTGCTAGTCACTTCTTTTCTTTGATCCTAGTAAAACACTCTTCAGGATTGGCCTGGAATAAACCGACTAATCCGACAAAACTATGATTGCCAAACTTTCGTTAGGGTTAGGGTTAATTAAACACTCCGCATGGGGTGGCAGGGCCAGACACAAAGGCATCTATCCAGCCCACATCAGAAATTGCGATAAAGATACAGAGCACTGATAACTTTTAAACCCTCTGGCATTGTAGTACAAAAGCCTAGAATTCGTCCGAGAACACTCGAATTTAACCATGCGGATTCGCATTGACTAGCCCTAACCACCAAACGACATTGTGTGTATAGCCGCCCAATTCCCCAGAACAGTATGGACTCTATGGAGACCTGGTAACCGCCAGCTTGCTCTATTTTTTTTTTTTTTTTTCTGACTGCCTCACGGATACTTTGAATCCTGAAACGCGCCAAATTTGCACCTTCTTTTCTCGGGGACAGTTCAGCGGTTAATGATACTCCTTCAGAGGCTGGTTATTGGTTTGCTTTCTTTCGAAGATGCGACTTGAATAGTCACTGATCGCATTGAAATCAACCCTTGCATGAGTTGATGATGGTCTTAAGGGAGTAGTGTGCGTCTAATGGGGACAATGATCCCCCGTCAAGGGTTCGAGATATAGCAACCAATGTTAGCCATTGTCTTTATAGCGGATAGCGTATGTATTTGTGAATATAGCTATGCATTGGAAGCTTGATGTGTCCATTTCAGGCATGATTTCGACAGTTTTCCGTTTAGGCATGAATAACTAGACCTATCTCACTCGCAGAAAGCGCCTTGGGATATCCGGTATCACAGCTAATGGGTCTGCGCCTACGATACTTGTACGACTCGAAGCGAATTCAGGGAGTGCGTCCTGTTGTAAACTAGGCGAGGAGGCACCGCATTATGACATAAGATTATCCTTTGTCCGTCTCTTACCCATTTTCACCAAGAGGAAACATTCCACTCCCTAATTCCTGGATCATCTGGCAGCCAGACGTATCCATTGACGCATCATCGCCTCGGTATTTGCATCCTATGAGTTCCGTGACAGGCTTCGCCAGGCTGGTAAAATGGCGAAAGACCAATGAACCGGAACAAGCCTACGTTATGGGTGTGTTCTATGTCGCCTCGCCCATTTTCCACGATTGGTCATCCAAGTTAAGATTGATATCATCCAACCATCCAAGATCAAAGAAATCTCTCACGCCACCCAGTTCATCCATGAACATATCTGCTCCTTGTTGGTAGGAGATGTCTGGAATGCTGTACACCGCAGCATACTTGTCCATATTAGAGTCAATCAAAGATGAAGAATCGGCCGCGAGCTGATCATCTGCGGATGTACAATGGCCCTGCCCATTATTTGGCCTCGCAGGATGCCCATGAGATACGTCCTCATTATTCTCACCTCGATATGCATCGGCTGTAACGCTTATCAGTCGATCAAGCTTCTGACATGCGTCCTTAGCAACCGACCATGTCCGACCAAGAGTCGAAAGCAAACCACAGGCTGCTCGAGCCTGATCTAAGCAGTTCGTAATAGATAAGTCCTTACAGACATAAGGGTGGACCCATAGGCAATATAACATTGTAATTCCCGAGACGAACAGAGCGTGTGCTGTAAGCCAGGAAAAGTCCATGTTTGAAAACCGGTTCAGATCGGTATGTATTCTTATGATTTCCATGGCACTTGAAAAACACATCTGGATAGCGCGTCGCTGAGGCCGTGGGATCTCCGGGCTTGGACGATAAAGAAGTATTAAGCATTGATGGTATTTGAGTTCCAGCTGTTGTAGCACACGATGCGACACAGCGCGCCGAGCGGCAAAGGATCGAGAACGTAAAGTATCACGGGCTTCGACCCAGAGCATGTCGCAAGCCTTTTCAGTATCTTGTTGCCATGCAGAAACATTCTCAGGCCACGGGAATCGCTGTGGCGAGCGAGCTACTCGATAGATCATGAGCTTGATCTCAGCTACAATTCGGTCGAAACGCACCGAAAAGATAGCAGCCACATAAGGGTTGTATGCTAGGGTTTTATGAATACTACTACCGGGAGATAAGTCGTGATTTGCGTTATGGTACCATAATGTCGCTGCGTTGTCAACTTCTCTGCAGCCAACCGTCCCTGGATAATCCCGGTCTATAGCCTCGTCACGTAATGTCAGTGGACGACCCAAAATAGTCGTCAGAGTGCGGTCGATTGAGTATGCAGACCAAAAGATAGCACTGCGCGTATACTGAGCCCGCTGCTCCTCTGCAGTATAGGTTCCGAGTCTGGAACCTATGACAAGTGATGAGCATGAGTTCGTTATATCAAGCTGTAAGTCTGAATCGTGAGAAAAGCTTACTTGTTTCACGTCGATGCAACCCCAGATCGAGACAACTGGCGATTATAGTATGTGTAAGAAACCAAGCATTGAGACCGTCCGGGCTATGGAAGCTATGGAGCACTAGCAAGAGAAGGATCCGCACGCCTTCAATGCTATCATGGAGAGAAGCTGATCTAACGTATGTCATGGCGGTTGCAAACAAACCCTCTGAGGAAAAGTCGCTCAATAACTTCGACTCTAGTATACGAGCTCCCAGTGACAAGACCAGGTATACTTGTGCATGAGTAATCCTTCCAGGGACGAGATTACGCCAATTCTGATTCCCAGAAGATCTCTCCACTGCGCCAAGGAGTTCATCCAACTCATCTTCTAGGATGAAAGGATACAGCTGTCCAAAAGTGGAAAAGTAAGAGTCGGCGAATTGTTGGCAGTCCGCAGAAGATGGCAAGCCTACAGGTTGGGCGATATCCTGCTGAGCTGTGCGGCTGCTGGTGTCATCTTGTAAGTGAACACTGCTTGGTAAGCCTTGCGTCTGCGGAGCACTGGAATAAATCAGTCGCGCAAATGCGACTCCGGAAGAAGGGCCCAGGTATTTTGGGTCACTGGCGACATTGGAGAGAGAGAGTAAGCCAACTTCATGGGCAAGTGGCTGGTCTTTAGTGATGCGGTCAGAGCTGTGAGATAAGGGGGCATCAAAAGTAGATGTGGAATGATTGTTGTGTAGGTTACTCTCATTAACCGACTCGAGGTCCTGCTGCTGGTGTTGAGCAATGATACTAGGGGCTCGCGTTGTAGATGGACTACTGAATATCTGAGCTTGTGATGATATTCGGCGACTGTCTGAGGCCGTTGTGAAGGATTGGTCGGGACCATTCCTCAAAATAAGGTCCCGATTCTCTCGCTCGAGCTGTTTTAGACGTTTCTCTAGATATTCAAGACGACTAACTCAGACGATTAGCTTACATTAGCTTACCTTAGTTAAAATCCAAGATCCTCCTGCATCAATGCCAAACAGAAATGGAGGCCTGGTTGGAAGACACGAAAACGCAACAAGAACATACGCTTGTAAAATAGGTGCAACTACTTACCTTTGCGATTCGGCATCCAGTCTACCCCTGCTACTAATATTGACACATTCCACATTTGCCCTGAGACATGTAGAGCATTTCGGAGTAGCTCCATCGCAGCGCACTTTTCGCCGACGACATCGAGTGCAAGCCAATGCACGTCGCCTAATAGTATGAGTCGATGCAGTAGCGGTGGATTGACCTGCTGCGGCATTGTCGCCGTCACCCTGAAAGGAGAATGTATCAAACTCCATAGCAAACAGACACGAGTTGGTCGATTCACCAAACGAGACGGAATACGGCGAGCGTAGTAGCCCCTCCAAAAGAAATAACAGGTGCTTGTCATGTATACTGCACTTTTTGAGAAACTGAACTACGAACGAAGTGAAAGCATTTTCATGTTGGAGGTAGACCTTTGACGTCGTTTGATTTTCGGAGTTTATCCCGCTTTCTCCAAATTAGTACTAGCTTGCATTCATGTATGTAGGGTTAGGGCTATATAGTAGGGCTAGCATATGGTTTCACGAATCACACCTACACCCAAGCATAAATTTGAGCACGATCTTGAGCAGAGATGAAATAATTTCCCCCGTGATCTTGAAGTCGTTTATACCGTACGAATTAAAGGCATCAATAGCGTTTTTATTCTTTTTTCTGGGTTTAAAATTTGCCATGAGAAATTGCCAGCAGGGAACGAAGAGATGGCCATTAAGGGGGCTGGGATAACATGATAATGAACGTCTACCTGTCTACAGTGAAATGTCAAAGTAAAATATTCATCCTTGAAATTAGCTCTACATCAACATAATGTATAATATTCATATCTCATCAATTGTAAGTCATACTGTTTTGCGACAGGAGGGTCTGTATTCGGGCGCGGACCGACTTCGAAACGGCACGGGAGACCGCACTCCTCTGAATACATGCATCGCCGTCGCCCATGAATAGATCTCCATCTAGATTCAATCATGCTCCGTTCATAGCTTAACCGGAAACTGCAGTGGCTTGAGACCCGGTCATTCGGATTTAGATCCGATTTTGAAAGAGATATGTGTTCGCGAACCTGCACTATACCAACATAACGAATCCGCCTATTCAATCCCATCATCACATGTTTCCTAACTATCCATTATGACAATTATCCACATAGGCAAGTTTCACTTCGAGTTTATATTCAATTTGCTCTCCAGACGTTAACTATGTCTTGTCAAACCATCTCTAGTCATGTTCAAATTCCGGTCAGAAGTAACCGCAGCACACAAGGCCACGTTCGTACGCGAATTGAAAAGGCTCAAAAACCTGGAATGTGTCAAGTCTCATCGTCTTGTCGTCGGCGGACCATCCGTAACTGATCCTATTGAACGAAGCAAAGGCTTCGAATTCGCTCTGCTAAGCTTCCACGAGAATCGCCAGGAGTTGGATAAATATCAAGCAAGTAAAGAGCATCATTGGTAAGCTGGCTCTCCAAGTTTGTCATGACAAAGAATTAGGGGCCATATCTCGCTAACTGAACAATCAATATATGCTCAGGGTGACGAGCACATATTTGCTCCCATACAAGGAAGATGTGATCCGCTTCGATTTTGAGGTTGCGCCAGAGGAAGAACACATGTGGAATTTTCTGCCCATTATCGGAATGCTATGATGTTGAATAGGCTTTCTTGTTACTATGAGGTTAGATGCTCTAGTTGTAGAGTCCAAAATATTGAGCGTTCGAGAAGCCCTAACTTAGCTGCATACTTCGGGCTCGGTCCGCATGCCGTCTTTAGGGCATTTGAGGCACTCCCCGGCATATTACCGTCAAACTGCCTGTGTTGTCAAAAACCATCCTTACATTGTACGGGTCCATCCTCCTTGTAGAATTGATGCTCTTAGTATATATCACGCCTGATTACTAATTTCGGTAGATTTCATGGCATGACTAGTAAGTTGTCTGACTAAATGTAGGCTCTTCTAGGGTTCCAAGGTTGTATCATCTGCGAGTCAACTGACCAACCTTACCTAAATACCCTTGGAACACTTTCAACATGCCGTTATTTTGACAGTGAGGCACAATTAACCATCCCCAGCTCAGAACTCCGATTCTTCTCACAGTGTGGCTATATTTTCGACTTCTGGATTCCCATTTAATCATACTGATTCACAATCATGTCGCTTAACCACGCATAATAGTCAAAGTAATAGTAAGCTTGTCTCACTGATATCAATAAACGCATAATAATATCTCTTTCCTATAAAAAAAAAACTCAAGGATGATCACTTGTCTTCTCCAGGATTGTCTTCATCATCTCATTACCCAATTTCACCGCATCCGGGAATCGAGGCGCAAAGTAGCTCTGGATACGCTCGAACCTGTCCCGGTATGATTCGAAGTCGCCGAATGAGACACAATCTGACCATGCCTGATTCACTATGTCAGATTGTTCTTTATGGAAAAATCCGGAAGGATATACTTACTCGTGCAGCAAATGTGAATTCCAAATCGTCGGAACGGAATGTTTGGTCGTCGATGGCTATGTCGAGAACTTCGTCGAGGAGACTTTCATTACGGAAGAGGTATTCGGTGACACCGAGCCAGAGACGGAATAGCTGTACGCATCAACAAGCCAGAACGTTGTCATGAATAGGAGAGCGAACTCACAGGAGTAGAACAGATCATATGATCGTACGGGACAATACCCAGCTTAGACCAACAATCCACAATAGCCAACAGACTGAGATGATTATTTGGAGGTGCCTCTTCACGAGAATCTTTATTCGACAACGAAAATCGATCAAGCACTTCATCCCTCAGCAATAGATCCTGTCCCTCGGTATCTGACTTAAAGACCGCTGCGCCAGCCTCTTTGACCCTTCTCTTCAATTCCTCTCTTTTCCCCTCAATCATCAATTTGTAAAGTTCCGTGACCGACTTCGCATATTGTCTTATTTGTGTTCGAGCGGCAGGATTGAGAATGGCGAGGCCGGCGTAGACGTGCCATTTATTCGCATAGATGCGAAGAGTGATATTGATCTTGACGTTCTCGATACCTCCTACCCAACGATCGATCTCCCAGGGGAACTGATTATTGGAGTACCATGCTGTGCCCATGCTCAGGAATGCGGCGTGCGTCACAGCCTGGGTATCGGCTGTGATGCGGTCGTGCATCTCGCCACTGAGATAGACATATTGAGACTCGAATGAAGCAAACACTCGCTCGATGAATCTCATGCTCTCGTCGGAAGCTCGGTGTTGGATAAGAACCTAGTTGGCCAAGGTGGTTAACTCAATTGAGGCCTGAAGGATTCAGATCGCAGGCGTACCAGCGGCTGGCCCTTTGTATTCACTTTCGGCCCGTGCAACGAGTGACATGAGACAATCTCTACGTCCGATGGGAGATGTTTATCGAAAGCTGCAAGTTCCGGAGATTTGCAGGACGTCTGGCCGCCAACAATCGCACCGACTTTCGTTGCTAGTGTCACATATACGGTCAGAAGAGCTCCGAAGAACGAAGGGCTGAGCCAGAACATACAAGGACCATATTCTGCAACTATTCTGTCAATATAAGCGGCCTCTACGCTGTATATGATGTAGTCGCTGATCCGCGAGACCAAGTGTCCATTCGGGAATATAGAGATATCTTGCTACGACTGAGATAAGTTTTACTGTTTGGTACAAAAATTGGTGCGGTTGGTCCTTCAGAGGAACATACGTCTGATGCATATTCTTGTTTCAATGATTCGTACTTATCCGGTCTGTCACAGGCATTTATCCTGGAAATCACGGGTGGTATCAGCATAGATGTTAAGAAGGCTACGTGTAATATCAACCTGGCTGAGAGAGAAGTTAGCATGAGTTCTAAAACGGTATAGACGGTAGTGAAAACAGCGAATGGACAAAATCTCATTTCAGAAAAAAGAAAAAGTTAAGGTAGCGAGTTTTTTACATCACTGACGTCCTGACCGTCCCACGCCCACACCAGAATGGCGAGGCAGGGACAGTCAAAACATACTCGAGCCAAATGCACTCAAGTCATCATTCGAGGGAGGATGAAGGTGAAAGAAAAAGAATGAAGTGGGCTTACCTTGCTTGATAATCTACTATCGAGTCGAAATGGACAAATTGAAAGGAGTTACACATCATTACCTCCAACCTGCTTGGCTCAGTCGCTGAGCATACATTTTGCCCATATCACCCATTCCGATGATGCCGACGGAGGCATTCTCCTTGGTAAGGACCATATTGAAAGTAATGTGAATATATATAAGCGACGGACAATGACAATTGATGCTGTCAGCGCAAGGGACTCAATGTAGTCGCCGGCAGCAGACAGATATTCTCATCCACTCGTTGGTATGATTGGGCTCGCAATTGAGTGCTCACACATGAGAAATGACAAGATATCGATTCAAAATGGACTAAGGGATCTGAAGAGAGGACATCTTGAGCGTGGTGAGCTTTTATGTTGGGAAAGAACAAAGAGAAAAGAACGAAAAGAAAAACGAACTTTAACAAAGCTTTCTCGGCCCGACAAAAGCTCCGGGAGACCCGCTCTTGCTTACATAAATATCTTGGCATTCGCTTCCCACAATCCGCACAGCCAGCCAATCAAAAACCCCAGATACAATTTTAGGGCACACCACCGATTTTATCGGCGCATCTTGAATGCCTTCTTTTTTCTCTCCTCTCTTCTCCTTCCCATATTCCATCCACGACAATTGCAGTCCACCCAACGACAAACAAGATGCCTCCTAAGACCAAGAAAGCTGTTCCCGCCCAGGAGAACGTCTCTCTCGGCCCCTTGGCCGGAGATGGTACGTTTGGTCTTCTTCTGTTGATTGTGTGTTCCCCGCTAACATCAAATGTACAGGCAAACTCGTTTTCGGTGTTGCTCGTATCTTCGCCTCTTTCAACGATACCTTCGTCCACGTTACCGATCTTTCGTACGTCTCACCAAATATTCGAACAACACAATAACAAAGCCAGGACTAACAGATCTCAGTGGTCGCGAAACCATCTGCCGTGTCACCGGTGGTATGAAGGTCAAGGCTGACCGTGACGAGTCCTCCCCTTACGCTGCTATGCTTGCTGCCCAGGACGTTGCTGCTCGCTGCAAGGAATTGGGCATCAACGCTCTTCACATCAAGATCCGTGCTACCGGTGGTATGTACACTTCTGCTTTTGCTGATCCTCAAAAACTTTGCATCTGATATCTTGATCAGGTAACGGTACCAAGACCCCGGGTCCCGGTGCCCAGTCCGCTCTCCGTGCCTTGGCCCGTTCCGGCATGAAGATTGGCCGTATTGAGGACGTTACTCCTACTCCTTCCGACTCTACTCGTCGCAAGGGTGGTCGCCGTGGTCGTCGTCTGTAAACAACAAAATGTTTACAGCTACGTGCGCGGGGTTTTATCTTCTCTCTCTTCTCCGATATACATATGCGGGTATCTGGATATAGCTATAGTTGGGTTTGTGAGAAGGATATGTACCTTGTGCGGTCTAAAGCAATTGTGGATGGAATAAACGCGAAGAACGGCAGTCTCACGCCTGGTCTTCACATTCTCCCAAAAAAAATTAGAAGGTAGTCTTCTTGAAATCACATGATGTCGTAAAAAGTACTTGAATTGTCATGGTATACATCCAGTAGGAATGGTTGTATGTGTGCGCATGTAGAGATGATACATATCACACGCTTCTCAGGACTCCCGATCCAAGTAGCGTTAAGCTAGCCAAAACTTCCGAATACGTGAACTCTTGCGTAAATGTGCCGGCCAAACCCATGGCTTTAGGTATTCGCAGTCTGCAACCCATGTACAGCAGCATTTCGCTCATCCAGTCTCGTTGAACCCCGGTTGTAATGGATCCCATGGCGATTGCGCAGTGCAATGGCCACATGAGATTCAACGCACTCAATGTCGTCATTGATGTTGCCGCGTGCTTCCAGACTCTATCATTCTGCATGCTCGATTGCCCATTGAGGTATGCCACTGATGCACAAATCCCATCGGCAGCTTCCTTCATCATCTGAGTCAGGCTTTTAGTTTCTCTTGTATTCGGTCGACTTGTGCCTGCGTATAAGAATCACCCTGTTCTCAGTTGAAAATCACCAATTCTCAATATCAGTGTTCTATATTCATTCCACTTCGTGCATATCAGACTGTCTGAATATGATTCCTCGTAGTAGCCATTATAGCTTGGTGGGAGATCTGAGGGACAATGGCAGCCAGTAGCATTGATCTTAACAGGATGATGCTTTTTCGGAATCAAGTCGTTGACCAGACGAAGATCCCTCTGCATACGTTTGATAGAAACTCGAAGCTTTTCGACATCAAGTTTTTTAAAACTCATCATATTTCGGGTATAATCAATAGCACGAAAGTGGTTCATAATGGTGACGAGCTCTCTTAGGCGCAATTTGGTGATGTCTAATAGCAACCAGGCTTTTTGGATACCGTCCATAGAGGGTTGTGAGATGAGGAAAGCTGGAAGATCAGCGGTTTTCTCTGATAAGGTAAATCTCCGTACTGCTGACACATTGTCCATTGCGGCTGTTCTCTTGTCTTTTGCACTGTGACTATGGTGGATCATTGCAAGCAATCCGTTCAAATGGATCCGCCAGGTCTTCTCGGTCGAAGTAGTGCTCACAATCATCTATTTCGAGCCTTAACCGCAGTCCAATGGCTTATTTATATAAAGAAGACTCACCTCATACAGTGCAAAGAGAAAAATAGGCACTATCAAGGTCCTCGAATTTGGATATAGGGAAATACTTTCCCTCAGATCTCGCATAGCCTCCCGATAACTAATATGTCGCTTCCGTCGCCCTTCAGTCGTTTGCATTGACGCTGCACGAATAACCAAAAGTCCAGCTGTTAAAGTATCAAGGACTTCGATGACTGTTCGACCCGGGCCGCTTTCAGCAGGCGAAATATCAAACATCTCAATACTTCCTTCACCAACGAAATCAGGAAGATGATCACCTTCAATGACAAAATTTTCCAGAAAATAGTCAATTGCATCCTGCATCCAAGGCGGTTTTGTGCTTCGCCGTAGGAGCATGAGATGGTGTGAAGAACTCCTGTAGGATGGAGTGGTTGCGATCCATTGCGAATTCAATGCTGTGCGTGTAGTTGACCGCTTTCCCATAGGACATTTTTGAGTTGATTCATTACGTGCAATGCAGATGCGATTTGCGCTCACACATCTTTGACAGCTAGGGAGAGACCGATCGCATTTGATATGTCTGGATCGGCAAGTTGCGCAACCATGTCCGGAGACCATCACTATATCACGAGCAAGGAGGACGTTTCTTCACCTCTAGATACTCCTTTAAGATTGAAACCCCCAGTGATTAGCAGTTAAAATACGTCTAATCATTTTCGTGCGGCCTTGAGTAGGTAGTATGTCCGAAGTCACGAGGTAATAAGGAAAATGAAGCTTACTCCACCAAAGGAATGGTCTTGGATGATTCGCGCTAGCAGTTTCGCGACCTAAATGATCTAGGCTCAATTCAAGACATGATATACTGACTATTCTGAGACAAGAGTGTTAAGCTATGCAGATAGCTGATGATTTAGTCATTTCGTATTAGAAATCAAGTGTTGTTGCATACAGCTTTAGAAGTATGAAGATGGTATGTCCGGTCTCTTTCCAAGGTTCTGTCGAGATTATAAATATCTGCTATACGGTCACTTTCAAGATTATTCTCACTTTTTGTGATTACAACTCATCAGTTCAACATGGTTCAAACGCTCGAACTTTGGGGTCACTGGGGGCCCCAAATCCATGGTGAGTGAGGTAGTATACGTTTGGATAGAAAATAGCTAACGCAGCAGAATAGGAAAGTATGCATGATCTTAGAAGAGTTGTCTCTTCCCTATAAAATCCACTACCTTGAGTTTTCTGAAGTCAAGAACGAATCTTATCTTCAGATCACGCCTAATGGCCGCCTACCTGCACTCAAGGATCCCAATACCTGGATAACGCTTTGGGAGGCACATAGCACGGATCCCTTTAAGTTGTGAATGATACTAACTATACTACAGTCTGGAGCTATTATCCTCTACTTGGTTGATCAATATGACATGGAGGGCAAAATCTCCTACAAAGATTCTCCAGAAAAGTATCTTTGCCAGCAATGGCTTGCTTTTCAAATCTCAGGTATGACTGCCACTCCTATATGTCTTGTGTCAGCTCCTAATACAGTCATATGACTCAGGCCAAGGTCCCTACTTCGGTCAAGCCACATGGTTCGCCCGCTTTCACCCTGAGAAACTCCCATCCGCAATCGATCGTTATGCAAACGAGATTCCGAGAGTCATTGGCGTCATTGAGCGCGCACTCAGCAAAAACTCGGCCGGTAACTGGCTTGTTGGTGACAAGTGTACATATGCGGACCTGTCGTTTATCACCTGAGCGTCAGTTGGTTATGGTGTGCTGAAGGAATTGGGGAAGACTGAGGGGTTTGACAAGGATTTTCCTACGTATTATGAATGGATCGCTAATATGGAAGGGCGGGAGAGTGTGAAGAAGATTATAGATCTAATGAACAAGGGGAGGATTGCGCATGGACTGGATTAAGACGTCCGTTGTGGGAGGATGAGATGTTTCCCATTTTGGAAATATGCTTGTGAAGCCCTAACACGAGCTAGTTCTTATGCGAAGATCATCATCTCTTCGAGAAATCCGGGGTAATCTAGGATAATAAAGAGATTTTCACATCGGATAAAAATCATATATCTAGTATTTTCCATAGGTTCTGGAATATCGTGATGATATCGACGTCGGATTTTTCTCCACTTCTTTCCGCCAGCTTAAAAGAATGAAGCAGTGACATCGTCCGCAGCTTTCATCCATCATTCTCCGACTTAACAATCACCGATACAGATCTACAATAAGGAGTCACTAATATACTCAAGAGTTATAGCTTTAAGGTCTTCATAGGATGCCAAATATACGGCCAACACCTACAATCCTCCTACCCCGCCTCCCCGCCAAAACCCTCGTCGGCCTCGATCTTCTCAGCTTCACATCCACCGAACAATTCTACGGTATCAGCGACCTAACGCCTGGCTGGCATTTTCTCTACACGGGTACTACAGAGAGTTTCTCAATACGGTGCGGCGCATGGTTTTACGTCCGGAATCTCCCTTTCGACTCAGTGAGTGGTAGCAACGATAGTTCCAATAGCATAATCCGGTACAACGGTACTGCTACCACCGACGGGCCAGACATTCGTATATGGAAATGGAACAAGCATATCGAGACCCTAGTGCCCATGAAAGGCGACAATGACGAAAACCGACTTGAGACCATGCGCTGGAAAGCCAATCTAGGAGGATTGAGACAAATGGGTGCTTTGTTTAGTTATAGAACGAAGGGGCTCCCCGAAAGCACCGAGGTGGATGAAGATGAACTTTCGGGTAAGGAGCCCACACGCAAGGATTGGGTTCGACTGACGAATCGTATCACGCCGGAAATCTTGTCTCGGATATTGGGTACGCCGTTTAGTGACGATGACGATAGGCCGAGTTGGAGTATTAATTCGGCAAGTACCGCGGCGCGAGATGCGGATAATATTCCTGGGATTACGGGGGAGATGGCTTCGGAGGTCAGAACGAACAGCTTTGGGGGCGGGGAAGAAGGTCAAAAGGAAAAAGAGTTACAATTTCTACCCATTGATTTGAAACGAACATGGCGCGAAGGCGCAATCGGTCGTGAGAGGACAGAAGCGGCGCAGGATAGATCATGGGCCTTGGGCGATTTGATTAGGAGATATAGTTCTCCGAAAAATAATGATGAGAAGAAAGGGGAAGGTGAAATACTGGGGGAGCTGCAGTTCTGCTTCCTCATGATCCTAACTCTCATGAATTATTCCTGTCTCGAGCAATGGAAGCGACTGTTAGCGTTGATCTTGACATGTCGGATTGCGATTAAAGAACGAGAACCGCTCTTCAGAGACGTGCTTCAACTCTTGCGATTACAATTACGCCATGGTGAGGATATTGATGGTGGGCTTTTCGAGATGGATGGTGACTACGATGGGAACTTTCTACGAAAACTATTAACAGACTTCCGGCAATCTGTACATCAACTAGAAGAATCAGAGACAGACGGTGCAGGCAGCCTTGTGCGGCCAGAGATGGATGCATTAGAGCAATGGGTACGAGCAGAATATGGATGGGAACTACGCAAGGACTTGATTATGCGCCGAGGGATGTTACAGCTCGAAGACGGAGAACAGGTCGAAATGGAGATGAGCGGTGCAGATGAGGATGATGAGACGGGCGAGTACGCTCCTGTGATTGTTGATACAGGAGACGGTACGGGACAAGAGCACGAGGCAACTGACGTCGACACACCTATGGATTAGTGTAAAACATGATACTATTGTAGACTTTTGATACCCATTCAGAATAACGGACTGAATTTTGAAATCATGAATGCCATTTTTCATTTGATATAGAAATTCTTGACATATTCGTTGCCCACACTAACCCTGCCTGCTAGAATTCGTACAAACAAGGGCGTAAAGAAAAAAATTATCCCGGGATTTTTCTCCATCTCCATTTTTCGTTCTGTGTGGACATTCCTTCCCCTTAATCTGTCACCCGGGAATCTGATTGATACTCGTTAAGAAAGAAGGAAATCCCAATCGTCTTCTCAGGATTCAAAGCACACTTCTCATTCCACCCAAGTGGCTGGCTAACAAAGTTTCTTTTGTCCTCCCAACATCTCATGACAATGAAATATGCTTTTTCTTTTTTCCACACATAAGACAAGACGCGCGCGCCCCCCATTCCCAAGCAGAAACTAACATAACACGATTAAAAGAAAAATAAAAACAAGAAAAAAACAACAAAGTGATTTTTCTGGTTTTTTTCTTCTTTTAACGGTAAGATTTCTGGTAACGAGCACGAGCACCTGGACCACCGAACTTCTTGGGCTCGGCCCGTCGGGAGTCGGCGACGAGAAGTGTGCGATCGTACTGGATGAAAGCCTGCTTGAGGAGGTTCTTGGAGTGTTCGTCAACGAACTTCTGGTAGTAGGCGACAATGGACTTGGCGATGGCCTGGCGGATAGCGTAGATTTGGGAGACGTGACCACCACCGGTGACGCGGACACGGATATCGACACCGGCGAACTTGTCGAGGCCAACGATCAAAAGGGGCTCATAGACCTATATGTTTTGAATATCCTCTATTAGATTTCTATTCTCCCCCTATTTGTTATGGTTCCTGGTTTCTGCGATTTTCGTACCTTGAAGCGGAGCTGCTCGGGCTTAACGAGGTTAAGAGGCTGGCCGTTGACCTTGATGAGGCCTTTGCCTTGCTGTAAAGAAAGAACGGTCTCAGTAATGTGTCTTTCGCAAACGATTCCCACCAATTCCAATCATTCTTTTTTCTCTTCTATCCGTATCCAAATCAATCATCGCTAAGGGATTGTTCATTTCGTACCTTGGTGTGGGCGACTGCGGTAGCTATAATGCGATAAAGAATACTCAGTTAGTTTTTATCTCTCCTGCTTCCCTGAATTCCAAACGTACCAGTCTTCTTCTTGCCGAAGCATTGCACACTCTGCGTAGAAGCCATGATGGGTGAATAATATGGCTTTGGCCGGGGTCAAAGGGAGAGAGTGTGGTCGTTTCGGTGGGTTGATGTTGTTCAACTGTCTCGATATTGAAGATGATCGCACACAATCGGGGCAGGCTGTGCGGGCTTTCGCTTAGTGTTGCCGCTAGTACGGATTAGGATTTTCTCTTTTTCTCTCGAACTCCGTCTAGCCTTTTTGGGTGTAAAGTCATGTGACTTGCCGCCAAGAAACGATTCTGGGCCAAAAGCTTCGGAGCGTCAACGGACTCAACAATTGGAGTGAAGGAGTTCTAGACATTCGACTAGGACATCTCCGATTGTTGTCGCCGGCAAATAATTGTCTTTGCAAGTTTGAAATAAAGATTATATTTGTCAATTGCTCTCCTAGAGCGTGACAACGACACCATGTCGCAGACCGCCGGAAAAGTCAGTAACAAAACGAACACTTCTAATAGCTCCGGATCACGACTGACTTATATGATATAGACACGTCTTGCCTATTCGCGAACATGGCACTACATTGATGTCGGTGCAGACTCGCGATCCCTCGGCCGTCTTGCCTCCTCAATCGCACTCCATCTCATGGGCAAACACAAGCCCATCTACGACCCATCCACGGATTGCGGCGACTATGTCGTTGCTGTGGGATGCCATGATTTACATACTACCGGTAAAAAGCGCCTGCAGAAGAAATACTACACGCATACGACTCGGCCGGGTAGTTTGAAGAGTATGACTATGGATAAGATGTTTGAGAAATGGGGTGGTGGTGAGGTTTTGAAGCGGGCTGTTCGGGGAATGTTGCCTAAGAATCGGTTGAGGGATAAGAGATTGGCGAGGCTGAAGAGTAAGCTGACCTTTGTGCTTTCATATCCCGCCGAGTTCGAGATTGGCCATTCAATAACGAGCAGGTGCTAACTGACTTCTTACAGCATTCGAAGGCCTTCAGCACCCTTACAAGAAGAATATTGTCAAGATCGCCGGTACCAGTGTGCTAGGCAACCTACCCGAGGTCAAACAAGCATTCCAAGAGGCCAAACAGACAGCCGAGTCAGCGTCGGCTTCTCAATGATTCGTCTAACATGTACAACATATATATTGTTCTTCTTTCGTGAAAGTCTTGTCCTCTTTTCTGGGTTACTTCAAAGCGCATGGATGGAGTCTTTGGCATTTTTTTCCCTTTCCTCTCTGTTACGTCTTATCCGTCGTGGCATCTACTTGTATTCTAGATCCTCAATCCGGTGCTACAAATATATTGTATATCGCAAGCATTACGATAGACAATCTTTTGGAGAGAAAAGAATTTTGGATTGATAGATATATACATTAACCATGCAACAGATAACGCCCGCAACACCCATTCTAAGCATTTATGAAGAGATATCTGAAAAGCTCAAAGCTTGGGCCTGGAAGTGCGAGCTACAGTGCACTTGATAAGTCCATTGGGCCCTGACTGGGGAGCGAAAACCTCAGCATCCTTGCCTGTGTTCTTGAGACCCTTGTGCCATTTCAAATCTGCAGAGAACCTCGTCAGTCACTATTCCCGTGATAATGGGGAAAGGGAGTGAGATACTTACCAACTTCAAAGTAGTGCTTGTTAGGCAGCGAGTACTCCACCGTCTCGACCTGCGGGACAGCGGCTAGAATCTGATCTGCCATCTTGTACATGGTCGCTTGCACACTAGGACTATTCTCCTTTGCGAATGTGGAGAGGGTAATTTCACGCGCAGCGCTCCAGGCATTATCGAACCGAGCTGAATCAGCCTGCACCTCAGCCAAGCTCGAGAATTTCTTCCATTTCCAAGTTGCATCCACCTCGGTACTGAGAATACGGTCCCAGACTTCTGGTAATGTAGTATATTCGTCACGGACGAATCCCCAGAATTGTGAACCAGTGCTTTTCAGGACATGGAGGCCCTGAATGGTGGATGCAATCTCAATCCCCTTACCCTCAGTTACGTCAACTTGGACATTGCGGGTTTCTGCGCCATCGCGCAAGAAGGAGTGAGGATGGGGCTTGCCGTCGATGGTCATGCGAGTCCATCGGTGGGTGATGATGTTAACGTGGGCGACATGGATATGGCTGTATTTCTGGATGAAGTGGTTTCCGATGATGGATGCGAATACTTCGGGGGTTGTGACTGGATGTTGCTTGGCGAGGATAAAGATGGTGTTTTTGATCGAGTCTGTGGCGACTACGACGCTATTGTCGGCTTTGGTGTATCTGCAAAAGGTTAGGCTATTGAACATAGATATTATGATATGAAGATTACTCACGAAACGTCAATGTCGCCCTCGAGAAGACAGCAAACTGTCATCTCAACCACTGTTTGAAAGCCGGTCTTCTCATCGCGGTGGACCTTGTAGACACGGACATTGTCCTTGCCGTAACGGGCAGCAGCAAGCTTCGAAGACATTTTTCTTGGTTAAAAAAAAAGAGATAACCTTTTTGGAAATCGATCTGAGTATATCAGGAGATTCAAAATTCTGACAGTCAAGAAGAGTTAGCTATACAGCCACAATTATTTGAGTAGGAGCTTAAAGTAAGCTCTGCAATTCTGGATGCGGAGCTTATCTTGCGATTGCTTCCGTATCAAGATATGGGGATAGGCGTGCTGATAAGATTCTTGGATGCTAACTCACCTGTCTTCAACCAGGATATACTAAGCAAAAGAAGTAGAATATCCTATCTGATTTGCCAATCTAAAGTACTTTTGCAAGGGATACAAGGAACGTCAAGGGAAAAGGTATGGTATAAATAATGAATCGATATCTATCTCATCCACCCAATCGGCCAGCTCCGACACCCGCCAGACGCGAATCGCTAGGCCGGCGCCGCTTCTTATTTCTTATTCCTGCGATCCGATAGTTAGCTTGATCGTGTTTACCTAACATATTAATCGACAGGCCTAGCTCAGCGGCGGAGGCCGGGATCATTGAAGATTATTATCTATATGAGTTGGACTTCTACGATGCTAAAGTCAGCAGTGAAGATAGGGCAACTGTATCGTATGATCTTTGATAAATCATCCCCGCCTCAGATAAGTTCAACGTCCGTGTCTGGTGTGCAATCGCATGGTCTCTGGCGCTTTGATCATCGGTTTATAATTCTTTGAGCATTTGCATTAGCAAGTGACAGGGTAAAGCTCAGTTCGACACTGACTGGACAATTTGAAGCTGTGATATCCCTGACCGATCACGGATGAGCATATCAGAGAGACTCGTCGCAGTCAATCAAGACCGTTATATGCGCGGTTATATTGACAAAATCAGTTCCAACGGGCAATTGTGTTAGTATTTTGAACTCGCAATGTAGATGGTTGAGTGGAAACAAGGGGAAGTTCGCTGGGAGGAATGCCAAGCCTGGGACGATCTGGAGAAGCGTGACAGGCTAACTTCGCGGGATATGTCTAGCCAGCTATGTACCCCCAGACCTCACATGCTGCCACAACAATAAATGCCTTCTCGCTGGGTATTGCAAGACTCGTCAGTTTGAGGATTTGATCTATTCTCTGATTTCTACGCCTGCTGTCTGGGGCAATGGAATTACCAGCTGTATTTATTCTTAGCGTTTAATCGATCCGCCGTTGTCTCCGAGATTCAGCTAGTCTAAGCAGCCCAAAACACTAGATGTTCGCTACAGTACACACCCACAGCCACGCCGCCGTTTTCAAAAACACAATTTACCGGATACCCGTGCGCTAAGAGAAACGAGATCATCGATGCGACCCTTGTCGACCCGTCGTTCCGTTGTTGCAAGGTGATAACGCGTTGCGGCCATTGTATGGAGGGGAACCCATGGCGTCTGCATACAATACCGGGAATTCGGCGACACCAACTCAGCCTCGAGCACTTGGTAATGAAGGCAAGGCAGTCTCCAGAAGTCAAGATGATGGAGGAGCAACAAGCTGGAACGATGCCGCTTCACGGTCAACCCGTAACGGGCGCTCCGGCTCTGGTGGGAGCAGCTCTATCAGTACACGCGGCGGTGCTTCACTCGCCCCGTCAGCCCAACCGGGGAGTTTTAGTTCGGAGTTGAAAAGTATGCAGAATTCGCGGAGCGTGACTCCTCGCCAGGATGCAGTATCGCCATTTCCGCGGCTCTCAAATACCATGGAGGAAGACGAGCCCGTTGCGGATACGACCGAACAGCGCCAGGCTGCCATTCGAGATAAGATAGCGAAGGAGATGAAAATAAAAGTTGGAACGGAGAACATGTTGGAGGCCTTGTTGACCAAAAATGCCAAACAGACCAGAGATCAAAGGCTTCGAGTCGAATCGGAACTGAGTACGTCAAACAGGAAACTAGCAGAACTTCGACAGGAATTAGAGGATGAATTACTTCGCGCACAAACCCCTTCAACACCACAACGCAGTCGGCTGTCTGCCTTGTTTCGTGGGAGTCCGATGCGATCTCCCTCTCGTGCTACAGATTCTGCGGATGAAAACATGGATGACGCAGATGGAGAGACTGAGTCACCGACATATGTCCTAGCAGAAACACTGCAGGCTCTGGAATTAGAAGGAATGGCGCCGGATTACTACATTGAAAGAGCAAACAGTTTGGTCGAACTTTTCAAACGCCATCCAACATTAAAATACGACCTTGAGTGGTCCGTCTTCGGGCAACGGGTTCAGATGATGCTACTGAGTGATAGCAGAGAAGTCGTGGCGGCTGGTTACCGCTTAACCCGTTACGCTATAGCAGACAGAGCTTCAATCAGGACGATCCGCCGTCTTCATACAGACGAGCTGGTGACTTTATCTCTGGTCAAGGAGAGCAAAGCGAGCATTGAAAGAGAGCAGGCATTGAAATTCGTCAGGGCATTTCTAGATGTCAAGGACGGTGTACATGAGATTTCCAGAGCGGTCGTTAGAACAATCGTATCGGTTGCGGAGCATCATGAGGATAGATTACGAAACATATCCATCATGACCCTGGCTGAGATTTTGATCAAAGATCCAGGCTTAATAGCGTACGCGGGGGGGATTGGGCCACTCCACGATGCTTTAGCGGAGGGAACGTTCAGCGCTTCTGAAAGTCTAATAGGGAGCTTTTTGCACATTATGGACACTCCACATAGGCGACAATATCTTCACGGTGGTCGTGAACTTGAAGCAGTCCTTTGTCCCTTCACTGACTCATTCTCGGATACCGTACGCTCAGGGCGCTTGAAGTGCTCGGCAAAGGCCATTTCGGCCATGCTAAAGACCTGGCCCGGTTTGCTTGTACTTGCCCGCGATAAGTCGAAGCCACTTCAATCGTTACTCGAATCGCTCAACTACCCTGATCCTACCGCGAGAGATCTTATACTGGAGCTACTTTTCGATGCCCTTCAAATCAAGCCACCTTCTTGGTCCTCGTCTTTCCTTGCTGGCAGACGGCTGACGACATACGGCAGAGTGACCAATCTTCGTTCAGAGTCGGATAGCAAGCAGCTACGTATCTATCAGGAAAACGACAAGAACAGATTCGACCTAACTGCACATTTTTCAGCATTGGTTTTGGCGACGTTGCTGGAGGCTGATCTAGTGAAAGCATTATCAGGTCTTATTGAAGTGGAGAACAACCAATCCCTGAAAAGAAAAGCCACTTTACTTCTTACAGAGGTACTGAAGCTAGCTCAACATTCTCTACCACAGTCCGTCAGTTTTAGTCTTCAGGTCCTTCCGTCTCTACTTCCTGCTGCCGTCAAATTTGATGTTGAAAACCATGAAATATCGACCTCGACTATATATCAGATTGAAAGTATCAATCGAATTCTAGCACGATCTGGCTCACTTACAACCACATCAGGAAGATATGCTGTCGTCGACGAGGATATTTCTGCGTCACTCTTATCAGGAGAATTTGCTAAGAATAGACTCAACCCGGCAATGGACGAAGCGCAGTTTCGAAATCACATTCTCGAGACGCAGGTTTTGAATACTGTTAACTATGTCAAATGGAAATGGGATCTGATTCTTCGCATCATCGAAGGACCATTGACAAATCCCAAGAGGCTTGAAGAAGCCATCAAGGGCTCGAAATTTATGAAGCGCTTGATTGGATTCTATCGACCATTCAAATACAGGTTTTGCATGATACCCAACACAAAGCCGAACCAGCGCTATGTCCGGACAGGTTGTGCCTTGTTACGGACTCTAATGCAAACTCCTGAAGGGATCAAGTATCTTGCAGATAACAAACTGCTTCGGCAGATCGCAGAATGTCTTGCACAAGTTGATCGTATGAGTGGGCTCACCTCGGCATCGCCTTTGTTCTCCAGAGAACAAATGGCAAGTACTTTGAGTGGTGGCTACTTTGCGCTACTTGGCGTCTTGAGTAGTGATACCAAGGGTATAGCGATGATGGAACGATGGCATATGGCTAACATGTTCTATCATATTATCGAGCTGAAAGACCGGACTGATCTCATTCAGGCTCTACTTGGAAACATGGACTTTACTTTGGAGAGTCACCTAAGAGTGCTCTTGTCCAAAGCACTTACTGCAGGCACCAAAGACATTCGAATCTTCGCGACCAAACTTCTTCGTAAGTATGCCGTCGGGCATCATCTCGCTGTTAATAATGTCGTCTGGGTTGTGCAAATGCTTGTTACCCAACTATACGACCCCGATATTTCCGTTTGCGAGATTGCAGTCAAAATCTTGGAGGAAGCTTGCAATCAGCGAGAGTATCTTGAATACGTTGTTAAATGTCGGCCGTCACTGGACCATCTTGGAGAGATAGGTGCTCCGCTACTTCTTCGGTTTCTGTCGACTTCTGTCGGCTATCATTACTTGGATGGACTGGACTATATCACACAAGAGATGGATGATTGGTTCCTCGGGAGAAATGATGCCTACGTTGCATTGGTGGAAGCTTCACTCTCACGTGCCTACGTAGACCACCCACGCCGGCAAACCTCTTCGTTTGCGCCCGACGACATTGTTGAGATGCAGGATATTGGCGTCGTGCCACCGCATTTCTACCGAGAATTAGCCCGTACATCCGAAGGTTGCAAACTACTTGAACAGTCAGGGCACTTTCTTGAATTTGCGAGTACCATTCGAGATTTCGATTTGAGCGAAGAAGATCCCGAGGCACTCCTGAAAGTGAAAGGGTGTCTGTGGGCTGTGGGAAATGTTGGCTCCATGGAACTTGGTGCTCCGTTCTTGGAGGAGACTGAAATCGTGCAGGATATCGTTAATATTGCTGAGAAAGCCGATGTGATTACGATGAGAGGTACTGCTTTCTTTGTCTTGGGCCTCATATCGCGCAGCCAACATGGATTGGAAATGGTTTATGAGGCGGGATGGGATGCTGCTGTTGATCAGCGCGGTGGTTCCCTAGGACTTTGCCTACCGCGACGTCTGGAGAAACTATATCACGTATGATCATAATTCTAAACTTCTTATTTCAATCAGCTAACATGATCAAGCTTTCATTTGCACCCCACAAACGCAACCAGGAACTCAAACGCATATCACAAGAAATATTCAAAACCGCTTCTACCGACCCCGATCCAACGAACCAGCGTATCCTGAAGTTAATCATCGACATGGGGAATACTGTCTTGTCCAAAAGGGCAGCCAATGACCTGCAGGGGTATGTATTACTTGGATTAAAGAAATTACAGACAGACTTCTAACAAGACACTTATAGTATCAAATCCAAACACCCAGACCAATTCCGCCAAGTAGAACTCTTCCAAAAGACACTAACCATCCTCGAAAGCCATCATTTCAGATTACCTGCTCGCCGGTTTGCGTTGGACCTGTTCGATAAAAGTGTCATGAGACGTATGGTTCTCGAAGAGGATGAAGACTCGTATTCCGAGTCGGATTCATAGTACTACTTCAACAGCTCGTACCCAAGTCACACTAGTTGAAAAATTCCTTTGAGGCATACTTCTTCTCGTGAGATACTGTTGTTATTTCGTTTCTTGTACATAGGTATACCCGGGAAGCATTTCGGTCGTTGTATGTTTGCACGTTTGTGTCATCCGGAGGATTATACGTACTCTGCTTTTATTCTGGAACGGGGGATTGTTGATGGATGCATGCATGATTTCTTCCGAGTATCACGAATAAAATGAAATGGAATGATTGACATGACGAAGTGTTCACAACCAAGTATAACAAATGTAGTATCAAGACACGATGATTAATAAATCACATGTTCTCCAGATGATTAGATAAGATTGTCAGAGCTCAGATCGGACATTTACCGACGCGCTTATCGGAGAACCGTTGTAACAACAACCAAGTTTCATCATCATACAACCCCGTTGTCAACTATCTTATGGCCCGGAGTAGCATGATATAATCCGATAACTGGGGTCATTGCTGCAAAATGACTACATAGATCATTTCTGAATAGAATATCTGGACGTACATGCTACATCGGCTCCGTCTCGACATCCATCCTCGGAGTGGGGCATCATCATCAAGCATGTCGATGATTCCATACAATGAACGAGGTCAAAATTCATCCCAGTCGGCTGATAATCCAACGGATTATGGCGCAGACAATGAATCGCTAACTCCGACAGAAACCGAGGATAAAGCTACTCCTGCTGCTGAAAGGACTAGTAATTCCTCGAAAAAGTACGGGATCGAGCCTCATTCATTGATTCATCCTTTCCAATGTCCGCTCTGCTCTCTACCGCTTCGAGTACCCTTTCGTCTTCCATGCGGAAAGACTATTTGTCGCTCTTGTTTACCACCATTGAAGCGACGAGAAGGAATCACGTATTTACGGGGCAGTGGTAGTGACGGACGACGAGAGGAAGGGTTTATATGTCCCTGGAAGGATAAAGGATGCGGAAATGAGCGTGTTCCAGCTGAGCATGCGCTTGATGATTGTGGAGTTGATGTTGTTCTGGGTAGGATTTTGGATGTTTTTGAGAAGGTGGTGAAAGATTTTGAGGGTGAGAAGCAACAGGGGTTTGATACTGATTTATGTATGCGATGGAAGATGACGTCCGTTGTTTCTGTGACTGGGGATAGCCATGGGATTGAGGTGGGAAACGACGACCACCCAGCAGAACGGGAATACAAAGCTACCTTGCGCGCTGGACGCTACTTGGGTACATACCTGCTCGCTCGGGAGGGACGTTTACCCTACGATGCCAAAGATGTCGTCTATTACGACAAGGACGGCGTTATTGTTGATGAGGAGAAACCACTGAACGATGGCCCAAGCACCAAATTAGATGAAGTCATCTTTGAAAAACTCGGAAACGGTATCAGGGAGGAGCTAGATTGTCAAGTATGTTACGGACTGATAATTGATCCCTGCATCTCATCGTGCGGCCACAGTTTCTGCTACGAATGTGTGAATCGTATCAGAGACAATTCAAATCTCTGCCCCCTCTGTCGGAAAAAGATGTATCTATCCTTCCGCGAAGGGTCGAACCCAGTCCACAACGTTCTACGTGATCTACTAAATTCCTTATTCCCCGACGAAATCAGTTCTCGCAGGGAGATCATCGAAGATGGGGCATACGATGAAGATGAATTACCTCTATTCGTGTGTACCCTAGCTTTCCCATCAATGCCGATATATTTGCATATCTTTGAACCGCGGTATCGTCTTATGATTCGTCGAGCTTTGGATTATGGGAATAGCAGATTTGGTATGGTTATTCATTACCTATATCATGGTCTTGATGCGCAAAGATTCCCGGATGCACCGCCCCAGCCGTTTATGCAATATGGCACAGCTGTTAAGATTGAATGGAGGGATTTCCTACCTGATGGAAGGATTATGTTGACCGCTGTGGGGACACATAAGTTTAGAGTGCTTCGTTATGATATTCTCGATGGGTACTATCGTGCTCATATCGAGCGTGTGGATGATATCAGCCTTGCAGAGGAAGAGGCCCTCGAGGCACGAGAATTAGCTGCTGCTGCGGATACAACGAACCAACAGCAAAGCGAGTCATCATCACTCAACGACCTATCAACTCAGCAGCTGATGCAAATATGTATGGATTTCCTCGAAAAGCAGCGCACAAACTCTGCGCCAGCAGTACGTGACAGAGTCAATCGGGCGTTTGGTCAACCGCCTACAGATCCAGCTATTTTCCCGTATTGGTTTGCGAATGTCTTGCCCATACCGGATGAAGAGGCATATAAAATTTTACCGTTGACTAGTGTGCGTGAACGACTCAAGATCGCAGCGACCTGGCCGCATATGCTTGAAGCTAGCGGATGGTATGTTTTTTGTCACTCATTATCCATTCGTCAGGAAGTATATGGAACTGATCAATTCAACAGGTCAATATCAACCTCCTCCTGCACGATCTTATGACTCCTAATCCCTTTTCTCCTCATAAGCATTTTCAGTCTTATTTTCATCAGTCAGCAATATACATTCACTTACTCAACTTCGCCAGCATCTGCTTTTTCTTTCTCAATCTCGTTTGGTCGTTTCCCGATACAACAGCCCTTGGGAGCAATGGTTAACAACGGCAATAATAACAGCACGCCTACACCGCTGAGCACAATGACATTTGTGCCGCAGACAATCATCATTGGGTCCATGGTACTCGTGCTAAGTGCACGAGTAATGAGTCAAGCGAGGCATGTATTACACCTGAGAAGATTGGGACAGGTGGGGAGGAGGAGAAGGAGAAGGGCGTTCTTCCGTTAGGTCCTCCGTTGACTTGGATAGGGTGGTGACTAAATGTGATATTACGACGATCGGCAATGAAAATTGAATGAGATGTTATGGGAGGGGAAAAGGGACAAGAGAGAAAGAAACTACTGTGAGGAAAAGATCGTCACTTGACTGACGGCCTGGAAACGAGTCATGACTTTTATTTATACATATGATGTCCTCTCGCGAAGCTGATTATCGAGAGGCATGTACCTACCTTTTGTAGGTCTTCTATGACATGGTGACGCGAGATTTTGTACTTAGATACACATGTACATATCCATTCTATGCACATTTCACTTTATATGCATCAATGTATAGTTATGCCATATACCTACTATCTCTCTTACAGTTATGAACTAAGTTAAAATCGGTCTTTGAAGAAAGTATTGTATTTGGGAAAAGGCTGCTTGCCCTCTAAATCAGATAAGATACAGTGATCCATCGAATATCGGAAGGATTTTGATCGAGGGATATCAAAATCCCTCATAGGTATGAATGGACTTTTCGAGATTGAGAAAAAGATTGCGTGGATTGAAGAGAAATGAGGAAATCAAGCCATCGAAGAACGCCGTCACATGCATTATTACAAGATCTATGTGATTGATGGGGTGTATCCGAACCGTAGACACAAATCAATCAGATTCATCGGCCGAATAATCTTCTCGTCCCGGTCTCGAGCTCTCCTGTGCAACGTCAGGGTCGGCTTCAGCATCAGCACTGTTTTGTGTATTCCCGTTTTCATTTCCCTCGTCTTCTTCCTCCAATTGTGTCGGAGGAGGCGGTATGTTCTTCTTGAATTCAGGATCCACGTTACCACGGTGCAGACTTCGCTTGTAGATTTCAGCTTCGTCGGGGTCACGGACAGTAACATGGATCTGGTCAGCTTGGTCCTCACGGCCAGAAGATTCGCCGTGACTACGGGACAGCCCTGCTTTTGCGATTTTGCGAGCTCGTTCGGGCGCAAGTCGCATTTTGCCCAGGATGGGGTAATAATAAGCAGCTTTTATGCCGTTATCAGTTTCGCTTGACTTGGCCTTGGCTGGATCGAAGAATGTCAAAGCAATATCGCGCTGTTTCTGATCCGAGTTCAATTGTTGAGCTTTCGTAGAATATGTTCGTAATCTGTCGTAGCGATGGAATTTGCTCTCTCCATCATCATTCGTGTACAAGTCCTCATCATCTCTGTTCGGGTTGGAAAGATCAAGATTCTTCTTGATCTTCGTGACAGTACCCTTCTTCTCCGGCACAAACAAGTCGTAATCCCATGGGATGGGGCCTGGATCCTTGTAAAGTCTAGGATTATTCTTGTGCAATCTAGCCTTTGCCTCATGCTCTTCGAGAACATGCTCGGGTGGTGCAGAAGGATACAACAGACCAACATCGATCCTATCATCGCGTTTCCCTGAAGCTGCCAACAAGGGCGGTTTGTCGAACTTGAACTGAACAAAGCCACCTGGATCTGGATATCCCTGCAAGTCTGGAAGAACCGGGAAGAATCCCACTGGTTTGAGTTTGGGGTTCTCTGGATGAACAGGGCGAGCCCAAGCATCCAATTCCGGCTTTTGTGGTGTGTGTCCCTTGATTTTTTCGGCAGAATCCTCCCCAGTATGCTTACTTTGTGGATAAGCAATGTCAAACCCTTTCATAATGTACTTCTTGATATACACCGGATCGTCGTTGGCTAGCTTGGGTTTCTCAGAAGCACGGGGTTTAACTCTTCCCGCCGGCGGCTTGAAACCGCCAGGGCCTCGTTGTTCCACGGCAATGTACTGAGTACGACGAAGGAAACTGACGTTGACATTCTTCACTGCCGGGTTCTTGAGCTGGTCAAGCGGGACTAAGAATGGCAGGTCTCGAGGATCAGGTGGTGGTGGTGGATTTTCCGGCATCAAAATGGCTAAAGACATGTTAGCGTATAATGGTCAAGTCATACTTATTATTCAATTACGTACCACTTTCATCGCCTAAGTGAAGGCCTGGTATTCCGACTAGGTCAATTGGCATACCACCTTCAGCATCGACATCAATACCCGGTTCCTCTCGCCTGGCCATATTCGAAGCATAGCCGGGAGCTAAGAATCGCTGCAACCCTTCGTGAGGAATATCCAAGAACTTTGGAGGCATCTCTGGTGGTGGCAAATCATTTCGATAACGAAGCGATGCGATGTATTCCTGATGAAAGCCCTCAGCAGGGCGATTTTCCTTTGTCTTGGACATCTTGTCGCGAGGTCGCAAGTTGACAAGCGAATACGTTGACGACTTGGACAATCCTGTCGCTTGAGGATAATTGATCTGGAACTGATAGCAGGTCAATCAGTGCAGTCCTCTGGTGGTCGGTTGCGTAAGCGAGCGCAGATGGACAAGCAAAGACGAGCTTGTCAGGTCTGTCGCTATCTCGCCTCGAACAATAAGGAAAGCGCCAATTCATGCTATTCTGCTCTTGTACACCGCCTGCTATACGTGCACTAGACGACTTCCGGAATAACAATATTCCTTGCGAGCTTCAGATCACATGACTACTCCACAAAGACCCGCCAAGGTGCCGGATGCAGCCAATCAAAGGCTCAGCCTGTGAGATTTATATAAATCTGCCCCGGCGTGATGAACCCTGAGAAAATAGAGGACGTTAGGGCTCGGAAAGCAGATCATAAGTATATTTCAGTTGTTTTTGGTTTCTCCCGCTATCAGATTCGGTGATTCATGCTCGAAATTGCTTAATTTTGCTTGATCACCTACGAGCACGCTTGACGTCACGCATGAAATGAGTTTGCTTGGTACAAACTATTGAACAAACTACTACGCAGAACTCGTTGCGCTGTTCCTTACTTGACTTCTACCATGCAGCCGTACCGTTGTGTTGAGACGACAACCGCGAAAAAGTGGAAACATATTAACTAACGTACTACACGGGTCATTCGGTCAACCCCATCAATTCTTCGCTCCGCATGCTTCTTATTTCTTTTCCACACGCGATAATGGCTCCAACTCGCTCTAAAGAAAATCGGAAAAAATCAATTGAGCAAGAAGGACTAAAGGAGAATGCAATCCGCGATTTAAAATCTTCAAAAATTCAAAGTGGTCGCGAAGCTGCACGCGTTTACGGCCTGCCGCCATCAAGTCTCCAGGAGAGGCTCAATGGGAGGCGGCCATTGGCAGAATCAAATGCTACAAAGAGGAAATTGACTCCTACTGAAGAGGAAACACTTATTAAGAGGGTCCTTTCTCTAACAAAGCGAGGATATCCTCCCCGGCCTATATTTATTGAGAACTGGGCCAATCTTCTACTTGCAAATCGAGGATCGAACGGGCCAATTGAACCCGTCGGTATAAATTGGAAATTAACCTTTATTAATCGCCATCCTGAAGTCAAAAGTGTCTATTCTCGAGGCTTCCATTACCAGCGAGCTAAATGCGAAGATCCAAAGGTTATCCGGCCCTGGTTTGAACTTGTACGCAGCACTATTGCTGAGTATGGTATTGATTCAAGTGATATCTACAATTTCGATGAAACAGGCTTTGCAATGGGCCTTATCAAAAGCGCAAAGGTTATAATAGGCGCAGAGACAACTAATAAGGAAGCTTTCGTACTACAACCTGGAAAGCGCGAATGGGTAACTGCCATTGAAGCAGTCAATTCAACTGGGTGGCATCTACCTCCTTATATCATCTTCAAAGGCAAACATAAGCGCATGGCATGGTTTGAAGATGATCCAACTGTCCGCTTCCAATGCAGCGATAATGGGTGGACAACTGATAAAATCACATTGGATTGGCTTCAAAAGCACTTTATTCCACTTACAAGGACGCGTACCGTGGGAAGATATCGGCTTCTTATATTAGATGGACATGGCAGTCATTCTACACCTGAATTCGATGCCACCTGCATTGAGAATGATATTATAAGCCTCTGCATGCCTGCCCATACGTCACATCTATGCCAGCCACTTGATGTTTCAATATTTTCACCATTAAAGAAGTCATACTACAAGCATGTCGAATACCGCACTCGATTGGGATTCTCACATATCGATAAACTTGACTTTCTAGAGGCATTCCTGCGCGCGCGGACAGAGGCATATAAAATAACGTCAATTCAGAATGGATTCGCAGCTACAGGACTCATCCCATTAAATCCCGAGCGAGTACTGGAAAAGCTGAATGTCCAATTGAAGACTCCAACGCCACCTGGCAGTAGTCATGGTACTTCGCAGTCGCAGTCCTCCTGCTTCCAAGCACCTTCTAATCCGCATGAATTGAAACAGCATTCAATAACGGTAAAGAAAAGACTTGATCCAGTATTCTCCAGTCCTTCAAATCTGACTCTTGTCAAACTGAATCAAGTGTATAAAAGTTGCGAGATAGCATGGCACAATGCTACTCTTTTGGCACAGGAAAATATGGAATTACGCACTGCAATTCAGAAGGAGGACCAAAAGCACAAGCGGACGAAGAAAGTGATTAGAGAAGAAGCTAGTCTTATCAGAGGAGAGGCCCAAAGCCTTATAGATGAATCTAATGCTGCAAATCAATTGGCAGCAGGCCTTGCCGGTGTGGAGGATGGATTACCACGCAGGCGCGCACCGCCCACATGCAGTGACTGCCATAGAATTGGTCATAATCGAAGGCAATGTCCTAATCGCACTAGTTAACTTATTAATTGATTTTATATGGTGTTTTTCATGAAAGCTGGGCTTCAAATATTGAATATTGGCGGGCGGCGGCGAAGAATTGATGGGGTTGACCGAATGACCCGTGTAGTACGTTAGGTGAAGTCTTGATTACTCATTACTCACCTTGCATTCTGGACCGCGTGGCGAGTGAGCGGTCCAGTTTTAAGTCTTGATCTGAGATATAGGCGGTGAAATACCGTGGATATTTGTTAGATTATTGATGCCACCGTCATGTCAGACGCTTAACTCGAAGTCTTCGCAGTTCGGGGATGTGTTGGTCTGATACATCCTCACGTAGGCATTTGGACACCTGGGTATACATCCCTACAAATAACAGTTCTACTAAATTGCCTAGTCAACACTCATCCTTTCATGGAACATGATTGGCAGGAAGTAACTGCGCAGTGCACACTAGACCCAAGGACTCGAGCAGGATCTGCGAGACTGGCAATGTCACAACGCCGGTTCATTGGATAAGTAGAATCAGCGACCCAGTTCTGAAACGGGGATATCCCACAGAAATGACATGTCATGCCCAAGAGGATCTTTCGGGGTCGGTAGAGTTGGTTCTTAGGGAGCGTTGAACAATCGCCTCATCCCGGGACCACACCGTCCTGACGGCATATGGAAGGCGAACTTTGTAGTGTCATATTGAGAGGAAACATGTTGTATTGCAAAAGTGAAAACGCTAGAGTTCGACCATAATGAGTGCACAACAAACCCCGATGATGATAAGTGACGACCCTAGCTGACATAGCCTTGGAGCCCTGTTATCATATGGCGAATGAGTGGACAGTCTAAAGCAATATGGACAGTTCAATGACCCACATACTGGTCTCTCTCCTCCTAGGGAACAATATTCGCCCATTACAATACATTTCTCGCACTATTGAGAGATGTCCATGCGCATAAAGTGTAGAGTCTGAAGTATATTTTCGCAGAGGAAACCCTTTTGTAAGCTTGAAAATCGTTCCATCTTGTTTGGTATCCCTGATAGTCTATCTTTATTAACCATTTACCTGTTAATCCCGATTCCGATATACACGAATGAAAGTTTATTGTTGGCTATTTTTGTCTCTCCATGTGTAAACTCGTGCACAATGTCGTCGATGCCTGTTCCTCGACAGATACTTCCAAAGAGTGATTCTGATAGTCACGATGCAACTGATGCTTACATTCCATCGGAGCCTTCGCGGCAAAGCAAGAAGACTTCAACGGCATGCTCAGCATGTAAGCACACTAAAAGAAAAGTAAGCATATATTTCGCACCTTGTATGCACACGCTGTCCTTCACTGTGCGCCGGCGGATGCAAAAGAATCAACAAAATATTCAAGCATCGAGCAACTTCTTGTGGTATCTACCACTAACACACTTTTCCTTCAATAGTGCAGCGGACGACCTTCCCCTTGCAATGCATGTAAACGAGCCAGATCCGACTGCACTTTTGATGAAGCGGCAGATATGAGACGGAAAATTGCTATGAAACGAACGGTCTCAGAGCTTGAGGAGTATAGAGACCTATACTTTTCAATACTAGAGATAATCAGAGCCGAGGACGAAACCGTTCTCAGGAGATTCGCGGCGGCGGTTCGCAGCGATACCAGCTTGGACGGGATTGCTGATATCATCAGAAGTAGCACACACGAGATGCAGCTCAGAACAAAGCTTTCGTCGAGTCAATCAAATCCCTCGATTGCGAGGCACAATAATAGTGGCTCAACAAGTCAGAGACTTCCTGGACCTCAGCCGCGGCAGTCGTACATGAGCCTGGAAGATTTGTGCGACTTGACTGAAAGCGACACGCCAGAAAACCCCTCGGGGGCTACCTGACAGACATTTGAAGGAAGGCGTCTCGGTTCAGGAACTAGTGCCTGGTCACGACTAAAGTGACCGATTAATATTTTCACAATGAGGACAACAGGAAATTCGGGGGCGTACAATGTTCGTGTGGCCTTGGTGGTACACCTCGCCGCAGACATGTTCCGAAGGCACCCGAGGACTAATATTGGTCACATCGCTTTGCGATTCTCAAGATGTCCCATATACGAAATAATATATTCAACAATTGGTACCCGGTGTGGAATTCTGTCGTCTTACCTAGGTATAGGCAGCTGGGGCATATTGCACGTGCATGGCAGAATCTCAAGAGGCATCAGAAAGGGATAAGCTAGAGAGCTTAGCGCGTCACTACTCAGGCCGCCAACTTGTCACTGATGCTTCGAAATTCAGACCTCCTTCATTTTGGTATTTGTGTGTTCTTGGAGTCAACCGTACCTCCAAAGCAGGTTCTCTGAGCTCCCTCTCTGAAGCGTATGCTGTGTTTGCGATATTTCCACCTGTACAACACCACATATGTGGTCACTACGCTTTCTAACAGTAGCTATTTTGAGTCGACATTGCAAATCCATCAGAGCCTCGTTCCCAATGCGATGGATAACCTGTGGTAATGATCTCCCCGATTGAAGGTCTTCAGAATTCCGACGTTAGTCTCAACTGTCTTCCAGTAATTGAGTAGTACTGTCAAACCAGCTCAATAAATTACATCGCTTTGCTTCCGTTACTTACCAATGAAAATACTTATACCGTCCTTGTGGAAATTCACAGTGGACCAAAATAGAACCACGAAACTCCAGGACAAAAAGTTGGGATGACTAAGCAGAGGTGATAAGATAAGCACTCGGCCTTGGCGTTCTCAAGCGAACATTTCGAAAACCCTCAAAATTCAATTTGAATGTGGCTCCGAAGTCCGCATCGACCTAAAATCCACCACGAAGGGCGGACAACAATTACCATCGAGTAATAGACCACAACACCTGTTTCTACACATCGTCTCACATTGAGCGACAGCACTTCATCCTGCAACAGTCGATCGCCAGTCTCAATTCCTACCCACACAATGTCGTACGACGAGCGCTCCAATGCGCGCCCTGCTCTGGGTGATGAGTCCGATGTCGAGGAGGAGGCCTTGGTCAACGATTACCGGGAACAGGTGCACTTCGATGATGGAATGAGCGATCTCGACCGTACCACTTCACTTGGTGCTGCGTCTCAAACACAGGATCTTCAAGCACAACTTGCCGCGGCCGCAACCCCGCTCGAGTACCAGGCCACTTTAGAGACAAAATTTGCCAGCTACGACAACTACTGCAGTCTGTTCCATTACATTCTCAACTCGGAGGGTCCCGTTGATTTGGAGGTTCCTTCGGTATGTGAAGAGAAAACAATATATAAATTCCGGCTATCCCCACGTTTCAAGTTCTTTGATGATTGATATGGCTAATTCTTGTTCTGGCTTGCAATAGTACTACTGGGCTTGGGATGTCATCGATGAGTTCATCTATCAATTCGAGTCCTTCTGCCGCTACCGCAACCGTGTGGCCCGCACCGGATCCAATGAAGAAGAGGCTCAACTTCTCCGCGAGAACCCTAACACATGGGGTTGCTACTCAGTCCTCAACGTGCTGTACTCTTTGATCCAACGATCACAGATTAACGAACAACTTGCTGCCATCAAGAGGGGAGAGGACCCTTTGACTGTGGCCGGAGAATATGGTTCGCGTCCATTGTACAAAATGCTCGGATACTTTTCTATCATCGGGCTATTGCGCGTGCACTGCTTGCTCGGTGACTTCAGCCTTGCGCTCAAGACCCTTGACGATATTGAAATGAACAAGAAGGCCATGTTCGCTCGTGTCATGGCTGCCCACTTCACAACCTACTACTACGTGGGTTTCTCCTACATGATGATGCGCCGCTACGCCGACGCCATTCGCATGTTCAGCCACATCCTCGTCTATGTGTCTCGAACAAAGAACTTCCAAAAGGGCAGCAACCAGTACGATGCGATCACCAAGAAGAACGACCAAATGTACGCCTTGATCGCCATCTGTGTCGCCTTCCACCCCACTCGACTTGACGACACTATCCACACCGCCCTTCGCGAGAAGTATGGTGAGCAATTCCACCGCCTCCAACGCGGTGGACCCGAGGCATTACCATTGTTTGAGGAGCTCTTCCGCTCTGCATGCCCCAAGTTCATCAGCCCAACACCCCCAGACTTTGACAACCCGTCCGTCAATATTGATCCCGTTGACCATCATACCGCCATTTTCATGGACGAGGTCAAGAATACCCTCTTCAATCCCACTGTCAAGTCCTACTTGAAGCTTTACACCACGATGGACTTGAGCAAACTTGCCGGTTTCTTGGACGTTGAACCCGAGAAGTTGCGCGCATGGCTCCTTGTCAACAAGCAGCGCAGCCGTCAAATTCGCTGGGTTGAAGGTGGTTTGCTGGAAGGTGAGCCTATCAATGCTAGTGACTTGGACTACGCCATTGAAGGTGATCTTATCCACATCAGCGAAGCCAAGGCTGGCCGAAGACTTGTTGACTGGTACCTGCGTAACCTTACTCGCACTTACTAGATTGCGGTCTGTCATTTCATCTAGATTTCTCTTGTCCTGATTAAAAGTTCAATTTTTCACTTTCATAAAGCACCTCTTTTCTTCTATTTACTCTTGGTTCTTCTTTCTACTTGAGGAGTCGGCGTATGTATTCCTTCGATCTTGCTATGTACTTTTCGTCGAAGAGTATTCTCTAATCTTTTCGATATGTGATTTTTGTTTTCATTTATATGTGTCAGAATTGTGCATGACCGGGCCCCTTGTCTATCACAGTGGGTTATAGGCACAAACCGAGGTGGCAGGTGCAATCCAAGAACTTGATGGGAAGGAAATTCAGCCGAGCTAGGGTCGAAGAATGACTCTTTCCGAGAAAGCTCGACATGGTAACTGCTCTAAAAACGGAGAAGTGCTACTGCAGCGGAATGGGTTTGGCAGAATATTACGTGAAGGGATCTTTGGTGGGATTAGACCATGCTGTGTGGTGTTGTTCAATGATGTGATGAAGGCCGATTACGGCGGCTGGTAGCTATCTATCTATGTCCACAAACGAAGGAATGATTTATTCAAAACGTTGGGCTTCAATCGAGTCTATTCCAGTAGATATAGCTGATATTTCCACTCATTGATCCGGGCCAAGAGCCATAACCACCTACATACCAGATTTCTTCTGACGCTTTTCGACTTTCCCCTTCCGTTTTAGTGCTCACCCTTTCGCCGCTTTTACTCACTGAGTAGAATTGAGCACCCCCTGAGCGCGCTGATCGGATCAGTGAGCTGAAGCTGAGCACTCTGGTTCACTCACACTAAGCTAATAAGCTACTTGACCCCATGGCGACCTCGCTTCTAAAAAAGTTGATACCTTTCAACTAGTTCAACCGACACTAATGAACTTATACTAATATACTTGGTCTTACAATGTGTCGTCTATTTCTTAAATGTCTGTTTTGGCGAAAGCGTGGTCTTTTTGGCGTCGAACGACGCTGTTTTAAGCGTCTTTCTCAACAGCCGGGCACCACATCCTCGCGGCACTTCCATGTTCGAGCTTTTCACCATTTCATCATTCCCTTCTACTTCGTATACGGAGTACATTTGCATCACACGTCCACATTCACTGACGTAAACTGAATTGGTGTTTATAACTGGTAGCAACGGCCCCCTATTAATGAGGCCCTCACTTATGAGAGACATACTGTAGGGTGGCACCTACTTATTCACCTCATCCATAGTCTTCAGCACATTCTTTAAAGATGCCTGTAGTCTCCAGAGGAGCAACGGTAACGCAGACATGATTCTCAATATCATGAGTTTCCTTGCCATCATGAGCTTCAAGATTTAGTGTTGGTTTATCTACGTCTAGGTCGCTAGCACTAGATTCGTAGAACAGCTAATCCAAGAAGCTGATGAGCCTGATCAATATGATGTGGAATTCCTAATATTGATGACTGACTCAATCTAAAAGCAGCATCGATCTGATACTTATCACCTCTATCCAGACAGAGCATAGGTCCATGACGATCTCAGTGTACTGAAAATGAGGATGATGATTACGAGGATATGGCTAGTAACCCTGATATTCGACGCCGCCTCATGGAAAAAGAAAAGTTGAACACATATTCGCAAAGGTCGTCACAGTTGGCAGAAATCCCTGTGGTCTACACAATAACCAGCTAATTGAAACCGGAATATCAAATGGGGTATTAAACGACTTTAAAAATTGGATAAATCCTATTTCATGGTTATAAACCTGGATTCAAACGAAAGGGGTACACCATATAAAAAGTGGAAGTGTGGAAAGAGATGTAAAGACGAGTTTGATGTAGACAGGGAACCAGTTTAACTGTCTGTCAGCGTTGTGGTCGTGGAGAGAATTGAGTCAATCACAAAATATCACATCAATAACAGTTCGGCAAATTGACTCTGACTCAGATCGTTCAAAATATTTAGACGTTGTGATGGCTGTAATGCATTCATCTGAATATATAAACATGATAGCTTGGTTTAAGAGAAGTAATTTTCAGGAAGTCCTACCTGCCCATTGCGACAATCTGCCATCAATAAGGTCTGAACTTTCCCTGGGCTGCCAGTCATGCTGTGAACCATGCTGATGATAATCAACCCCTACAGCTTCTTTCGCGGCAATAACACTATCGAAATACGTGGCGGAAACTGTAGGACCAGCTTCTGGTGATTTACAGGCGCTCAGAAGTAAGTCGAATATCCACTTGAAAGTGCGGAGCTTCTCAAGGACATTTGGATCATCCCAGATGGTCTCAAGCGAGTAGAGAACTTCGACTTCCTCAGGCTTGAGATTGGCAGGGTCAACATGAAGGATGCTCCGCCCGTCAAGCAAGCGCTTCTGACCACGGGGAAGCATTTCGGGGTGCTGGTGAATTTCTATCGCATGAAAAGTGACGCCACAGGCAGCAAGGTGATGACCGTATTAGGAGAGTGTGGTGAAGAATATGCTTCGTAATGGCACTACTTAGCAAAAGTGATAACTCGTTGGAATAGTTTCACAAGTTCTTAATCATAGATTAAGAGCGCGTCTAACACGTACACCTTCCTTCGCTGGAGCATATTATCTCAGTTTCTCAGACCACGAGATCACATGACATCATATAGCGCTAGACCTAATCGGTCTCTTCATGCAAACCCCCTAACTTATGTTAAGTTAGTTACTGGGACACTGGGACAGTGTAGCTGATGTAATCAATCAATCAATGGAACACGGACTTGAGCATGGAACATTGATACTTACCCTTGCTGGGGCTCTGAACGAATATCGAATGAACCCAATATGTGTTCTTCTATGAAGGGCAAACGCTTGAATATCACCCCTTAGGTACCTTTTCTTAGAAATTTAATACACCTTGAAAGAGTCGGATCGGGCCTTCAGAGAAACTTCATCAGAAATCTCGGTTTAAAAATAGCATCTCAATACAGCCATTTTCTATTATCAAGCGTTAAGGTTTGGAGCCTCTATAACTCAATTACGGGTTAGGTATAACCTAGAGGTAATTGGCATGAAAAATGTATGAATTCTCTGTGTGTAACTTCCGAGCACCGTGATAATGGTTCTTCAATCGAAATAAATAGATATCTCGATATATCGCTAGTCGAATTTGCAGAGTGACTTGTCCGCAGACGCACTCTCAGTGAGCACTCAGTGTCCGTGAGCCCGGACTGAAATTTACTCAGTGAGTCTGACTGGGAGCAGCATCCTCACAAAAGCGGCGTCAGCTGAGAAATGGAAAACCGCACTTGGCAAAGAAAATCTGGTACGTAGAGTCACCTATGTATGCCATGCTTGGAAGGTTAGCTTCGGGTCAGGATACAAGCATCGAGGTCACTCATGCATTTGAGATTCCTCCTATTATATATAGTTCTTCAGCACATACTTTTCCAGGTCCGTCATGGTCATGATCACGGCCTACATCCCACGCACACACTCAGTTACTCCCATGGCCATCCCTCTGGTGCAATAGTATGCACTCCATATCATCCCTACTTTCTGTACGTCTAGCACATACGACCATAGGGTGTGGAAAACAGGGCTTCCCGTCCGCTCAGCCGTACTTAAGCCACACGCCGGCTGGTTAGTAGTTGGGTGGGTGACCACCAGCGAATCCCAGCTGTTGTATGTTTTTGATTTATTTTTGTCTTTTTTCCCCTTTATCTGTTGTTTAGTCCTCTTTTGTTTTGAGACGTTTGAGGGTGGTAGTCGGCTATGGCGGGGATAGGGGACCGTCTACTATCCAGAAAGGGGGATGATAATTGTGTTATAATTTTCATCTTGCTCGATCTTCTCTACAACTGTCCACTAGCCTAATATTCGTGAAGTGGCTTGAATATCGCTGAAAGGGTGTCATATGCACGATCAGGGGCCATCTTCTCCTCTTCTACGAATGATGCTCCGACGGGTGTGCTCATCTGAGAGAATTCGATCGCAGTTGCCACTCGACGGACTATGGAATTATACACAATTCCAAGGTTCTTCTCAAGCACAATACCATAAGTTCCACTAGTGTAGCATGCCATCTGATGTTAAGAGCTGGAAGATAAAGAGTCGACCATCTGTGGCAAACCCTTGGACAGCTGGCACATGTCTGTTAAGTTCTTTCCTTTCATGATGGCAGATTGCCAAGCACCCAGTCAAGCGCAGCTCAGCAACCCCGATATTCTTCTTTTCCTTGACATAAATCAAAATGGATCTGAGAATCCCCAGCAGGACTACCCCGCTGCCCAGTCAGCGCGACCAATGAACACATATGGAACATCGGAATATGCATGATCGGCCTCAGCTCGTAGATTATAGTTGTGGAATGTTTTCAAATCTCGTCCGGTGTTCATGGAGGTAGTATGTTTCTTCTTGGAAGCATCTCTGATGGTTGGCTGCAAAGGGACGTTTGCAATACGTCGTGCCTAAATTAACGCAGGTAGTATAACAGAATCTACTCGCAAGCCGCTGTATCCGTCGTCGAACCAGTGGTATCCAACATCTGCCAGAAGTTTGATATTCTTCAGTCACTCGTCGGGGATGGGATGGAACGAAGCTTCATGTTTAAGACGAAGAAGAGTTATCTTGACCTCTTCAAGGTGGAATAGTCTCAGAATGTCAGGAATGTCTATTTTACCAGCGACGCTGTATGACCTTTTTCGACTTTTCCAATAAAGACTCAACCAAATCAAATGGCGTGGCGATCTTCGCTTCGACCAATTGACAAAGTTGTTCAATGACAAAGGCACTGTCAACGCTATCCTCTAGAATCGTATTTGCCGAATTTGCCGAATTGATGTCGATAACCTTGAAGAGATATCCAGACAGCACATCTAAGTCCCTGAGTCACTTGTCATAGGGTGGCCGAGTTCCCAGGAAGTAGGTCAAAACAAATTTCTTGGAGTCCAAATTCGCGTTCGCCAGTTCAATAAGCTCTGCTACAGTTAAACTGTCTTGGACATGTCCAAATAAGTCACTAATTGAGCGGATACAATGAGTAAGGACGACAAAACAAACCGTTATGGTGAGTTCATCGTTGTTTGAGAACTTGAGGTGGATCTTGACGTCCATGTTTGGTCGGTTCCGAGTGAGGACTATCTTTGAAGTAGTGAAGAAAGGAAAAGGAAAAGGAAAAACAAGGCCGTCATGAAGAGAAAGTTTATGTGTAGGCAACTCGGCAACATTCTCTCCAGAAAGAGAATATAAAGACTGGCCTCATCCAGAAAATAGACTAGAAGGCTTAGAAGGCTTTGGGAATGAAAATTGTTCGATAGAGTTGGGGGACGTCAACTACACAACATACGCCTAGTCCTACGAGCTAGGTGATTGAAGGCACCTACTATCTACAAAACATCCAGAACATGCCATTTTTTGTTTCTGAACCGGCAAGTCTTCGAGTTCTTAATATTTTCAACCAATCTGCACCTAGCCAACCTACGATGTTTTCTGTAGTGTGATACTCAGTGTGATACTCCAGAGTCAGCTACTTTCTTTCTTCTTCTCCCAGTTTTTCTTCCAAGTCGACAGCAATCCCATCTGTTGTATGATTTTGATTTATTTTTGCTTCTCAAATCATTTTTTCCTGTTGACGTTTTCGTTCAGCGTAAATTGATACAGTATTCAGCTAAAACTTCCCATATCAATCTATCCCTTTTTCCCAGCTTCCTTATTGCTTGTGAAATAATGTTGTATCATCAACTAGGGGAGTTTATATTTTTCTTCTATCAGAATTAAAGGATCCACCTTAGTTGAACAGAGGTTGAGACACACACGTTCAGTTGATTTGGTAGTAGTGGTGCCTTGGGTGACTTTGGTAACACATATAATAAAAGTACTGAATATCCTCATCCTAGCAATTGTTAAAGCTATATGAATAAAGAACTATACCTCTTCTTACTCTTTCAAGAGAGAAAGCCAATCCCACTGGCACCTATGAATATATAGACTTCCCCAAGCCTAAACACCTAAAGTTTCATTTCTCGACCATTCTTCAATGAGACTGAGATCCAGCGACATTTCTGAGAGACCCTGTCAATCCCTTGAAAGTGAATAACAAGGACGAAGAACCAGAAACAAGAAGTCACCGACTTTGAAATAATGATTCGGTGTGCAAGTCAAGCCGTCGCGGTGAATGAAGATGGGCCGCCTCAAAAGAGAAAATCAGTGTTGGAGAGGTAAGTATCTCAAAACCCATAATTCCTTTTTCTCGGAAGGTTCCAACAACGCAACTCTCTATACAACCATGCCAATCTCCCCACCGCGTCAGCTTCTATCAGATCCAACAAAGTACGAGCTCGAAAACTTTCTCAAGGCATTTTTCCCACCAGACGAAATAACGATAGATCCAGAGTCGAGACGAATTGGAAATCGTGAAGGGCATAATCTTATTGAACTCCTACATGGCCTCCATGAACGACTGACGGAATTCGAGGATGAATAGATTGCTATATACGTCTCTCTTCCTCCTCCGCTAGGAGGATACCAGGGTTAGAATAATCCTAGTCGCATATTGAAATCTATCCTCTAGAAGTGAGGAGAAGGAAAAAAAAACATACAACAGCTGGGATTCACTTGTGGTCACCCACCAAATTACTAACCAGCCGGCGTGTGGCTTAAGTACGGCTGAGCGGACGGGAAGCCCTGTTTTCCACACCCTATGGTCGTATGTGCTTGGATGAGAGGAGATATGACTAGTATAGCATAAAAATTATCCGACTATCCGTGTCTATGTTTAACAACTACGTTGTAAAATGGAAATGAAATTGGATAAAGTGGACTCACCATTATCCCACGTGGAAAGCGATACAGTCAAGATCTCCGAAGATCTCCGACTATGCCTGTTGTGGGCTAGTCCTCAGATCTACCCCGGATGCCCCACAAGCCTAATTCGAGGTCCTCGGGTCACATCCAACTGGGCAATTTTACACCCGTATATGTATTCGTCACTTACCACCTCGTCTATCCTCCTTACCTTACCTGGTTCTTACAGCTTCTAGTTTCAAAACTTTATTTTTTTTCACCCCGGGACTACTCACCTCGTTAGAAATGACAGATTTCGACTACCAGCTGTACATGTGTAGCCACTGGGTTTTTCGGGCTAGCCAGATGCCCTTGAAGATCTTGTTTGCTCAGTGTCTACGGATAGGCCGTTTTCCATATAGGCTGGAGCTTAGAGACACGATGACTGGCCGGTCATATCTAAACGACTCGATCTTTGATATCTTACTCAATAATAGAAGGAAGTGTATGACTGAGAAATGCTTTTGCTATTGATTGGCTAGAGCTGATCCTGGAGTCCGAGGATATAACAATAAAAATTAACTTCGTGTGGGTAAATTGCTCCAAATTGTAAAGCACGGTAAGCACCGAATGCAAAAGTTGTATGAATAAGATTATGGTCATTATAATGTATAATTTATCTCAAGGTATCGGCTGTAGATTACTAGGAGGAGATATGGCCGGGCTTCTCATCAGCTTTCGCATCCATCGAACGGATATCAATCTTTCAAAGTTATATACCGGTAGTATATCTATTGAATATGCAACAACTACTGTCACATACGACCATAGGGTGTGGAAAACAGGGCTTCCCGTCCGCTCAGCCGTACTTAAGCCACACGCCGGCTGGTTAGTAGTTGGGTGGGTGACCACCAGCGAATCCCAGCTGTTGTATGTTTTTAACTTGCACTTGCTTTTGTCTTTTTAATGTGTGGCCATTCATTGCCTGGATGTTCAATCGTCATAGGTCAAACGGAGTAAGCTGGGAGGAGAGAGCACATGTATATACAAGACCAACACCTCCACTCGAAGTAAACAACATTATATATAGACATAGCACATAACTAGTATTTCCTAGCCAATCTCGTGCTCTTGTAGAACACACAGAACTTATAGATTAATATCAAAACTCGTCCCACAACCACAATTGCTCGTGGCTCTAGGGTTATTGACCTTGAACTGGCTTCCAATAAGCTCTGTCGTAAAGTCAACCGTACTACCAGATAGCAATTCGAGTGATGGTTGATCCATTACAACTCTGGCTTTGCCACCCGGTAACGTTTCATCGGTCTCAGAGGGTTCGAAAACAGTGTCTTCTGCTTGGTCGATTTTAGTTGACGGTTCTAAGGACATTAAGTACTGAAATCCATGACATCCGCCGCTTGTCACGGTGACCCGCAGATGCTGATCTTCTTCCGATGAGGCTGTTATTTCACTTAAGCGCTGTCTTGGTGTTAGCATGGTATCAGATGATTAAGCCAAGAATCGCGATCAAAGAACCAAACAAAACAGAAGAGTATATAAAAATCCACATATATAAAAAGCACACCATTATCAATTATTGGCCAAAAGAAGTTTGGGTAAATACCAGTATACAATGGCCAGGATTCGCTGGTGGCCACCGAGTCACGATTATACACCACATACAACAGCTGGACTTCGCTGGTGCATATAGGGAGCCGGAGAACCAAGACCAGTAAAAAGAAAGACGAAATCGAAGTTGTTATTTCATACCTTTGCTGCACGAGGTGATATCTCTATAAACATCGGATTTCCATCATCGTCATCTCGTGGGTTTAACGTCGCAATCGCTGGAGCTCGAGTCGTTCGTGTTGTGGAAAATGCCGCGGAGTTCTGAACGAAGGGTCGAAGGCTGCGGGAATGCCGACTAGCGACAAGTGTGTTTGCAGATGAATGAAAAGGCGTTGTCCTTCTTTGTCTAATAGAAGTTGAAGAAGAATTGAACTGCACGTGGGAAACGTGCGAGGAGAGGGAAAGGGATCGTTGGCAGTCTTGTCGAATAAACTCAGCGACTAACGAAGTTCGACGCTGTACGGCTCGGCATGTGATAGAAGGAAGTCTTTGCAACATTTTCGATATATGTGAATTATTACAATACATTATCCCAGCTTCTAGCATAGGGGATGGTGTAAGTGAATTTATGACGAGGAGAAAGTCGGAATATGGTTGACGGCGAATAAATCAATTGACTATCTTATCTGTTCAGCTTACCGCCTTCGGCAGAACGAGCACGCTTACAAATTCAAGCATTGTGATTGACTACGAAGATCAGGGGTGTACAGCAACTTGGTATCAATGTAATGAGTTCAATTGCCCATTGGAATATCAAATCAAATACTCTAAAGTCAAATCCGGAGATCACCTTATGCTAATGACGAGTTGTGATAGGTTCCCTATAAGAGGTATGACGAGGCGGCAATCACCGGCAGTAAAGGATACGGGTTCCTTATCAGATCTATGCCCCTCGCCATGAAGAATTCCAATGATTCCCCGAAGACGTTTTGGTACTGAATCCAGAGGCAAAGCATTCGCTAGTTGAGCTATTCTAATAACCTTGCGAGGTGCGAACAATATACCTCTTAGTGCACAATGGGATCGAGACTTCATTTCCAAAGAATCAAAGAGGGCCCTCCGCTCCCCCACAATGATGATATAAGGGCTTATAAACGAGAGTATGCAGAGGCATTGGATGAACAAGATCCTCTCAAATCGTATCGCGATCAATTCATCATTCCGTCGAAGAAGGACCTGCTCAGGAAGAGGCTATCGGATATAGAAGGTTCGTCATTTTGACTTCCGGCCTAGCCTTCAGTAGGCCATCATCGAAATTGCAATAATTCATGATTTCGTGTTGCTACGATTTATCGGTTATTGATTGACGTATTTCTCTTGGATAGGAGACGATGAATCAGATCCACGCTGTATATACCTATGCGGAAACTCTCTAGGTCTGCAACCCAAGAATCTCCGCAAATATCTCGATCAATACCTCAGGTCATGGGCCATCAAGGGAGTAACGGGCCATTTTGTGGCTCATGAAGATGCTTTACTTCCTCCATACTTGCATGTGGATGATGAAGGCTCGAAGCTTTTAGCTCCAATTGTGGGCGCTTCACCCAGTGAAGTTGCAGTTATGGGGACACTGACTGGAAATATACACATATTGATGAGCAGCTTTTATCGACCTACCGTGGAACGACATAAGATTATCCTTGAGGGGAAGGCATTCCCAAGTGATCATGTACTACCACCCTTTCTAATAAAAAAATCGAACGAAAAACGTGCTGACTGGCTATACAGTATGCTATTGAATCCCAGATACGACTACACAATTTTGACCCCGCCACCTCCATGGTCCTCATTGAACCAGAGGATGCCGAGAAGCCCATACTAAGCACCAAGCAGATATTGAAGGTCATTGACGACAATGCCTCAGATACAATGTTGATACTTCTCCCAGGCATTCAGTTCTATACGGGACAGTATTTCGACATCAAGACAATCACAGCCCATGCTCATTCGAAGGGGGTACTCATCGGCTGGGACTGTGCACATGCTGTCGGAAATGTCGAACTGCAACTGCATGATTGGGAAGTCGACTTTGCTGCTTGGTGTCACTATAAATATGTTAACAGCGGGCCGGGAGCTATGGCAGGGTTGTTTGTACATGAGAAACATGGCAAAGTGAACCACAGCGATACTGGTGATATTTCTTACCGTCCTCGTCTGGCCGGCTGGTGGGGTCATGATAAGCAAACTCGTTTCCAGATGGATAACAGTACGTTTACTCCCACTAATTCATTGAAAGGCAAGAAAACATAATCTAATGACATCTTTCAACAGAATTCATCCCCCAAGAAGGAGCAGCAGGCTACCAAATCTCCAACCCATCCGTCCTCGATCTCAGTGCAGTAGCATCATCCCTCGAAATCTTTAATCAAGCAACCATGCCTGCCCTCCGCCAGAAATCATTAGAACTTACGAGATACCTCGAACACCTTCTTCTCAAGTACCCGCTCGACGACAGCTCATCATCTTCGAACGAGAACACCTCTGAAAAACCATACACAATAATCACACCCTCAAACCCGTCCGAGCGCGGCGCACAACTCAGCATTCTCCTTCAACCTGGATTACTGGATAAAGTGCTGGAAATACTCGAGGAAAATGGTGTGGTGATTGATGAACGGAAACCGAATGTTGTGCGTGTTGCGCCGGTGCCGCTGTATAATACGTTTACGGATGTATGGGAGTTTCATAGAGTATTTACGTTGGCTTGTAGGAAGGCTGTTAAGGCTAGAGATGGGAAGTAGAAGAACAATATTGGTTAGCCCTGGAGTTAGATGCGTCACGCATACCTAGTTACAAAAAAGCACTATTCAATGCATCGACTTAATATATACCATACACAACCCATCTATTTACTTACTCATCCTCACATACTAGGTAGTACCCAAGTTAATTACCTTACAATAAAAGTAACTCCCCTGCAGCACCACTACCGGCCGCCTGCGGTTGATAAATCTGTTGCTGATTCTGATTCACCACATACTGCGCCATTTCACCCGTTCCTCCTAATCCGCCCAAACTATTATCTTCGCGTCCACCCAGATCCAGATTCGCCATGTGCTGGGATGCGACATTACTGAAGTAAGCGTCTGCTGCGTTGACAGCGGCGGAGATATCACCATTCCCATTTTGCTGTGAAGGAGCAGAAGTAAGTGACGTTGATGATGCGGTCAATGCAGTAGAGGCATTAACTCCCGGTCGTTTCACAAGAGCTGGACTATCAACAAGTCGTTTTGGTCGTGCCGTCCTGAATACTTGTTGGACTGGTTTGAGGTAGACAGTTGCTAAAGTGCCCACATTCAAGCAGAGCTCTTCTAGGGTGTTGGGTTCTAATTTCTCGCTTTCGGCTGTGATTGGGGGTTTTTCACCCATCACAATCTCTTTGGCTGCGGCGGGATCTGTGGATAAGAGACGCCAATACATATATCCTCGGTCACGCAGATCTGGGTCGTCGGTGTCCTCGGTGCACCATTTCAGAACTTGAGGGACCAGTTGTTGACCCTTTGTGGGACGTTGGATGAACAGTTTCACTGTAGCTGTGAGTAATGCGAGTTGCACTTCGATTGGCTCGTCATGGAATGTTGCCAAATAGTCCTGAAGCAACTCGTCTGAATTCTCAATACGATCCGCATACTGGCCAATGATCCAGATTATAGCTGCTTTGGCCTCGGGCTCATCGAGTTCGTCGATGTTTTGAATGACTGCTCCAATAATACCTTCGTATTGGTTGGGGTACTTGCGGAATATATTGCGAATAACGACTGTGGCTTCCTGGACGATATAGGGGACCTTGGCATGAACGAGTTCCAACAGCGTGTCAATGCACTGTCGCGCGGCCGATTCGATCTTGATAGCCAACTTGCCAATGGCTCGAACAGCTTTGCGCACAAAGTGCACATCAATCTCAGATGCATACCTACAATGACACAATTAGAAACACCATCCGGTAAGTGAAATGAAAAGATAAACATACTCTCGTAATTCAGCCAAGACAACACCGATATTTTCCTTCGACGCAAGCATGAAAATCAACTCCAATTTCGTGACCTTAACATAAATAGGATCGTTATATTTGCAGAAAAAGACACGGATATCATTTCGAAGAACCTCAGGGCGCTTCTGTAGAATCAAAATGGCATTTCGTAAAGCAAGGTACTGCACCTCAGGAGGTTTAGACAGTAACGTGACAAGAGGCGGCGACAATTTCTTCGAAAGAGCGGAGACTTGTTTCTCATCATTGATATAATTCATAAGATAAAGAATGACCCGGATGGAGGTCAGAACCACTGCAGAGTTGGAGTGTGATAAACGAGGAGAGATGCGTTCAGCTAAAAGTAAAGCTTCTCCAGAATCTCGGGGCACGTACGCCATGAGAGACTCCAGAATATATGTTTGGCCCCATCTGGTCATAGTCAGCGCGGCTGCGAAAAGGGTTGAGGAAAGTGGCATACTCTGAGCAGTCTGCTAGTACAGACACCACCTTTGACGCACTAGCATAATCTATCGTCAAAGAGATTGACTCACTGCGTTCCCAGATATCAACCAACGCGGCTAAAACACTAGAGACGACAGTCGGGTTCTCGTCCTTTAGCATTTTATTCAGTCGATCAATCAAGTCCGAACTTTCCACCATTTTCTTGTGATGGTCGTATAACTTGGCGACACAGAAAGCAGCCGTTTTCCGAACATATGGATCGATATCCACCATCAAATGCTTCACAGGCTGTACAGTGGCTTCCACGAATTCTCGAACGTGAATATATGATATAGTCCTTAGAGCAAGAGCGCGAACTAGCGGGTTATGATCGTCCATATCCTGATCAGAGACGTCAGTATGCCAGCGAGGGCCCGTCTTTTCCAGCACTTACATCGACCAATATCGGTAGCGCTTTGAGCGCGATTTCTGGTTTCGCTCTCGCGTAGTTGACCAAGTATAGAAAACACCTATATTCATTACTGTCAGCTTATCGGACCACAAGACAAGCGCATTCATGCACGCACATCTTCTTTATCTCCAAGCTCGGAATCGTCATGCAAGCGATAATATCCGGAAACAAGCCAACCATATCATTATTACTCATAGTCATATTGGCGACGATTTTTTTCAGGGCGATTTTCTTTGCTGAATGATTCTTATCCTTCTTTCCTCCACTGTTCAACTCCTGGCGCAACTCGGCGACTTTCCCCTGTGATGAACGATGGTATAGTGAGCTTTGACTGTATGTAGAATAAGGAAGGGCGCTGATAAACATTGTGATGGGGGTTGCAATACTGCAAGCATATTGAAGTAGCATAGAGTGTGTGTATGGTATAACAGGAAAAATGTGGCCTGAGCTCCTGATCGCAAACAATCAAGATGCGAAATGCAGATAGAAGAATGAGCCCATCGCACAAGTCTTGTAACAATGAATGGCTTGACTCGAGTGTAACGTATAACGTACCCTTGCAAAAAGCTTCGCATCTCCGCCTGAACTCATGGTGTATTAAGTATGAGGGATTCTAGACCAAATGTTCCGACCGCTCGAAAAGGGAAAGGGCAAGAATAACCGTATTCTGTATGGTTGTATTGGCAGAATGATAGAAACGCCTTATTCCGCGTCAATGCTGTGAGATAAGACGATCACATGGATCGAATGATGGCTGCTAGGGAGAGTGAGGGGTTATCGAGACGTCGCTGTTCTTCGCCGTTCGTTCGTTCAGCTTATAGAGATTCTGAAGTTGCTGTTGGTGGTATCGTAGTCTCCATGAATGAGTAAATCCTTAATAGGCTGGTGGATGGAGGGCATAAACCAGCATAAATCGAATCGTCCGTTTTTGAAGTGACGGCTCGGAGTGCGTGGTTAACAGTCGCTGTACACTCGTTTGAAGTTAGGAAAACAACATTGCATTTTCGAGTTGCGATATTACAATAGTAGTAAGGGATTCAAGTCGCCAACGCAATGGCCTTCGATATAAGAAGAGAGTCAGATCCAATTAAATAATATTGAAGAACGACCGAGATGCCGGAGTTCACAGAAAGGAGAAGGAACAGCTCAACCAATCAGGTCCTTCCCGCGCCGTTGTGGATGATCTCCGCTGGATCCGCTGGCCGCAACGACATACCTTGACGTCCAACTACTCTGTTCATCATCTGGACTCAACTGTTCGCACTCTGTGTGTCTGAGTCGCATCTATTAAGATGTCTTCAACTACCTCAATACAGCCACCCAAATGGGTGGTGGAAATGAACACACCTCTTGCCAAACGCTCCGGAAAGACCAACAACTTTCGCAGCCCACCGGGCTTCACCACCAAGGCATCAGGCAAGCAGGTAGCTCATCTACCCCTACCTGATCATAGAGTAAGAGATCATTATATTAATAAAAGCCAACAGCAAGAAACCCGCTCAACCACCGACCGCAAACCCATCGAAACTGACACCCTCAAGCTCAAAAAGGCATGGGAAGTCGCCCTTGCACCGTCGAAACAAATCCCCATGAACGCAATCATGATGTACATGTCCGGCAACAGTCTGCAAATATTCAGTATCATGATGGTGTTTATGCTCTTCAAGGGCCCTATTCAGGGCTTGATGGCTACGAATACGCAATTTTTGAAATTCGAGACGGAGTCGAATAAGACTAAGATTTGGGGTTGTAAGGCTGTTTATGTTTTGATGCAATTGGCGCTATTGGGGATGGGCGTTTGGAAGGTCAATGCTATGGGATTGTTGCCGTATGTCTTTCCTCTTTCGAATTATGATGCTCTTTTGTGATGATCTACGATACTGACTTTCTGGTATAGGACTACAAGGTCGGATTGGTTGGCTTGGGAGTCGGAGAGAATATCGCTAGAACGTGCTTATTTTGCGTTCGGTTAGATGATGAGATGTTTAGAATGTATACAGGTTACTAGTCCTACATACATGGATGTTATGTCAGTATGATGCTGACTGAACTATGTTCTAATGTATCAATGTGAACTACATATATACTTATGTCTTTAATGCCCGAAACTACCAAGGTATGCATGACAGAACGCTCACAATAATCCCGAAAGGTCCAAATCTTGTGCATCATGCATTTATTCCGCCTCCTCTCGCAGACGCCTTTCCTCTCTCCATTTCGGTCCATAACCCATCAAAATGAACAACAATGGTGTCGTAGCCAACATAACCAGTGCAATAAATGTATAGCACCACCCGGTGCCCATAGCAGTCAACATAGGCTCAATGACAGCCGTAGCACCAGCTCCCAACAGACAACGCGTAATATTACTCCCGGCCGTCGCAGTAGCAGCCTTATTCGGATATATATCAACCAATAACGTGCTGACCGTATTAAAAGATCCCGTGAGACAGAATCCCATAAAGAAAGTGATTATCGTGGGAGCAGTAAGATGAACTCCATAATCCAACACCCATCCGAATACAATTATGAGAGCAATAGCCCCGAGAATCAACGGAAACGCAATCTGTAGCCGAGCCTTCTCAATCGGGAAGTTCTTTAGATCTGTATGTCTGTTTCGCTGTACGGGGAGTCCGAGTTGAGTCGCAATGCGCCGATAATTGAAGTCAAGAAACTTGCCGTTTGCGAATGCAGCCAGTGCAGATCCTGCGCCGAAGGGTAAATAGCATAACCCAATCTCAAGATCATTCAGGCCGTATATCTTTTGGTATAGCGAAGTAATCGCAACAGCCACATCGTAGAATCCAGCAAAGAAAATTGAGTTCGTAATCAATAAAAGAGCCGTATCCTTCTGCAAAACTATAGCCAGCGTGGGCAACGGATTGGGAAACGATAACTTGCGCGGAGTAGGAGGTAGAGTACTCTCAGCAGCGATTATATCTCTCTCCGAGACCCTGCGAGCTTCCAGGTAACCGATCAACGACATATTCCACGTTGGTGGTGGAATCGATCCATTGCCGACGATTTTGCGGCCCGTTTCCGGATAAAAGATGATGAATTGCACGAGCCATACAGCCGCTATAATGAAAAGAAACCAGAAAATAGCCCTCCAACCGAGGTATTGAGATAAGAGACCACCGATGACGGGGCCAAGGGCAGGGCCTAGTAAAGAACCAGCCGTAACGAAGCCCATATAACTTCCCCTCTCGGCCACGGAGGCGACATCTGCTATGACACCGGCAGATAGTGCGATGGTTGTACTACTTCCTGCACTCTGCATGCATCGTAGTACGAAGAGAGCCGCATAGCTGTTTTGCAAAGCCAGACCGACGTTTGCTCCGAGGTAGATGACGAAGCAGAGGAAGTACGCCGGTCGGCGGCCAACGTTATCTGCGAAATCTCCAATGAAGACTGGCGCAATTCCTTGGAAAATCTACTTGAATTAGCAAGTGAAAGCAAAAAGGAAAGAAAAGTGTGTACCATATAACTAGTCATAGTCAAATTGATCAACGAAATCGAAACACTCAGATCCTTCGCCAGCGTATTCATAGCCGGAAAATAGATCTGAGACGATATCGGTGAAAAGAAGCCAGCGCATGAAGCAGCAATGACAATGTATCGTTTCATACTAGGCGAAAAGATCGAATATTCCACTGTACTAGAGGCGCCAGTGCCGCTACGCTCCAAATCGATTGCTTCTGTCCCTGTAGCTGGGACTGCATTTTGTTGCGTTTCGACTTCTTTTGAGGTCGCTGTTGATTCAATCACTCTACCAGGGTAACTGTCACTGTAGCTATCGCTTTCATGATCATGGTCGTGGTGAACATGGTCTTGATCTGTAGGTAGTACTACCTGATTCGTACTCTCTGTCGTTGGCACAACATTATTCTTCTCTGTATGTTTGTTCTCAACCGCCATCAGTTCTGCTAAAGTCTAACCAGTGCATTGAGAAGAAAAAGAAGAAAGAGAATCCATATTTGCAACTATTTTTCGCGATATCACCGCCATCTTATGGACATTGTATAATAGCCCCTCAACCGGCTCATTAACGAATCAAGGAACATGTCTTTTACTTGACATAGCTCCACTTAGATTAGCAACAAGTAAAAAGACAAGGAAAAAGCGACCCTAAGACCTCGAAAAAAGACGATAGAGCCCAGAAAAATTGCTTGTTAAGCCCTAGAGTCGCTCGTCATTGGATACAAGAAAGATTTATCCCGATACGGCCTACCACAGAGCGCTGGATACGTTTTTCGGCGGGGCGGTCGAAGTGCCGTCTTTGCCGATTTCTTGAGCGTCTTTGGGGGGTTTTGATGGCGGTTATTCTCGCAAAACATACGGGCTACAGACCGCCAATCCTATACTACGATTATATCAGAGTAGACTAGTAGTCGCGATATCGGCTGTAGAAAAGTCATGGTGGGACAAATGCCTATCGTACGGATGATCTATCAATATGCTGGACTTTTCCGGCCGGCTATTTGGTATCTGACACTGGCCCCTTGGACTCTCACTGAGCACCTGAGCACCCAGCATACTATGAGAGAAGAAACTGCAATGCGCAGGTGTATATGCATTAGGTACAAGATTATGCATACAGAAGACTCGATACTGGACTTTGTATAAAGAAGCGCAATCATGTAATTAGAACGGAAACCGACAGAAACGGTGGGTAGACAAGCACATTATCATCAAGAATAACAAAAGAATTGAAACATCATTGTACGTTATAGAAATGAGGATAAAGCTCGGAGAGGGGGCACATTGACCAACAAAATGACACGTAGGAATGAGGAGACCCAATGTCTTCTGAAGACAGTGTACAAACAGTCCCGAGCTCGATTGACTGCACTCGCTTTACTTACACAAATATAAACAAAATCTCCAGAATGGGAGATTATTTATCATCCCATCCAACCCAGCTTCGAGGCATAACTCGCCAGACTTTGACTTCTCCGCTCTTGAGATCACCCAGCTTGAAACTCTCGGGCTTGACTTTTTTGCTTTCACGGCCTTGCTCCCATGCGTGAATCTTCTTCTTAGTTCCGTCCCAATCGACAATGACTCCGACGTGGTCGGGCTTGCCTACTTCGGCACTGTACTTTTGATGAAGTCCACCTTTATGACCCTGAAATCGTGCATTGCGGAAGCTGATTATATCACCGGCTCGAATCTCATCGTGTTGCTGAACAGATGCATTGGCCAGATTGGCATAGACCAAAGCACCGTAGGACCGCGTGCCCACCGGTAGAAGCACGTCATTGAGCGGTGAAAGCAAGTGCTGGATGAGACCGTAGGATGTACCGTCGCCAACCGTTGTATTTTGCACTGAGTTGGCGGCAGTCGAGATTTTGCTACCAAATCTTTCGTGTGCGGCCTCTAGCTGGTCTTGCCGAAGTTTGTTAGGGGGTGCTTCATGTCGCTGCTCAAATGATACATCGCTTGGGTTCTTTGCGTCAAACCGAACGTTGATGATTGTCTGAGAATAGTCTGCGAATAGAACATAGACATCCTTATTAACCATGGTCTTTCCACCGCGTTTGGTTGACGTTGACTCTTCAATCTCGAACAATACATCCTTACGGTTCTGGAACACGGGAGGAGGTATGTTTGGTTGGGTCCACCAGAATGTGCTTTCCGCAAGGTCCACGTCTGTCGCGATATAACCCATATCCACAGAGGGGCGCTGAATATCCATTGATCGGCGCATGTTAGGCATGGCCCTAGAAATATCAAGACTCTGTCGGGAACGAGGAGGCTCAGTTGCTGGCGGAGGTGGAGGTCCAGATTTCTCAGGTGGTGGAGGTGGAGGAGCAACTGCCCTTTCAGGAGGCGGAGGTGGAGGACCCTGGGGTAAGGAAACAGGGCTATCATCGTGACCATCGTACTCTTCTCTTCGCGGCGGAGGTGGAGGATTCGAAGGTAAAGGAGGTACGCTAGGGCGACCAGAGTCGTACCGGTACGGATCGTATTCATCGTCATCTTCCTCTTCCTCTTCCTCAGTAGCCAGGTCTTTTACAGGAGGTGGTGGGGGTGGTGCTGATCGTGGAACATCCATCGATGCCCGTTTATTAGGCGGTTGATTAGGCGGAGGAGGAGGAGGAACTGCACGTGGAGCTGTCGGCGGAAGGGGTGGTGGAGCTCGAGGAGATTGAGGTGATAGATCGTCGCCTGCATCTTCGATACTAGATTCCCGACCATGTGATCTGATTGCATCCTTATGTTTGGCCGTGGGAGGAATATCAGTGTCATAGTCTGCTTCATACTCCGTAGTCTCGTCTTGGATGTCATCGCCTCTAGGAATTGGTGACTGGATAAGGCTATATCTATTGTCCGATGTGCTTTGTCGAGATAGTATCCCAGGAGGAGGAGGTGGAGGTGGTCGAGCCTGTGGTGGAGAGGAAGGCTGGGGAGGGTTGGTAGGAATCGGAGGAGGCCCACGACTGAACCTCTTTTCCGACAAGGTAGGGGATCTGACAGAGTCATACGTTGATGAGCGGCGAGGGGGCGGTGGTGGAGTGTCAGGCGCTGCTGTTTGTGCCAACGTTGAGTTCAGGGACAAATTTTTAGTATGAACCGAAAGCTCATCATCCGACTCGGAGCCAGGGCTAGGAGACGTAGGAGGCCTGGGAGGCACGGCGGAATGTCGTGGTTCTGGAGCCGGGGGAGGTGGTCCCGGTTGTGATCCAGGGACAGGTGGTGGGAGAGGCCTGCTCTCTGCAGAAGGTAGGTGAGGGACAGCGCGTTCTTGCGGCGGAGGAGGTGGAGGAGTCCTGTCCACCGTCTTACGAGGTTCTTCTACTAGGTCCTCGACATCTGGTAGCTCTTCTGGGGAATGAAGCTGGGTCACAGGCACGTTATCGTTTTCATCTTCCTTCTCAACTTCATTTGGCGACGAGACTGGAGGAGGTCTTTGAACGTTCATACCAGGCAAAGCCATGATTGGTACGGGAGGTGCGTATGTAGGGGACCTCGGACCTTCTGATTCTTCTGGGTGTCTTCCAACCTCTTCGGCAGGCTTCACCTTCCTGGCACCGGAGGGCATGCTCATACCACCCCCAAACATACCCATCATACCCATGCCACCGCTCATTTTAGCCATACGCGCCCTAAGTTCCATTCTCCTCTTGACTTCCGGATCAACTTCTTCCTCTTCCTCATCGTCGTCTTCTGCTGCAGCTTCGTTATCACTATCAGCCGCTGGATGTTCCTGCACAGCATGCTTTTGCGACCGTGGTCTCTCATCGACATCTTCCTTGCTTGTCGAAGTTTCTTCAGCATCCTCAGTGTCAGCAGCGCCTGAGTAATCCGCATCATTTGTATCACTCATAAGCTCCCGAGAAGGCTGAGGAGGAGAAGCCAGATGCGAAGGCCGGATATCTCCCGCGCCTTCACCTTCAAACGATGGGCGCTCACCGCGAGGCGTTTCAAGGTTTTCCGCGTGCTCCAGCTCTGTACCTTCACTAGCGGCCGCTGGAACTGGTGGAGCTTCTTGAACATCAGTTCGTTTCTTGGGTGGTTTTTTTGCCTTTTCTTTCTTCTGCGCAGCCTCAGCCATACGAGATGCCTGTTCCAATTGCTGTTTTTGCAGTAAGGCAATTCTCTCCTTAAGACTAGTCGGTTTCGGTTGGTCTTCGTCTTGAGCTGGCTCGGTAGCTGGAGGGGAAGTAACCGAATGTTCAGATGCCGGGCGCTCCCTATTGGCAATTTCCGGGTCTTCTTCGCGACGGTAAACCTTTGGAGGTGGTTGTTCTCGTGGTATCGGGACATATGCATTTTTGCTTGGAGGAGGCGCCACGAACGGCTTCTTTATGAAGGAATTGGAACTTGCGCCGCCCGGTTTGAAGGGAGCAATTGGAGGCGCAGCAGGTTTGTTGAATGCAGCAATACGATCTCTGAAGGCATTAGAACTGGGCTTGGTCGAGACAGCCAGTGGAGGAGCTTTTGCCGCAGGAGCCGGAGGAGGCGGTGACGGTAATGGTGCAGCCTTCACTTTTGGCACTTCAACCGCTGGCTCTGGTTCCTCCTCTTGAGTGGGCTCATCCTCAACCTCTTTCGCAGCTGATGTTGTCTCGGGCGCAGGTTGTGCTGGTGGAGGAACCGGATCTGCCTCCCTTTTCGCTTTTACAGGACGGCTTGGCCTTGGAGGAGCTGTGGGCTCATATCTCTCGACAAAATTGCGAGGGAAAATACCCTCTTGCTTCAAGCCGGAATCGTCCACATATTCCCCAAAGAACCAATCTGCATCCTCCACTGCGGTGACAGTGATCACCTGGCCAATTGAGAAATGAAGGTCATCTTCATGCTCTGATGTATATTCAAAAAGAGCCTTGACCGTAAACGGAGGGTCGGACATCTGGGTGGTAATGCTCCGGGAGTCCGCGGTTGTATGTGCAAAGGTTGTTTCGTAGGCAGCGGGATTAGCGCAATGAGGGGAAAGTGACAACACACGTCAACGAAAGGAGCGAAGTGGAATCCAAGCTGTACGTGCAGAGTTAGAATCGAACGAGCTGTATAATCTTGGGTGTTATTGAGTGGGAATCCTGTACAATGACGATGACTATGTTGTGGTCGTAGCAATTAGAGTGTTTGCTGTGCAAGGGTGCCAAGTCAACAACAATAGTCATGGGTTGATGCGGGACAATGGACCAGCCTTACCTCAACTAACTTACGTACTGGGTGGTCGGATGCTAGCAAAGTCAATGAACAAAGCAAGCTTAGGACGAAGCGTGCATAGCAGCCCGGATAAAGAAAGAGAGCATCAGGTATAGACAGAAGATGGATATGTTTTTTTAAAGTAAAAATAAGAATAGCGTTCGAGGGATGTGACGAGAGTGTGCAACAGTTAAGGAAGGATGTGGGGAGCAGCCTGGCTTGGCTCTTACATGTAAGCCTAAGGCTCCACTAGTGATGCTCGACTTTCTCCCGTTTTTATGTTCTCCCGCCACTCTCGACAGTCTCTCCAGTGAACGACCTCGCCAGTTTCAGGTTATCCGTATTCTGCTTCAGGTTTGATCTTCCTTAGGGATTAAGGCTGGAATGCTGTGGTGATTTGGAGTTGCTGCAGGATTTTGTTTCAGCAGTTGGGTCAAATTTCTCTATACTTCCGGTCTAAAGAAATTATCACCATGTCACAATTCAACGGTCCCACTACAGAGCAGGCCAGGAACTATAAGTACACCGGAGATAAGCCTGTCAATCCTCGACACCTAGCGACTGCTCTACAACACGCAAACCAAATCCAAGCACAAAAGGACGCACAAGCTTTGATCCTAGATCGCATATTGGAATTGATTGAGTTCCCATCATCAGAGTCCGCAGATCCCGCACACCCTTCCACAACAGATGCAGCAGCACTTAAGGCGGCACTTATACCATTCCAGCCTGCGGATTTTGATAATCTCATCCTCGAGCGTAATATAGAAGGTCGATGTGGCTATGCATTATGCCCCCGCGAGCACAGGAAGGAGGATCCAAATGCCAAATTTCGGATCCTATGGGGGCCGAAAGGTAGCGGACAAAACGGCCGTGGTCGGGAAATGAAGGTTGTCCCTCGCGAAAAGCTCGAGATGTGGTGTTCGGACAAATGTGCTGAACGAGCCATGTATCTACGGGTTCAGTTGGCTGAGGAGCCGGTATGGGAGAGGCGAGCGGTAGATGCACGGACAAGAACACTTGAGCTTTTGGAAGAGGCTCGGCGGGCGAGAAAGGAGAAGACCAAGCAAAATTTGGGAGAGGAAGATAGTGCGTTGAACGAGAAGATGAAAAGTCTTACAGTAGATGAGTGTTCGTCAGCGACCAGTTCTCAGAATATGAAGCAACTGTCGCTTGAACGAGGTGATACAGGCCCGACGTTTAGGGAACAAGGCCGTGTGGATGTACACCTTCAGGAGAAAGATATTGATCTGAAAGGAGAGATACCAGCAGCTCCTGTTGCTCGCCCAAGCGATAGCACCGGAGGTTCAATTGAGGGGTACGCGCCCAAGAAGACTCATGAACAGCTTAAGCAATCTCGAGACCGTCATGAATCTCGCGAGGAAGATGTGCTCGACAGTATATGAGCCGGAAGAACGACTATTAAGCCTACAATATTACAACGTAGAAGAATCCACAAGACCAGCGACGAACGTACGCCTGATCTGCCATCTGACTACGGATGGTAGTTGTCACAGCGAAGTGGCTGCCGCATAACGATGTCCAGGGAAGGACCAAAAGTCGTGCAATCGAGCGGTCCACCATCAACTGCATTGGGTAAAAGGGCTAGGTAGGTAGGAAAAAACGAAAGGAAAGAAGCAAGTATTGGCAATCAAGCATCATCTCTCATCAAATTGACCAAGAGAATCAGCGACACCTTGTTTGAGAAAAATCCTGTTTCTTTTCATTTTTTTCGTGCCAATGAAGACAGCAGATTAGCTACATCATCATCAAAACATTAGAAAGAATCAATGCCACTCGAGAGTCGATACAGCAAAGCACGACCACGGGAGGAAAAGCTTCTTTCTGTGTGAAATTCATTTCCGCCTTTTTGTGTGTATGGGTGCCGAAATAAAAGAAATTTAATAATTTCACAACGTTAAATGAACACCCATCCCTTGCTCGTAAGATCTCCGGATTATCGGAAGAAATGATTTACCGGAATCGGCGAGGGCGCTCAGTGACCTGCTGCTGAGAGACTTGGACGACATTGACCTTGAGGGAGTCGAACTATTGGAGTTCACAAATTAGCATTCCATCTTCGAGAAGGATTTTAGTGATATTGAAAGGAACTTACGCCGAGGCTCTTAAGGAGATCCTTGGTATCACCATCAACATCAAGCTGACCAGACTCGGACTGAGAAACATCCAAAGCCGAGATTTCAGGGACGTATTGATCCTTGCGCTCACGCTCTTCTTCCTGGAGCTTGAAGGAGATACCACGGACGGGACCACGTTGGATACGCTTCATCAAATGGGTGGTGTACCCAGCAATCTGAAATTCCCCAAATCAGTACATGTTTTAAACCCCCATTTTATATGCATTGTTGATTTTCTAGCAGATGACGAACCTTGTTGCGAAGACGCTTGGAGGCAATGATGGCGATCTCATCGCAAAGACGCTTGTTGGTCTCGAAGTCGAGCGTCAACTTGGGGTAGTAACGTTCAATGATGACCTTGGCGGACTTCTTAACGGTCTATAAATTTCAGGTAAGAAATGCAATTAGCACAATTTCCTCCGACTGTCGTTATTCAACTGTTTAATTCATACCTTTGTCCTGACGCGACCCATTTTAGCGGTTTGTGGTGATGATGTTGTCGGAAAGATTGAATTTCGATGGCCTTGGGGCTTTAGGGATATTATTTCGAAATCCTGTGTGGGCTTGGCTCCCGGTTATCGAGTCACGTGAACCGATCCGCGAAAAAGCCACGCTTGTTGCCGAAGAGGATATATTATCTTGGCATTTTCGAGGTCACGTGTATTCCTCTCTGGAGCCACCGCACATTTCAAAGGGATTAGATCTATAGGGACATCAGTGTGAGGAGAATAGGTTTAATATCAATTCAATCATTTATTGTACAATGTATAGGTACACAAAAGTATATAGCAAGAGAAACACGGCTAATCAAATCGCGGCATCCCAATTGTTGTGCTGCAACAGACTAATCAAGTTGAGGAACACTGCGTTGCGTCGACTGTGCTGCTTGAGATATATTGGTTGTTCTTTTGGGCTCATAGTTCGAAACTCCATAAGGCGCCAAAAGATCCCTTTCAGCCCTGGTAGCTTCCAGATTGATTGTACCCTGAGAAGAGATCGAGACTCGTTTGGGAGAAACCCAGACTCTGCCACCACCGGGAATCGAGGGATCGAGATACTCGACACCTCTAAGATGATCTTCAGTGCCATCGTGTTCATCTTCGTACGCTATACCGGCAACACCGAGAACGGGTCGACGCTTGTATCGTCGTTTCCTTGTCTTGGCGGCCAAAACTCGAGCTTCAACGGGGCGCATGGCTTGTTGAGGTCCATATAAGGGATGGTTGGAAATAATCGCGCCAGATCGAGTGTATGCAAGGCCCGCTGACGGATGGGTTCTTGGTGGTCCTTGGCTGGCATAGTCGATGGAAGCCAACTTATTCGCGTTCGCTTCGTAATAGTCACTCCTACCCAAGTACATGGAGGGAATATCAGATGACAAAGTGTGAAGATCCAGCAGACGACTCAGCTCAGGACCAGCTAATCTCTTATCCGTTCGCAATCTTTTCAACCAAGTCTGGAATTCCTCATCTGTGACTTTGACTGGTTCAATGGTTTGATCAGCGTCCAAGCCACCTTCATCCTGCGCTTTCTTTCTACGCTCAACGGTCAATTTGTTTTCGTACTGCTCTCGCAATTGTTTCAACAGTTCAGGTCTTCGGCGGCGTAGTGAATGCAAATAGGCTTGGAACTGGATCTCGGATTGACCTCCCAGCCATGGACCGGATTGCCGATATAGTTGAGCACCACGCTCCTTCGCGCCCTCACTAGCGGAGACGTTGTCGACCCGGGATTCAAAGGGACTCTCATGGCGCCTACCAATATCTGCTCGGCTCTTTCGGGCGGGTGGAGGCAAAGAAACAGGGAGATGGAGTTCCTGAAACTTCATCAGGGTCATGGTGTGATCTCCTGCGGAATCGAAATCGGTAACATGTTCAAAGGTATCAAGCGCGTTGACGCGGATGACGGGTTTGCTGGACCTCTCGATCGTAGATTTTGCCGGCAATGCTCTTTTCAAGCCCCAATCGCCTTGATAAAGAGCGGCTGGTGGTGTTTCGATGGCAGCTCTAGTAGGATGTGGGAGAGTTGCGGAAGCCGACTCGTTGACGATTTTGGATGTGACTGGTCGCGGCGGAGGAGCCAATGCTGAGGGTAATGCAAAAAGACGAGAGTTCCTCAGTAGATTAGCCGTTGGCGAAAGTTTTGAGGTCGCCATGGCCGTATACTTGTGGCTGCTGTCGTCGTCTTACCGCAGAAGCTCCTTTGAAGAAAAGTAGTCGTCGTGCTAAAAGTTGACGGATTGGGTACGGCGGGTTGCAACGCCATGGGCGCAGAACATTATTTAGTGCACGAACCATCGATATACTGTAGTTCTTTGCTTGACACGTTTTTTTCATTTTAAATTGATTTATTTTCATATTAAAATCTCTTGCGAAGAGTCTACATCTATGTATAATCTTATTTGACATATACCGGACGAACAGTAGACCCCTCACAAGCCCACTTTCACAAGTGAAGCAAGAGTGTCGCCAACTGATTCTTTGATCGACTTGAACTGAACACCAAGAACATTGCGAACCCTCGAGTTATCATAGTCAAACGGATAAGAAACTTCCCCAACGTTTTCGTACGTTGGCAAGTTGGATGCATACTTTGGCTGTGTCTCGCGGATGGTATCTACAAGGTCCTTATTGGTCAAGAACCCAGCGGTTGTGAAGAAACGCTTGCCACCAGCTTCTGCGACTTCGATGGCCTTGACGTGGGCAAGAGCCACGTCGCGAACATCGACCCATTGCACGCTTTCTGTTGGTTTAGTGTCGTCCTTCTTCTTGCCGAGGGCAAAATCTGTGATCAGTTGGTTGGAAGTGTTGAGATTGTCGAGGCTGTTTAGATAGCCGATAACCGGGCCAAAGACAAAGGGAGGGTTGATAGTGGCGAGATCAAAGTTGGGCTTTTCTTTCTCCACGAATTCCCATGCTGCTCTTTCAGCAAATGTCTATTTTAGCAGGTCAGTTTTTTTCTGTTCTTCGTTGCGCATTGGTTGAGAGACTCTGGATGACGCACCTTGCTAGCTCTGTATGTGGTGAATTTGTTGTCTTTGGTAGCCTCTTCGTATGTAACGGGGTTCCATACGGACTCATCGTAGAGTTTGAGGTGGTTGGGTGCATGCGTAATCGCAGCAAAAGAAGAGGTGATCACCACTCGCTTCACGGAAGGTACATAAGACTTGATAGCCTTGAGGATTCCAGTTGTGCCGTTGATAGCAGGATCGAGAATCTCCTTGACCGGGTCCGTGAAGTTATAGTGGAAGGGTGAGGCCGTGTGAATGACATAGTCAAAAGCTGGTCCACTTTTGAGTGCCTATCACCTCATCAGCGGTGAGTAGATCTGAGATGAGGGTTGTCCAGTGGTAGTTTACCTCGTCGAAAGCGCCTTCTTTAGCAATGTCCTCGACAATGACGTAGGACAACTTGTCTTTTGAGAGATTGGGATATGCCTCGAGAATCTTGTCGCCCTTTTCCTTGGATCGGACGGTGGTTACCACCTCGAATCTGTAAGTACAGTCAGTGATTGCTGTCGAGACTCTCGTTGTGATTGAACTAACCCATGCTCAATCAAAATGTTGAGGACATGGGCGGCAATGAAGCCGCTGCCACCTGAACAATCATATCAGTTGTGCTGCCAACGAACAATTGATAGCGCCATATCTTACCAGTAAGGAAGACTTTAACCATTGTGAGTAGATTATTTATAGGTTCAGACAGTGACTATTTCACAGAATACATGCAGTATATATATTCCAGGAAAACAATCCTGATTTGTAAGATACCATTGTGATGGGTGCCCCTCATTCCCTTTTATATCCGGACATGTTCCCGATCCCGGCATTTGATGAGGTGCAGAGCTCCTTTGATTGCGTAAGGGTTGGCAATTGGCCAATCATCGCTTGATGATTTGCAGAAATTGGTTACAAATAATCCAAGCCATAATCAAGGGTGTTATGGGCGATCCAAATGGAGGGGTTTGTCCAGAAAAACATGGTGCCGACGCTGCCGACGATAGCCATTCGGGTCTATGGGGGTTAGGGTAGGGTTAGGGTCAATGAGTGCCCAGTATCCCAGGATGTTGAACTTAACATCAGGGAGGCTCACTGTGCTTTCCTAGCCTCATATCCAAGCCATACATACTTGGTTCCACCACGACTTCGAATCTAACCGGAAGTCCAGCCTTTAAATCCGAGGCCCAAGCCTTCGGTAACAGTACGATCCATACCTGCGTTATTGGCCAACAGAAGAAGAAAAGAGAAAAAAAAAAAAAAGAAAGGAAAAGAAAAGATATATGAAGGAAGATGCCATCCACAGATTGCCAAGTGTACTGGTGAAGCTGTGTAACCGGAAATAAAAAGAGAAGAAAGGTCACGAGTAACTACGGAGTACGCAGGGAAGGAACGCAGCATCGCACATGATATGGCCTGTGCGTCTCCCGCTGGAGGCTTCCGCTGGAGTCTCGACCTAAAGTCAACTCAGACTCCTACGTGTCGCTCACTTTATCACCTTCTGCAATAGAGAAGACAATTACAAAATAAAATAGTCAGATGTGTGCGCCGTGTTGCTATCCATCATGGCGCAAGCAGGTCCGGTGACGGACGTTGTACAGAGGCTCTTCACGGAGCTGAAGTCCAAAAACGAAGAAGTGCGTGTCAGAGCTTCCTTTGAGCTCTATGACAATGTCCTCACGGTTTCGCGAGGTGAGTTCCTTCGAGTCTTTTGTTTAGTTAAAGTTCATATAATAACTAATACCTCTCTTCAGACTGGGCCCCCGAGAAATTCCTTGAATTCTACAATGCCGTCAGCCAGCGCATCGCCCAGCTGGTGGTCACGGGCAGCGATGCCAACGAGAAAATTGGCGGCCTTTTAGCCCTCGATCGACTTATCGACTTTGATGGAGTGGACGCCGCCCAAAAAACGACACGATTTGCCAGTTATTTACGAAGCGCGCTACGAAGTAACGATAATGCAGTACTCGTCTATGCTGCTCGATCGCTTGGCCGACTGGCGAAACCCGGCGGTGCGTTGACTGCGGAGTTGGTGGAGAGTGAGATACAGTCGGCACTGGAATGGTTACAATCAGAACGACAAGAAAGTAGACGCTTCGCCGCGGTGTTGATCATACGAGAACTTGCCAAAGGATCGCCGACTTTGCTATATGGATTCGTGCCACAAATATTTGAGCTTGTCTGGGTCGCGCTTCGCGATCCCAAGGTCCTGATTCGAGAGACTGCCGCCGAGGCTGTAAGCGAATGCTTCGAGATAATCGCCGCTCGAGATGTTGGCGTGAAACAACAGTGGTTTGCGCGCATCTACGAAGAGTCTCTACAGGGTCTCAAATCCAGCAATGTTGACTGGATTCATGGCTCCCTCCTAATACTAAGAGAACTGTTGCTTAAAGGTGCCATGTTTATGAATGAGCACTACAGAAACGCGTGTGAGATTGTGCTCCGTCTGAAAGATCATCGAGACCCCAAGATACGGACTCAGGTTGTCCGCACGATTCCAATCCTTGCCTCCTATGCTCCGATGGACTTTACAAACAACTACTTGCACAGATTCATGGTTTATCTTCAAGCGCAACTGAAGAGAGAGAAGGAACGAAATGCTGCTTTTATCGCGATCGGAAAGATTGCAAACGCGGTTGGTGTTGCCATTGGACAGTATCTAGACGCTATCATAGTATATATTCGAGAGGGTCTGGCGTTGAAAGCGTGAGTCTTGCTCTGATCGGTTCAGAAAAGGTACAGTCGCTGATTTACAAACAGGAGAAATCGTGCAGCCGTGAACGAAGGACCTATGTTCGAATGTATCAGTATGCTGTCGTTGGCAGTAGGCCAAGCCCTCAGCAAATACATGGAAGCTTTGCTCGACCCAATCTTCGCCTGTGGTTTGAGCGAATCTCTTACCCAAGCCTTAGTAGATATGGCACACTACATTCCTCCTATCAAAGCCACGATACAAGAAAAGCTACTCGATATGCTAAGTATCATCTTGTGTGGCACACCGTTCCGTCCCCTGGGATGTCCGGCAAACCGACCACTTACCCTTCCTTCATTCGCCAAAGATTTCGCACCACAGGAGCTTCACTCAGATGCAGAAATTGCTTTGGCCCTACACACATTAGGCAGCTTTGACTTCTCCGGCCATATACTTAACGAGTTTGTTCGAGATGTCGCCATAAAATACGTTGAAAGCGATAATCCCGAGATCCGGAAAGCCTCTGCGTTGACCTGTTGTCAGCTCTTCGTGCACGATCCTATCATCAACCAAACGAGCAGTCACTCCATTCAGGTTGTTGGCGAAGTTATTGATAAGCTGCTGACTGTAGGTGTCGGTGATCCCGATCCTGAGATCCGTCGCACGGTTCTGTTATCGTTGGATCGGAAGTTTGACCGTCATTTGGCCAAACCCGAGAATATTCGATGTTTGTTTCTGGCTGTCAATGACGAGGTATTCGCCGTGCGTGAAGCTGCCATTAGCATTATCGGTCGGCTCTCCAGTGTTAACCCAGCATACGTCTTCCCACCTCTCCGAAAACTTCTTGTCAATCTCTTAACAGGGCTTGGATTTGCTAGCACAGCTCGGCAAAAAGAAGAGAGCGCACAGCTGATCAGCCTTTTTGTCGCTAATGCGACAAAGCTTATAAGGTCATACGTCGACCCAATGATCACTGCCTTGCTACCGAAGACTACGGACCCTAGCGCTAATGTGGCCTCGACAACTCTACGAGCCATCGGAGAACTCGCGAATATCGGCGGCTCTGAAATGAAAAACTATTTACCGCAACTTATGCCAATTATTCTCGATTCTTTGCAGGATCTGTCATCACATTCGAAACGAGAAGCCGCTTTGCGGACTCTAGGCCAACTCGCCAGTAACTCAGGTTATGTTATCGAACCGTACATGGAGTATCCACAGTTACTTGCTGTCTTAATCAATATCATCAAGACTGAGCAGGCAGGCTCACTGCGCAAAGAAACCATCAAATTACTAGGTATTCTAGGAGCTTTGGATCCTTACAAGTATCAGCAAATCAGTGAAATCTCACCTGACGTTCGGTATATCAATGAAGTGCAGCCTATTTCTGATGTCGCACTCCTTATGCAAACTATGACCCCATCTAATGAAGACTACTATCCTACAGTGGTCATCAATACTTTGTTGCAAAATATACTGCGAGAGAACTCCTTGGCACAATATCATTCCGCTGTTATCGACGCCATTGTCACTATATTCAAGACCCTTGGATTGAAATGTGTATCATTCCTGGGACAGATCATTCCTGGCTTTCTGTCGGTTATCAGAAGCTCGCCTGTTGGTCGACTGGAGTCATATTTCAACCAGCTTGCCATCATGGTTAGCATTGTCCGTCAACACATCCGTGCTTTCCTTCCGGAAATTATCGACACCATCCGTGATTATTGGGATTCCAATCATCAAGTACAGGCTACAATACTGTCTTTGATAGAGGCGATCTCTACATCGCTCGAAGGAGAATTCAAGAAGTACTTAGCCGGGTTGATTCCCTTGATGTTGGATACGCTCGAGAAGGATATATCCCCACGACGACAGCCGTCCGAACGCATCCTACACACTTTCCTTATTTTCGGCTCCAGCGGCGAAGAATACATGCACCTGATTGTTCCCTCTATTGTGCGGCTCTTTGATAAAGTGCAGAATCCTCCTAATCTCCGCAAATCTGCTATTGAGACCTTGGGCAAACTCTCTCGCGAAGTCAACGTGTCTGACTTTGCCTCCCTCATGATACACTCTTTATCTCGCGTCATTGCAAGCAATGACCGCGCGCTTCAAAAAGCCGCTATGGATTGTATTTGTGCTCTTATCTTTCAACTAGGACAAGATTTCACCCATTACATACCACTCATCAACAAGGTAGGATGGTCCCACGACGTTCCATTTTAGTATGGCCAATATGCTAATCTTTAGCAGATTATGAAGCAGCATGGAGTCACCAATTCTTCGTATGAATCATATGTTGTCAAGCTGCAGAAGGGCGAGTCTCTTCCTCAGGATCTAACTCTTCACGAGAACTACCGAACTCTGGCAGATGATACGAACTATGCGGAGATAGGACAGAAGAAGATGCAGGTGAACCAGCAACATCTCAAGAATGCATGGGATGCCTCGCAAAAGTCAACACGCGAAGACTGGCAGGAATGGATCAGGCGATTCAGTGTGGAACTTCTGAAAGAGTCGCCTTCGCCAGCTTTGCGGGCATGTGCTAGTTTGGCTGGTATCTATCAGCCTCTAGCTAAAGACCTCTTTAACGCTGCTTTCGTTTCATGCTGGACGGAGCTTTACGATCAGTACCAAGAGGAACTCGTGCGTTCTATTGAAAAAGCTTTGACATCTCCAAATATACCCCCAGAGATCCTTCAGATTCTGCTCAATCTTGCAGAGTACATGGAGCACGATGATAAGGCTCTCCCGATCGATATCCGAACTTTGGGCCGATATGCAGGCAAGTGTCATGCATTCGCTAAAGCGCTTCACTACAAGGAGTTGGAATTCGAACAAGATCAAAACTCAAGCGCTGTGGAAGCCTTGATCACGATCAACAATCAACTTCAACAGTCGGATGCAGCCATCGGTATTCTCCGTAAGGCTCAAGCATATCGCGATGTTGAGCTCAAGGAAACGTGGTTCGAGAAGCTGCAGCGCTGGGAAGAAGCACTCGCAGCTTACAAGCGACGTGAAAAGCAGGACCCAGATTCGTTCGGCATTACAATGGGTAAAATGCGTTGTCTGCATGCTCTTGGAGAGTGGAAACTACTCTCGGATTTGGCGCAGGAGAAGTGGAATCAAGCTTCGGTTGAACATAGGCGAGCGATTGCACCACTTGCTGCTGCAGCCGCTTGGGGCCGTGGACAATGGGATCTTATGGATTCGTATCTTGGTGTGATGAAAGAGCATACACCGGATCGATCTTTCTTCGGTGCTATTTTGGCCATTAACCGTAACCAGTTCGAGGAAGCTGCACTTTATATTGAAAAGGTGCGCAATGGACTGGATACCGAACTCTCTGCTCTTCTGGGAGAATCATACAACCGAGCATATGATGTGGTTGTGCGAGTACAGATGCTTGCCGAGCTTGAGGAAATTATTGTCTTCAAGCAGAACGTCGGTGATCCCGAGAAGCAACAAGCGATGCGCGAAACATGGAACAAGAGACTTCTCGGTTGCCAGCAGAATGCTGAAGTGTGGCAACGAATGCTGAAAGTACGACAGCTTGTTATTCCTCCGCATGAAAACATGGACATGTTGATTAAATACGCCAACCTGTGCCGAAAATCAAACCGAATGGGCATTGCTGAACGTACATTGGCATCTCTAGAAACTGAAATTTCAGGACCTAACGGCGTTGAGATCGTCGTGCCACCAGAAGTTAAATACGCGCGTTTTAAGTTTGCATGGGCTCAAGGCCACCAGGTTGACGCTTTGCAATCTCTCAAGGAATTCACATCTACGCTTGCTGATGATCTAACGAGGTACAATGCCTTGCTAGCGAATCATACTGATCATAACGGTACAAATGGTGCCAATGGCATTCTTGATAGCAATCCTGATGTCAATCACCTCCGGTCACGAATTGGAGATGTGACAAAACTAAAAAGGCTTCTTGCCAAGAGCTATCTCAAGCAGGGAGAATGGCAGACCGCCCTTCAGAGCGGTGACTGGAGGCCTGAGCACGTTCGGGAAGTGTTGAATGCGTACTCGGCAGCAACACAATTCAATCGGGACTCTTACAAAGCCTGGCATTCTTGGGCATTGGCTAATTTCGAGGTTGTCACCACCCTGGCTGCCCAGCAAAGTCGTGATGGGTCTTCTGTTCCTGGTCACATCATCAATGAGCATGTTCTCCCAGCAATCCGCGGCTTCTTCCGATCGATTTCATTGTCTTCTACATCGTCGCTACAGGATACTTTGAGATTACTTACATTGTGGTTCACCTATGGAGGGGATCAAGACGTCAATAGTGTTGTGACTGAGGGCTTTACGTCCGTTAATATTGACACCTGGCTTGCGGTCACGCCACAACTGATTGCGCGTATCAACCAGCCAAATGCAAAGGTTCGCACTGCTGTCCATCGCCTCTTAGCCGAGGTTGGCAAAGCTCATCCCCAAGCGCTCGTGTACCCTGTAACCGTTGCTATCAAATCTAATGTCGCGCGACGGTCTCAATCGGCCACTTACATTATGGAAAGCATGAGACAACATAGTGCCAAATTGGTCGAGCAAGCCGATATCGTCAGTAATGAACTCATTCGTGTTGCTGTTTTATGGCACGAGCTTTGGCATGAAGGTCTAGAGGAAGCGTCTCGATTGTATTTCGGCGATCATAATGTGGAAGGAATGTTTGCTACGTTGGCCCCTCTTCATGACTTGCTGGATAGAGGTGCTCAGACATTGAGGGAGGTCTCGTTTACCCAAGCATTCGGTCGCGATCTGGCTGAAGCCAGACAGTACTGTCTGCTTTACCGCGAAACTGAAGAGCTGGGTGATCTTAACCAGGCCTGGGAACTCTACTACAATGTCTTCCGCAAGATTGCACGCCAATTGCCTCAGCTATTAACACTTGATCTTAAGTACGTCTCGCCAAGACTCAAGGAGCTTCACGATCTTGATCTGGCCGTACCGGGAACGTTCCATCCAGGCAGGCCTGTTATCAGAATCATGAGCTTTGATCCTGTCTTGCACGTTCTTCAGACCAAGAAGCGTCCAAGAAGGATGACACTCAAGGGAAGCGACGGCAACTCTTACATGTACGCCCTTAAGGGACACGAAGATATTCGTCAGGATGAACGTGTAATGCAGCTATTTGGTCTTGTGAATACGCTACTAGACAACGACAGCGAAAGCTTCAAGCGACATCTATCCGTTCAACAATTCCCGGCTATTCCTCTGTCCCAAAACTCAGGTCTGATCGGTTGGGTCTCCAACAGCGATACGTTGCACGCACTCATCAAAGAATATCGAGAAAGCCGGCGTATTCTGCTCAACATTGAGCATCGTATCATGCTCCAAATGGCACCCGACTACGATAATCTCACCTTGATGCAAAAAGTAGAAGTCTTTGGCTACGCTATGGACAATACCACGGGCAAGGATCTTTACCGGGTTCTTTGGTTGAAGAGCAAGAGTTCAGAATCCTGGCTTGAGCGACGAACCAACTACACACGTTCCTTGGGTGTTACATCGATGGTCGGGTATATCCTTGGTCTTGGAGATAGACATCCTTCGAACCTTTTGCTTGACCGGCTTACGGGAACCGTTGTGCATGTTGATTTCGGCGACTGCTTCGAAATTGCAATGCATCGGGAGAAATATCCGGAAAGAGTGCCGTTCCGTCTTACGCGTATGTTGACATTTGCTATGGAAGTTAGCAACATTGAGGGTAGCTATCGCATTACGTGCGAGGCTGTTATGCGTGTCATTCGAGAGAACAAGGACTCTTTAATGGCTGTGCTTGAAGCTGTAAGTACTTTCCTCTTCCGATCTTCGTTCTCAATTTCGACTAACACCACTAGTTTATTCATGACCCTTTAATCAACTGGCGTCTCGGAACCCGCGAGTCACCTGAAAGACCATCGTTCTCAACTGTTGACCGTCGACAGTCGATCGTAGATGACGTTAACCTCGAACACGGCATTCAACCAAGCAACTTCGCCCGTCATCGACGCGCATCCATCTTGGAAGGCGGCGGCATACTCGACGCACCACCAGGCGCAGCGAATGAAGCTCGCGAAACACAGAATGCGCGCGCCTTACAAGTCCTCGCTCGTGTCAAGGACAAACTCACAGGACGAGACTTTAAACCCAACGAGGAACTGAATGTTAGCGATCAAGTCGATAAACTTCTGGCTCAGGCCACTAGCGTTGAGAATATCTGTCAGCATTGGATTGGATGGTGCAGTTTCTGGTAGTGTAAGATGGTGGATTTGTGGCATTGGGTGGGATCTGCTTTTTTCCTGTCTGTTCAGTCAGGCGCATGGAGTATGTATTTGCTTGTATCTGTGTTATGCCGTCAACATGTGTATAGTCATTTCTGGGAGCGGAGAATGGTACCTTATTTCTATGATTTCATTGAGCTTTGTAATATGAATAGATAGGTGTAACATATATTAGAATTCTCAGTACGTACGTAGTTGATAGCTCGATACATATGGTACACACTTGATAGGATAACGCTATGACATCTTTTGTCCATCCGGGGTTAGCGGGGAAGCAACCAATGAGCCGAGGTTCTCCAAACCACCTCTTCATCAACACCGAAGCTCCTGTACATATCCTCCTTGGAAGCACATTCATCAAATGATTACATTCTAACACACTCGATAACCTGACTTAACGTCCTGTCACATCTACCTTGGCAATGCCACCTCAACCAAGTAAACCACCAGATGACACCGCGGTGGCCATTCACCCAGTCATACAGAATGCGTTGCGCGTTTCTCTGAGCGCAAAGGAGTACAAGATCATCCACGAGCGTGTACTGAAACGATCCTTGATATTGGACAGTCGGCTTCCATCGCCATCTACATATGAGAGTGTCGTGCGGACGCCGAACAAGTACAATGTCGCCGCTATTCGGGCATCGTTGAGGGTGTTTCTGGGTGTTAGTGGTGGGATATCGTTGGTTGAGGCATTAACTGCGCGGTTTGGGAAGGGTGAGACGAGGTACAGAATTTCCAGTTCATTCTATAACGGAAAGGCTATTGAGATACTAATTGAGCTGAAATATGTAGTACCAAAAAATCCACACGCGAACCTTTCCTCCATTCACCAAAATATCGACTGGCGCTCTCCCTTTCCCTAGTCCTACTTATCCATCGCATATTATACCGCTTCTTCGTCCGTCTACGCGCAAACCTCCGAACAGAAGACGCAAAGCCCTTTCGAGACCGAAACCCACGATTCTCACAGGCGCTAACGTCAAAATATGCCCCCGTGGTAGGTGCCAGTCTTGCCGGTGCCGCATTGGGGGTTTGCCCTCAGAGTAGACTTCGTGTTACAGTTGCAATCTACATGACTACTCGGAGTTTGGAGTTTTTGTATAATGCGCTGAATGTTAAAGGATATTTGAAGTATAAGCCGTGGTGGTTTGGGAGTTGGTTGTTGATGCCTGTTTCTTGTGCGCAATTGTTTCATGCGTTTGTCTTTGATAGGGAGACTATGCCTAAGGTATGTTCATGCTCCCTGTTACAGAAAGCAGGGATACCTCAAATCTGTATGGGAGAGACGGCGCTAACGTATGAAACAGTGGATGGGTGACTTGCTTCTTCGATTTTCTTCGAGCTACATTCCGGAACGTCCTGAAAACTTTCCGGCTCATCTATCCTGGCCTAGTCAATATGGCATTGTTGATTCTCTCGGCACAATTGCTGATTTGAAATGGCCGTATGTTCAACATAACCACTCGATTAGATTAGAGACTGACTTTTACAGGATATTCATCTCGCCCATTCTACATCCCAACAATCCCAATCCTCTCCCAAAACAAACCAAGTCAATCTCACCATTGGCCTCACCTGCTCATCCAAACATTGCCTCATTATCATGTGCCTTGCTTCACCCAAGCACACCAGGCTGCAGCACCGCATTTATACATCACATCTTAAACTCCGCCCCTTCATTAGTCCGAAGCATCACTCTTGCCGCCCTGGCCGTTTCAGCAGTCAACTACAAAAAATCTTTCTCAAGCCCACTATCCTCAATCAACACAATCTCAAAGCGAATCCTCAGCTTGACAGCTATTCTGTCTGCATCAACCGGTTCATTCTGGGGAAGCATATGCCTGCTAAACAGCCTATTACCTCGCTCGACCTTACCCACGAAACGATTCTTTATTAGCGGTGCAATGGGTGGTTTACCATTTGCCTTTGTCGAGCAGGGTCGTGGAGTGTTTACATATATCTTCCGATCAGCCATCTACTCAGCCTGGGCTACGGGCGTGAAGCGAAGATATTGGCGTGAATGGAAGACTGGTGAATTGGCGCTTATTGTCGTGTCGTGGGCGTTAATTGGTATGGTGCTTGAATCTACTCCTGAGGCTGTTGAGGGTGCTGGGCTGCGTAAGGGGTTTGCGTGGCTTCGGGGTGATGGATTTGCGGATCCCGTGGAAGTTGCTTTGAAGAGGAAGAGGAGGGCGACGATGTCGGCGCAGAAGAATACTGAGGAGGAAAATTCTGCTTAGGCGCTTGTCTCTTCATCTGTTGATAATGTCTTTTCTTTCCGTGAAGTTTCTATTGATACCATACGAGTAATACAACATTGCAGATGATTCCTAATATGTTTATGACAGAGCACGTGGAAGTACCTAGGTAACTGTAACTATATGGATAATGCAGAAGGAAATGGCTCCGAATAGATATCTAGGTACGCATACAGCATAAGAAACTACATATCAATTAATGGTGATACTTATATAGATCCATAGACTAAAGAATTCATGTGCGTTATAACTTATCACTTTCGACAAACCTCCAACCAACATCCGTCGGTTTCAAAACAACACATAACTCGTTGGCATCCTGACTCATCTTAGCCATCCCATGCCTCCCCTGTCCAAACCTTGCTGCCGTCGACTCTTCAAGCCCATGAAACAGCAAAGGCAAAGCCGAATTCTTATAATCTTGACTCCCACTAACCATGGCATCCCTCGTTCTAGCTTGCACAACCACAGCAGTGAAGAATACGAGCGTGAGCAAAAGTAGAGCGGCGGGGAAAACCAACCATCCCCATTGAGCATCAACGCATGTGTCGCTTTCTAGAACGATGCCCGCGACGTAGTTGGGGGTGTGTGCATCAACGTAGGTTCGCATGTTTGTAGTCATGGAATCTGTGACGTTTTGAAAAGTGGTTGCGAACGTTTGGGCACTGATGTTTCCACCGTTGAATATAACTGAAATAAAACCCGAACTTGCATCGGGGTCGCCCTGAGGCCCAAAACTTGCTTGGCCGTTGAATGCAGTCAGTAGAAACTCGTTCATACCAGTCACAGCGTCTACCGTGGTTTGGTAGATGCAGGATCCGTTGATGTCAAGTTCAGTGTAATTTGCTGGCAAGGCGATACCTGAAGCGTTTGCTGCAACTACAGATAAACCGGCCGGTAGGGAGGTATTGTAAGCCAGCCATTGTGTTTTTTTGTTGAACTGGTACCCTGCTGCTTTAAGTGTGTCCCTTTCGGTGTTGTTCAAGCAAGTCAAATCAACAGTTGATAAGTAGGAAGAGTCTAAAGAGCTACCCCAAATCGACTCATTGAAATTCTGGAACCACGTATCCTTCTCGCCCGCAATTTCAGTCTCGGTGAAATATCCTGCTTTTACTGAACCATTAAAAGTTCTAATGCACATCGATAGTTGACATTGAGCTGCTCCTATGCCCGTACAGCCCCAGGGCCATTCAGGGGAACAGGTCAACCAAACAGGCGAGGTCCCCATGATGGCTTGAATGGTAATACTATCGGCTTCTGCGCCAATAACAAACGAAGCCCCGTAATGATCTGATAGTTGCAAGCCAGATGGAAGTGTGTAATTGGTTACCGTGAAATTCATGGAATCATTGTATGTCGTTACTTTCAACTGCGACGTGATATCAGAGCAAGCGGCGCAGTATGCGATTGTCTTGTAGAGCTCGGGGAATGTACAATTGCCAGTCGGACAGTTCGGTGTGACGCGATTAGTTCCAGGGCTGAATATCCCACCATAAACGGCTGCCTGCATGCTGGGGTTGATGGTTTTTTCCATCGCTCCTGAGTGTCTCCCGCCGGGGTCATTGTAAAGGTTTGTCTTGGGAATTGTGGCCTCCGAGGCTCGAACGACTTGACTGCAAGTATAATAATGCATGAGCTGTTGGGTGAAAGGATCAATAGCAATGGCAAAGATTGTGACTAAAGCTCCTATAGTGGCGACGAGATTTCTGAGAACGTAAGACAGGGCAGTAAAGGTGCTGCTAGAATGCTCTTACCTGCCACCAAGAACCCATAGCAATTCGGCAGCACCTAAAGCACCTCGAGAAGCGCTGTCAAAACTTTCCAGATGGTCTAGACGACGAGGCTTCTCAAACCATGTCCATTTCAATTGACCAAGCCCTATTTAAGTCAATATCCGGGATCCACGCTATGAGTTTCGTAGCATATTACCTTGAGCGAGAATCGAATAAATTGCAGCCTTGAAAATAACAGTATATATCGAAATTAGCGAGTTGATTGATAGTCCATAAGGCCATTGAGGTAACGGATGACCATTATATGGATACAGAGTTGCCATTATCGCCAGCAGACTACCAACCGCCAAAAAACAGCTTGCTGTCTCCCATTTCCAGTCAATCAATGCTCTGAATTGAAAGCCAGGTCTTGATGTATCTGACCCCATATAAGATATGAAACCAGTATCCTGACGGTTGTCCGAGGCGCTCCTATTATTTGGAGGTACATCCGAATCGGGCGATGAGCCTTTCAAGGGCTGGCTTTGGGTAAATTCAGCGAACTCGATAGCATCACCCTCGGTTTCTATTCGTTCATGTGAATGACGTGAGTACAAACCATGAGGGGTTTTTGGTGTAATCGAAATAACGGTCGAGTCCGAATCCTCGCCCATCTTGTTTCGTCAACCAAATTATCCTAGGCCGAACATGAGGCTGTCCAAAGACATGTAGCAATTAGAACCGGGAGAATACCGTTCGACCAAAATGACGCCTCAAGTGGTTGGCAATTTATGTTGTTTTCATAGTGGTAGCTCAGAATAACATATGGAAACAAAAGTTGCGGGGTGTCAGATGTTGTTCCCTTGGGGCAGAAACGGATACCTGCACACCCTTGTCATTTTCAGCCTCACCGTCTCTTTCAGCCTCTTCCTTCTCACTTTTAGCTGCATCTAATACATGGGCCAATTTGAAACATCCGTCACCCTCTCACAATCGAATCCGGCCCCGTTGCCAAGACACGCATACGAACTTACTTTGCTATTCAAATAACCACTGGTCAGTGTGTTATAGGATGTGTTGGAAATAAAATCACGTGACTAGCAGAATATGTCGGAACTAAAACGTAATACCATTTCACCAAAAAGGACGCCCTTAAAGGGAACTTGGTATTACGTTTTAGTTCCGACAGGATATTTAGCATGAGCTACGACGGTCCACTGTATATTCCCAGCTTTCTACTGTCGGAACGTGAATATCAAACCTAGCGCGTTTCGGCACTGGATATCAGTTAGTCCAACGCGGCACGTGCGTGCCGCGTATATATGTAGCTAGCTATCCCCCGTCCCCCTTACTCTTAGCCTGGCAGATGGCGTAGTGGAAAGCACCATCCAGGAAACACCTACTCGATAGCTATCTTACTGATTACAGAGTTGTGGGCTCGAATCCCATGCCCGGCACTCCTACGGGAGACATTTTCCACACCCCTCGGCTTTAGATTAGTACGCAACCTAGCCGATTGACAGTTCGTGGGACGTGCCTTTATGACACGATTCACGGCGAATGCGCACCAGCGTCCACCCAATACCGCCCGAAGCAGCTATGTAAACGCGCCGAAGGCCCAAAATCTACATTAAGACGTCTGTATGTATATAAAGTGCTATATATATGGATAGTGAAACCCAGGACTCACCTCCTGGCGGCCTTTGTCCCACTAGGGAATGGGCAGGAACCATGACAAAAGTCATGGCCTGCGGCCGTTAAATAGAAACACACACACACACACACCCCCTTACTCTTGGGGGGCAGTCATCAATATCAGGAATTCCATACCATATTGATCAGGCTCGTCAGCTCGTCGGATTAGCTGTTCTACGTGTCTAGTGCTAGCGACCTAGACGTAGATAAACCGACATCTACTTAGCTAACCATATCCTCTGGATTCCTCGTGCGTTAAACATGCTCATTACATCGGTAATCTGTAGCTTTTTGGCATATGCTGTAGATCAGATGAAGTGAAATCTGCTATGCAGGGGTGACCAGATATTGTATGTTTCGATTTGCTCGGAGATCACAGCATTCGGTATGATTTGAAATGCTGTCAGTTACTCACTCCTGTCGAAGATCGAAGCCACTCCGAATATCTCGGTACAGTGACAATGATTAATTGGTAATAAACATGTATAATTATCTCCAATACTGAACGTCTTGAGCCATAACTTGCTTGTTTTAGGGTTTAATGGAACCAAGGTCACATGCCGTCTCTTGCCCTACTTTCACTCCTAAAAACGAGCAACCTCCTTGATTATCTACCACTTTGTATTATAGAAAGATACTCTCACTAATAAAGGCCTCCTGCAAGATATCCATTTGACCTCGGTCGACACAAGTGATACGCAGACGGCTCGCTTTGTTCTTTCTGGTATATACTCCTCGATAGATAAATAGCTAGAGGCAGGTTCGGTTTTGGGCTACGAAACTTTTTATTCAGAAACAAAGATCAACCTTTGCTGGCTAATAAAAAGGCACTCAGATTTTAGTATGGTTAGTCCTGATGAAGAGGCTGGAATATGTTTTGATGTGCGGACGTCGATCTGTACCCCTGAAGAGGCGCGAGAATTAATAACTCCATTCACACACGGTCCAGTCAGGCGATATCTGGAAGAACTTTGCGGTCCTATGGTTATCTATGGGTGTAGTAGTAGGGATAGGGAGTAGGGAGGTTTACATATGAATTTTGAGGGAGTATAGATGCCCAAAGGTGTTGGATTGAATTCATAGTTTCTTTCCGCTAATGATAATACACAATTACAGACCACTTCATTATCATAACTTCCTTATGTCGGCGCCACTTATCCCCAACATACCCTATAATAGATTGCAAAAAAAAAATGTGTTCTTGAAACCTCGAGATTCGAAGGGTAGCAAGTTTCAACCCTTATGTGCACGCCGTAAATTCTCTGCAAACGATTGATCAGTTGCATCAGCGCATCCATCAAGCTCAAAAGCAACACCAAGAACCTCTCGCCAAGTTTCCTGTTCCAAAGCTCGTTCAGCAATCCGAGCGTTGCTTTCAGTTTGAAACATGTACGGCGGAAACACCATGCTCGAAAAGATTTTATCCAGGATAAAGTCGTCCAGTAGACCTTCATCTTCCGTCAAGGCTATGTACAAGATACCGTGTATGAATCTAGCGGAAATAGGAAGTTCGCGGCTTTCGGCTGCACGTTTCAGGACAGGATCAGTTATTATCGTTGGAGGTTCGATGGTGCAGGTCACCCCTAGGACAAGCATATCCCCGCCATCGACGTAGTTGGTAAGTCCTCGAAGTAGTCTTCTAGGCATGTCACTCATCCGCTCATCTGTTGGAACGCTCTATTCTCGGGGGAGATATCACAAGCTTTGCAGTTGCAGACGAATTCCAGAAACTCATGTCGTTCTGTTCTAGTTTGAAGGTTGAGGAATTGGTTATAGCAAATTGTGATCTCCTCGCCGGCAGATATGTCTCTTGTCGCAAAGCTTGGGACAGAATCCTTTGTAGTTTTAGCCAAGGGGACTCTAGCGTTTGGGATGCACGAGTGGTTGAAGCGTGATTGAAGGAGAAATAAGCCTCGTCGCACAAGTTCACCAGTGGTGCCCTGCATTTTTCCAGTATAGGCAGCGTTTTTATGTGTCACAGTAAACTGATTCTAGAGCCAAAGATCCATGACATATTCGAAGGACTGGCTAAGCTTCCGCACCTCCCAATCCAGTTAGGCGCATCTCGAGTGAAGCTTTCTCTCCTCCACGAAATGATTTTGCCCGAGGTTCCTTCCACGCCCCGTGTCGGACGACTTGAAAATCTCCATCAGATGTGACCAGGACCAGGGCCTTCTCATCTACGTAACACCCGTTGATTGAATGATCGCATCCTTCATTTTTAAAGCGCCTCCTACAAATAGAACCATCACACATTCGAGCCATGCCACGTTCCGTTCAACACTGGCCGGGGGGAATTCCCAGTTCCATCAAACCACACCCAGAAACGGATTTATCTTTGGACCAGATCAAGGAGGAAGTCAAGGGCTGGCTACTCTTTGTACAGGTATGTCTTCACAGAATCTTATGTTTGCCAGCCACGCCTGCAGTGAGTACTAACTTGTAGTCAGGAAAATTGGGTTCCTGCAGCCAACACTCGTGCTTCCAACGACGGAGAATATGAGCTGCATCAAAGGCGCCACCTTATTGAAAAATGGGTATCGGCCACACAGGAACTTCGTGATGTGAATTCAACCCCCGTTAAGTCTCCCAAAATTTATTGCATCAACTAATTCTTCCATTCAGTCATACCAATCGCGTGCGCCTATGCCTGAAGGCCTTCAGTATCCAGCCGAAGCATTGGCGCATGTCAACGACACTCTTCGGCCAGGCGATATCAACGGCCTGGTTTCTATCGCCTCTGTCGACGAGGCCCATGCTGCTAATCGGGCGCGATGGGTCAAATTCGCTATTCTGTTGTATAACTATGATATCGACACCGGGCACTGTCTCCTCGATAATTACATGCCCTCAGAGGCTATCTTGAACCCAGAAACCACCACCAATCCTTCGATAGAGGATTTTCTGTCCTGGCAGGATTTGGAGACCGCAAACTTCATCAATATCTATCTCACACATACTGGCACCGTACTCAACTACGGGTATGCAGGCCCATATATACTGGTTGATGAAGAGGGTCTGAGAACTGGTCGTTTGACAATGGTCGAGTATGAAATAAATGGGACTGTGAAGGATACTCTTCACATCTGCCCGTTCAATATGCGAATGCCATACACACACGCTTCGACGCTTGGGAAGGGTCTGGATGAGATCCGTCATGTTCAGGGTGGCTATACATACCAAAATCTGCCGTGAGTATTCTTGGGTCCTGCCCATGCAGACCAATGGGATTAATGAAAAATATCAGACTTGACATGGACCTACCGATCATCGATGTTCTCTGTCAAGCCAAGGCTGCTGACCAACTACCACAAACGATGAACTTGTCTTACCGAGAGCAATGGATGGAGGATGTCGAGCTTTATGCTCCGGGCTATCTGGCCCTCGAGGCTGAAGGGCGTGCGGGAGAGTATTCCATACACCGTCTCACTAGACCAGACTCCGTCGAGACAACCAAAAAACAGATTTGGAACAGGCTGCGGGCCGACCCGAATCTCTTTGCCCCCAATTTTCAATTCCTAGGCTAGTTTCAAATGTATCATTATCTTCACGATGCCTTTTGAAACCGATGTTCCAGACTGTTCCATATGTTCATAATTCTCTTCTCCGGTACATGCAGAAGAGCCAAATAGAAGGAACGAGATCCTCTTCCTCAAAGGACACAATTTCCTCATGTTATCATACAAAAAAGTCAATTCGACTACTCACGTTGCTAGACACGCGAACTTGTATCTGAGTTTTTGATGAAAAATCTCAATCATGTTCACATCGCCAGCAATCCACAGCAGATGTTCTGGAAAATCGATACCTTCATCACCATGCCTCGTAGTAAAACGTGATTTTGGGATCCTTGATAGCTGATACATATACCTCTAGCCTAAGAGCCTCAGCTTCTATTTTTGCGCCTGTCGGGCAGTGCCCGAAGTAATCTAATACTTTAGATTCTCTATATTCAGGGCCGGAACAGTGTTCGATGCAAACGTAATCTTTGATCTGCTTTCACAATTCTGTTCCAGACCAACTAATAGCAAAGACTCAGGGGGTAACCTTGTTAACTGTAAGTGGTGCACCTTTTGACTATTTCATAGCGTAAATAAGGACTAGGTAGATGGCAATATCTTACCTAATACAGATCACTACCTCAATGTTTATAACTCAAGTTTACGCAGGTAGGGTGTGTTTAATGTGGAGTAACTTATCTAATCTCTCCAAATATGAATACCGCCAGCAATTGTCTTCTAAGATCAAGTCTCAAAAAAGTGTCGGAATCATCTGAAGAGCCTGTGGATGACCTCCTCGGCTTCATTGAGGGTCCACCAGGAGAGTAATCCTCTCTTCGATGTTTATCGATATCTTTTAAAATATCTCTATGACTGAGCTCACGTTTCGTGTTATCCACAATTCGCATGGGGTCTCATGTATTTTCAGGTATATCCACATGGATTCCCCAGTATCTTCCTGGAAGTTGTTTCTCACCAAGACATGCCAATGCCTAACATGAATACTTAGGTATGACTAATTGGATAGCATGATGAGAATAAGCTTAGCGACACCAGAAATCTAATACACAACCCCAAGTAGGTCTATGAATGTATTAGGGGTTTCATTACTGATAGCGGGATATAATTCAAAGCTAAGCTTATCCATCAATCAAGTCTCTATGTCCCAGTGGTTAAGGAGTCCGGCTGTTATCAGCACCTGCGAAGGTTGCTTGCTACCGGAAGATCGGTGGTTCGATCCCACCTAGGGACGTCTTTTTTATTTATTATTTATTATTTTTATTTTTTTTTTTTCATTTTTCCCACTCATACTTGATTTTATCTTTCATCACTGTTATTGCGTACAGTACGTATGTGGTACTTATTTATCCGTGTATTTATCTACCGAGTCGATCTACTATTTACTACCACTTATCCGGAAATCCCATATCAACTCCAAATGGCGGCGCAACATATCTCTTCGACTTCCCACTGGCCTTGAGATCGTCGGCATATTTCTGAAGCAACACAACATCCTCAGCATCCAAATCAACCAATTCCCTATTCGCAGTAATACGATCGGGGTTAATCGACTTAGCAAGAACGACAGAGCCACGGGCCACTACACAAATCAGCATCATCATCATCATGATCTATGACAGGGGGTGAAGAAGGAGACATACAATGCCAACTCAACAAAACCGTCGCAGGACTCACACCCATCTTCTTCGCAATCTCCACCACCGGCTCAGCCGTAAACAACGGACTCCCCGTCGATCCCAGGGGACTATAAGCTTCAATCAGGATGCCCTTTTCCTGACAAAAATCCACAATTTCTTGCTGTGCTAGTTGGGGGTGATTCTCAATCTGGTTTGCAGCCGGTACAATACTTGCTTCGGCGAGAAGGGCTTTTAAGTACGGCACGCTGTAGTTTGAGACTCCGACAGCCTTGACTTTGCCTGTTGATGGGAGTTTTTCCATTGCTTTCCAGGTGGAGATATGGTTGTGGCTGTGGATGATGTCGCGGGTACCGTCGGGGAGTTTGGGGAAGAGAGGGTGATTTCCTTCATATCATCAGCGAAGCTTTTCGACAAAAAACGCAAAGAGAAAGGGTACCATTCTCATTCATCCTAACAGGCCAATGCACCAAATACAAATCCACATAATCCAACCCCAAGGCTTTCAGACTCGTATCCAGACCTTCCTCGACACGATTTGCGTAGACGCACCATAATTTCGTGGTGACGAATAGGTCTTCGCGTTTGACCAGGCCATCGTCAATGGCGGCTTTGATCCCTTTGCCGACGTCGACTTCGTTGGAGTAGGCGAGTGCGGTGTCGATGTGGCGGTATCCGACTTTGATGGCGTGGTAGACTGCGCGTTGGGTTTCCTCGGGGGTGGATTGCCATGTTCCTTTCAGTTGTTAGTTAGTAGTTTAGATTGAGTAGACTTATAGGATAGTACCTAGTCCGAGTGCTGGGATCTCTGCCCCGGTGTTGAGTTTGTAGCGTTTATCTGCGAGAGCCATGATATATACAGTACACAGTATGGTTTTGATTGATTCAGACTGAGAAACAGAATAATTATTCTATTTATTTACCCCGCGGACAGGTGCCATTCAAGCCCCTCAGGTAACCCCATCCATTTGGAAGTTGGAGCTGATTACATCGGTCACTTCTCCGGTAGCATACGGGTAAAAGAGCCCCGGCTTAGGCTATAACTGAGCGACCTCCACCATACAGATGACTTTTAGATCACAAAATCGAAACACACCAATGATATTCAAATAAAAACATCGGAAACCATTTTCTCTCTCCCAGGGTTAGGGTCAATCTCCTCCCCCGCACTCCCCACGCTCCATCCCACACTGATTCGTTACTCGGAAACCATTTCTCTGCTCTACAACTCCTTGAGATGAATTACTTCTAGAAGGGATCCATATTTCGTTCCTGTCTGCTCAGTGATACCGGTAACTAAACTGACTCCGAAGACGGTCAGTTTGTTCTGGAGGCGAATACCCGCTTTCATCATGATCAGCCGGCCGTATGTATGCTGCTCGGAAAAGAGCTACGCAGAGATGCAAAATGGAATCTGACTTCCGTGTTGGAAATTTCTGATCATGTATATAAATTGTGATTCTGACTACATGTCCAAATCAATAAATCAATATCATCAAGATCATAAGAAAACAAAATGGCACCAGGAGCAACCTTCCCCACCGCAGCGGCAGCAGGAGAATTCACAAAACGTGACGGCAAAGCCCTAGAAACTCTATCTGACAACATCGACGCCGTCAACATTCTCAAACCTCTCACCACCACCACAACCACCACCACAGAAAAAGGCCTTTACGACGAAAGTGTCTTCGACAAAACAAAAGACAAATCCCAATTCCGCCAATACGAAACCGCCTGCGCGCGCGTAAAATCATTCTATAAAGAGCAACACACCAAACAAACCGTAGCCTATAACCTACTTGCACGCAACAAATTCCGCTCTTCGACCAGGGCTCGGATGAGTGTATGGCAAGCCATCGAGCGGCTGAACACGTTAATCGATGACTCCGATCCCGACACATCCCTAAGTCAGATCGAGCACTTGCTACAATCCGCCGAAGCAATCCGGCGAGACGGAAAACCGCGATGGATGCAATTAACCGGCCTAATACACGATTTGGGCAAATTGTTGTATTTTTTTGACGGGATTGCGGAGGGCCAGTGGGATGTTGTCGGTGACACGTTCCCTGTTGGATGCGCATTCGATGATCGAATCATCTATGGACGGGAGAGTTTTGTGTCGAATCCTGATTATGGGCATGAGGTTTATGATCGGGGTTTGGGCATATATTTCCCGGGTATAGGGTTGGATAATGTTATGCTTTCGTGGGGGCATGATGAGTATCTCTATCATGTTGTCAAGGGTCAGTCGACTCTGCCGGATGAGGCGTTGGCGATGATAAGGTATCATTCTTTTTACCCCTGGCATAATGCGGGGGCGTATGAGGAGTTGATGAATGAGAAAGACAAGGAAATGCTGAGGGCGGTTAGGGCGTTTAATCCGTATGATTTGTATAGTAAGAGTGATGAGTTGCCCAAGGTGGAGGAGTTGAGGCCGTACTACGAAGAGTTGATTGATGAGTTTTTTCCGGAGAGGGTTATTAATTGGTGATTTTCAGAAATAATTGATTCATTCATACTCATACAGTACATGATGGTTGTGTCATCCGAGAAAGAAAGTATCAACATGAAGTTCAAAAGTTCAAAAGTTAAAACATGGGTATCATCAAGATCAGAACCTGTCAACGAAAATCAGGAATGATCGCCAAATTCACTAATCACAACCTAAAACCCATCCCCCTCAGGCCACAACCCCTGCCACTCACGATTTAAAGAGTATTCATATTGGGTAACTCCAACTCCAGAAGAGACCTCAAACCCCTCGAGATGAACTGCAAACTCGTGATAGCCCAGTTCGTTCACCATAGAGTCAATGTCATCTCCCTTATTGTAGGTGTACTCTGCATGTTTCTCCAAAGCAGTCAGACGACGTTCTTCGCGTTCTTGGAGGATTGCCTTAATGATATCCTTTGTCAAGATCCCACTATTGCGCATTTTTTCAGTAGCTTCACGAAGGTGTGCAAACGGTAGAGCAAGGAAAATAGCAGATGCATGCGTGCACTCAGGGGTAGGGATAGGAAAGTCGCCGAATTGCAAGGTTGCTAATAGTGGATTCATGTTGGAAAGACTATACATGGAACGTAAATGAACAGGAATACGATCATGCAGATCATTCGCCAAAGCAGCGCGGTCGAAAAAAAAGTTTGAAGGTAGGTTCTGCACCAAGAAGTCGATGGTAGCAGATGCAACTCTAGGAGCGTACTTCTCGACCAATTCAGTGTTCAGATTGTCAATGACGACTGTCTTCTTGTGTGCCCTCTTCCCGCGGATTGACCGTCGCTTCTTTCTTTTCCCCTTGCTGTCCTTGTTGTTGCTGCTGCTGCTGCTGCTGCTGTTGGTATCCTCCTTAGCAATATTTTTGAGAGGGATCCAGGCCAGCAAAAACTCTTCAGGAAAAAGTCCAAACTGAAGAGCGGTCTCAAGATTGCTCCAGTCAAAAAGGCCCACAACAAGTTTGAAAGCTGCGTCAACAACGTCTGGCTGGTTAAGAAAAGCACCCGTAGCCCCATAAGCCAAAGCCAAATCCATGGCTGTTTTCTTCAATTTGTCAGGTGTGTATCCATCGACTACCTCCACTCCAAGAATTTGATGAGCAAAGTTGTACACATTCCCCAGCCCCAGAAGCTCCAACCCGTACAGATGTTGTAACGCAAGTTCAAAACCCCGAGGAGCAGAGAAGCTTTCTCCCGCGATTATGTGAACTGTTGTCTGTGGCATTGACTCACGTTCGAGGATCGCACCGACGACAGGGCTCTGCGAGACGACGACCCGATGAACATCTAATATTGTTGTTGGGAACGGGTCGCTCTCGTTTGCTGAAGAGAGCTGGATCTTTGCATCCGAGTACTTGCCGGAGGCAAAAACATCCACCATGTGAGGTGGCATTGGCCACGAGGGGGGAACTAAGTGAGGTTAGTCAAAGCTGAAAGCAAGCCCTAATCTGAGATGACACTTACCCTCACGAGGAGATTCCCCCACTCGTACCTCTGTCGTCCACCCCCCTGGGTCTGACGCCGCATACTCTCTCAGTCCACCGATAGGCGTGTTTATCGGGACGATGTCTGGAGCGAACATGCTGGAAGATCTAGGACGAGGCCTGGCTCTAATGACATCGTCCCTCACTGTCCGAGCAGGCATCTGCTGCTCTGTCCAAGAGGTCTCTTCCTCTGGCCGTGAATATGAGAGAGGCGGCGCCACCAAGATGGCGGACGGACGGGTTCCTTGTTGTGCGATTCCTGGGCACCTGAAAAGTCAGTATGTCAAGTCAAAGTCAGGTCAAGGACAAAAGAAAATACTCACTAGGTGCCCCAGGAAATGCGAACTGGGACCCGTCCGCCACCCCGGAGGATCTCGTACCTCCTGGTAGGAGAATCGACCTATCCACGATGATATTAGCATGGTCCTGATAAGAGCGAGACGTCTCGAGGTGATGAAGAAGTACAATATGATGTTGTCAGCACCCTTTTTTTTTGTTTTTGTTTTTTCCAAATTTTTTCTTTGTTGTTTTCATTTTTTTCATTTTTTCAGTGTTTTGATGTAATCCTCAAAGGGAAATTACATGCAATAATCGCCGCTCAGTAGTAGCATCGTCCAGAAAACAGATGCTCGCAGGAGCTGATTTCCAACCTGAGGCAAGTCGTGGTGGTGCTCCTTCTGCCTCTGGCAGATTGAACAGATCAAAGGACTCCTCTTCACAGATCATGTAAAGGAATCTCGACATGATGATAGGAGATGAGAAAAAAGAAATAAGGGAATAGGGAAATAGAAAAGAAAATGAAATACGATCATCTGCCAAAAAGCCAAGGTGGTCGTGGAGAAGTGCACACAGACAGAGAGAACCCGAGGGTGATGAGGAGAGGAAAGGAGAAAAGAAGAAAAAAGTGGGTGATGACCTACTTTATATGGCGTCCAGAAGGGCAAAAACTCTGCAGGCATTATTCTTTGAGTCTGCTGACGCTGCAGAATTTGATGATAATGATATCGTTACTGACAATGTCGTTGAGGGGAGGATGAGATGTCGTGAAAAAAACAGGGAAATTAAGAGTATGGGATGTGTACAGAGAAGCAAATCAACTAATGAAGCTATTCACAGAGGCGTCACGTATTGTCGTGGTAAAGTGGAAGGGTGAGAAAGAGGAAGAAAGGAGAAGAAGAGAAGAAGAAGAGAAGAAGAAAAAGAAGAAGAGACACACGACAAGAGAAATATATAGGGGGGAATTTGCCGCCAGGGAAACAAGAGATGACCTGAAGGCGGAGAGTGCTCAGCTGTTTGATATGAGAAAATTTCTGTTTACCTGGATGACTAACTGGGTGACTCCTCAGTTATTGATGCTGCTTTGAGGGGGGAGGAGGTGGTGGTGTGAAATGGCTTTGTTGGGGATTGAGCGGTGGTCATTGTGAATGTGATGGCTATTTACCACCAGACAATGATAGATAGTGATAGGTTGGGTTGGTAGTATGTTTATGTTTATGTTTATGTTGATATGATATGGTGGTGCCAGTTGCTAGACGCGTAGTTGGTATATCAGACCAAGTCTGACTATGATGAGTCAACACAGACCTTGATACACATACAGCAATACAACCAGAAAGACAGATACGAAGAAAGATGAATATGTATAACAGTATATTCTCGAATACAAACACCTGATATACAACTATACAACAGTACCAAAATCTCTCACGCCATGGATATCGCTGGTATGCTCAATGAATACACGGAAAAGTAAGTAGTATCAAACGACAAATCTGCTGTCAGCCAGAAGAATAATGAGAAAAAAAAGAAGATTAGATCATCCCTCCCTGCACCTCAGCAGCAGGAGGATAATTAGGCATCGTCGGAGTCGCCGCCATCATCGCCTCTTGTCGAGCTCGCGCATTCATCGTCCCACCCTCACTCTGCATCTTCCGTAACAAGCCCGGTCGAGATTCGTTTGCTGCTACCGCCTGGTGGTTGATATTATTATAATTATTCATAATGTTGATATTACGGGCGCGTTCGTCATCCTGGCTGGTGCGGGTTGATGATGGTGCTTGTGAGCGGTCACCCTTGATTGCCCCCAGGATCGTCTGTGTGGTTGTTGTTCGTCGACGGCGAGGATTCATTGGTGGGATGGGTGGTGTATTGGGCATGCCGTTGCTCAGACTTGCTCCAGGTGGTAGCGAGACCATGGGAACGTTTGAGGTGCTGGAGACAAACGTGGGTTCTGAGATTTGGGATTTTGATATTTGTCTCTTTGGGGGACCTCGTTGAGGGAGGGATCCACTATTTGTCGAATCTGAACGGTTGGGCATGTTGGGTGAGTCCCGTCTATCGTCAAGAGGAGGGGTAGCGTTGGCTGAATATGGAGGAACAACAGGTGAAGGTCGTGGGGACGTGCCGATACTGCTGGCATCGCTTTGGGGTGGGATGATCTCTAGGTGCGAAGGTGTACCTGTTCGACTACCAGAGAGGACGTACTCGGTGTCTATTGATGGACGCATGGGAGGTGTTCGTGTGTTTTCACCATATCGACTCACTGTATGTTCCGCAACCATGTCGAGGTCCTCGCGAGGCGGCGGTGGACGGCTTTTGGATCGTCCCGATGCAGAGGTTGACCGGTCTCGTCGATAGTACGAAGGCGATTCAGGTCGACTTGACCCAGAATCTGGCCCCTCTTCACTGCCGCGACTAGCACTGCGAGAATAGTTTGCTCGACCAGATGCAGTGCGTGCAGATGCAATGTGCGGCGAGCTCAAGTTGGAATGATTGCCTAGGCCACCAAAACCATGGGTCAGCTCGTCATCCCTCCACGAGTCGAGAGAAGGTGTAGATGCGTTCATCAATGGGCCACCAATACCAAGCTTCTTCAAAGCCTTAGAGGACGGTGGGGTAGGCAACCCGTCTGGGACATTATTCTTGTTCCGGTGCTTGAGAAGGGAAAATCCATTTCCAGACCTGGGAGTACCAGTATCAGGGGTATTAGGTCCTGGGGCTGGGCTATTAGACCTGCTACCAAGTCGAGTCAGATTTTCTTGAACCCGTCGTCGCCGTTCTGCGAGCTCGTGGGCAAATTCTTCACGTTCCTTTTGTGTTTCAAGACTGCTATCACGATGATGGCCGAACCGTGATTGTTCTTCTTGTGCATGAGCGCGTGTCTCGGACTTTTCAGCTTCTTGCTGCTCGCGAAGAGCAGCCGCTTGTTCGCGAAGCTGCTTAGCTCGTAGCGCAACACTTGAGAATCCAGAAGTTGGTGGTGGCGGTGGTGGACCAGTAGGTGGTTCCATCGGCGATGAAAGGTCTTGATGAGACGGTAGACGAGGCGAGGGCAAAGGCAAAATGGACTGCGAACTATCCTGTCTCAGATGTGTACGAATCATGCTGTTAAGCCCCAATCCAGCTGGTCCAAGTGTAGGCGAATCAATAGCTTTGTCGGAAGTTTCTTCAAGGATTGGCGATGGGGGAGCTGGGTTGGTGGTTTCTTGTATCGGGTTCAAGTCGTGTCCTTTACTTTCTGGCACTTCAAAAGATTCACGAGTCGAAGAAGGTATACCGTCGGAATCTCTAGACGCAGGCCGCGAGCGGAAAGCAGGATGAATACCATCAAAAGACTGAGACTTTACTGAAGACATTTTCCTTGGAGGTCGAAGTTCATCACCAGCTTGACTTTCACTGTCGCTGTTATCTAGATTCAAGAAAAAAGTACCGTTGCTACCGGCAGGTCTTTGTGGAGATGCCTCTCCGATGCTGTGGGTCCCGTCACTATAGTGAGATGAAGCAGACTCTGCCTTGGAGCGATAACTCGTATTGGATAATCCTCGTGGGCGGCCGGCGCTTGTTTCTCCTCGCGAAACGCTGTTGGCTGGAGATTGACGAGTGGTAGGAGTAGTCCCCGTACGGTTTTCGTGCATCTGAAGCTGGCGGCGCATGAATTGTTGTTCGTCATAAGGACCACTCGGCTTATTGAAAAGTCCCATAGCTGTGGCTTTACCCCGATCTTCGGGATGTAATGCGGCGGCAAGAGTCGTCATTTCTTCAGTATCACTGATAGGAGGGCTCAACGGAGGGACTGCTCCGTAAACAGGAGAAGCAGTACTACTGCTGTCTGAAATTCGGTCTGGTTTTGGGGCTGCATCTAGAGCTTCGGATAACGGCGAACCAGTCGAATTTACTGGGCTGTAGGTGCGGTTCGCAGATGATGGAGTAGGTAGAATGGGGGATATACCCTGGCGTCGGTCGTGGAGATTAGTGGCGCTTCGGGAAAATGTGCGATTGAGGCGAGGAAGCTCAGGAGGCGCTCCTGCGCGCTGTCGGCTGAGACTTTCAAGACGCGTCAAAGCTGATGATTGTTGATCTTGAGCTGCTTGTGCAAGACCTTGTCCGTAGAGGCGGCGCGTCTTACTGACGTGCCCATTCAAGTTACCGGGGATTATCCCAGTAGGCTTGGGGCCGTTCGCTACGGGTTGATTCGAGGCGATTGGTTGCTCATCGATAGAGGTTGCTGCAGTTGAAGTGCGCGGATTCGATTGTCCGGACGTCGTGGACGAAGAGGTCATCCTCTTTGACAAGGATGTTGTATCCTCTTCCGGAGTCAACTGGACTTCATCCACTGTCGATTCCATGGCACGCTTTTCCTCTTTCTCTTTCAGTCTCAATTTCTGAAACATGGATAATGTGATATCATCTTCATACACCGTCCTGCCTCTCATACCGCCTAGATCTTTACCAGAACCACTGACAGGAATTTTGTACACTTTTTGTCGTCCACCGAAAAGATTGTTTCCCTCTCCAGGCCTCTTTCTGTTCATCACGCTGCCGTGTTGCCAGTCGTCATCCGTCCCGTCTTCAGCGGAGGCATACGAATTAATCCTCTGCGTTGCAAACGATGACCGACCATCAATCGACGAAACTTCCGCGATATCAGTCAGAGGGTTAGGATTATGACCGAACAAATTGAGTCGCGACGCTCGCTTCGGGAACAAGACACTGTCGTCGTTGGCTTTTCCGACTTTTGTCGTGGGATCGTCCTGTTCACGGAGCATGCTAAACCGAGCCGAGAGGTTAGGCATCAAAAGACTGGTGCGAAAGTTGTCGGTTGAAGGGAGAGCAGTGGATAAGTCGAGCTCCGGTTTGACTTCATCCTTGTTTTGTTTTTTTGATTTTGCCGATTTCCCCATGAACGAAGAGGCAGGCGCAGCCTCGGTCTCTTCGACATCTTTTCCCTTCTTGCCCTTTCTGAATCTATTCATTTTGACCGGTGGTATCGGTTGGCTCGACCGGCGAACGGCAATATGGAGATCTCCTAACGGTGGGACTCGGATTGTGTGACTGTCGACGATTAATTAATGTCATGTAGGAGAAGAAGAGCAGAGCACACCTTCTCGGACATCAAGAACTGATTGACCTTTGTCTCTTCCTTTTCTTTCTCAGACCCTGATCCGGATCTGTTACGTTCAATGTCAGGTCTCAAGTGTGTGGACGAATAGCGGATGGGATCCGATCAGAATTTCATGCTCGATGGAAACAAAGCCTGTGTCTCGAATTGGTTGACAACACACGAAGCGCTGGGTGTACACAATGAAGTCGACCTGGTGAAAAAAAAAAGAAAGTTGTTTGTATGCCGCGTAGATTCTGAAACGATGCGAAGAATGTGGGTTGCATAAAGCGACTGCCGTACGGGGATCGAAAGACGGATACCCACAAAGAAAGACAGTGAACAATGAATTGAATCGACTCGGCAAGAATCAGTTCAGCAAAACAAGAAATAGAAAGCAAAAACAAGCACTCCTTAGAAGTCAGGACAGTCAGGGGGGAGGAAAGAAAGGAAGGAGTTGAGAGACGGATCAATAGTTAGTATCGATATCGGATATGGGAGCACTAGTCACGCCGGCCAATGGAAAAATTTATGTGGATTGGAGGATGCTGATTGATTCTGATTCTCCGTGCGATTGTAACTAGTAACTATGTATGTACTTAGTAGTCTTAATACGAAGTACGTGACTAGTTATCGTGATGACCGAATCCCAGCTGCTTGGGTTACTCAGGAGCAGGGACCACCACAGGGATTTCATTATGTCTGCTGTTACACAGCTGTAATCTTGTTAGCGCGTACGAGAAAAGTGAAAGGAAAAAAAGAAAAACAGAGAGAGAGAGAAAACTTGACAGGCAAGGCCGAGAACACAGACGATCAGTGGGATAACGGGGCCAACGGGGCCAGGCTTGACGAAGGTTTGTGGTTTTTGATGAGAATATGAGATTAAATGAAGTACGGAGTGGGGAGATACTAATTGGCGGAGACGGTACCAGACGATGAGAATTTGTACATTAAACCACCAATTGTATTGTTTTTTCCGTACCAACCAGTAAGTATCAACTGCCATTGGTTCAGTCGATTGCAAATACAACGGCCAGGTATGAAATAACAGAGTAAAAAAGAGGCCGCGGGCTTGGTGTTGTTAGTCAGGTCGCCCCTTGCTTAGTGAACTTGGCACTGCTTACCCCTGGGAATACATACAACCATACGCCTTGTACGCTATTCATTATATTATAAACTAACTGCTATAGTTGGAGAATAGTTCTGATCAATGCTTCTGGTTCTTAAGAGGAGATCGAATCGCTTCATCTTCATCTTCACCTTCATCTTCACAAGATATACGATATAAGATATAAGATATAAGATACAAGATATAAGATACAAGATGTATAAGATGTAAACTCGGCATTCGAAACGCTGGAATCTGCCCGGGGCTCCTCCAATTACCGGGGATGCTTGATTGCGTACCGGCTAGCCCCGTTAGTCCCAATTAGGCACAGTCCTTAATAACTTCTAGTATTATTTTTTATTCCATCACAGCGGGTCGTCCTTGGAAGAATATATTAATTGAAAGTTTGTCCTCCCTTCTGTATAAACAGGTAGGAACTGGGTTTCTACACGTAGTCTCCGTGCTCCGTATAGAAACGAAGTTTAACCTCTACGGAGTACTCCGTATATGATAGATGCCTGATCTGGGTACTCAGGGCTGAGAGTGAAGCGATCAGATCCATAAGGATCTTGCTTCACGTAATGATGATATCAGATTCCACAAAATTGTTTATTCGTGTTCAACAGTTAACTATTTTTGTTTCTCAGGAGCCAGGAGTGTACAGAGTAGTCACTCGCGTGGCATCCCTTGCATCTAGTCACGGCTCTCTACATACTCCTCCATGCATAGCCAGTACGTTGACATGGTGACCACTGGAATGTCTCTCTCCATCATGACCTTCTCTCGTATTTCATGAAGCAATTCAGGCAGCCTCAAAGCCAAATCTCTCCATGTTTCCATGTTCCATGTTTCATGGATGTCTGTGTAATTTTGCGTATCGGGATGTACCAACGAGCCGTCCAAATACGCACTAACCTTTTTCAGGGGGACGTGCCCCTGACTAAACCGTTTATGGGAAAGTCAATGCATATATTGATTTTGTATTGGTCGGTGACGCAGAACTATTTTCTATTGGAAGCGTCGCTCTGAGTCTCCGACTCAGAAAGACGAAGTGGAGGCTTCAAGAAGACTCCTCAGTTCAAATGCACAGAGACGAGAGACGAGACGCGCAATCTGTCCTCTGTAGACCAAATTTGCATCTAGGTCTAAAGACCGTTATACAATTCCTTGCTAGATCAAAGCAATCCCACCAATCACGCCACAAATCCTAAACGAGCGAGGCTGGACTAAGGCGATCCGACCAACCGCCTTTATTGAATGACTTGATGAGGCGGGGATCTAGACTGAAGGAAAAAGGGTTCGATCACGTTAGTCGTGCATACAACCCAGCATATGCATGTACCTGTACTTGAAATTTGAATTAGTATTGGTCTAGAGGATGGCTGACGGGTGATGCTATCAGTCACAATACGGAGTACAGATGGTGCAGAGAGGGAAGTACGTACCAGCATCCATGTCTTTTGGCCCCTCAATTTTGTCTGACGGTGCAACTCCGCGCAATGTCGTCGGTAGACGTGTGGACGTAGTCAACTTCTGTCCGTGAGCCTAACTGCCATGCTTCCAAGTTCCGGTTGGCTCGCTCACTTGACATGGACGGACTCAAACGCTGACGAGTCTCGCAGAATAATTATAGACGGTATATCTGAATTTATCAATCTCTTGAGCTATGATTACTTTGCATGCATGCATGCATTCGATGCTGCATTGTGTATCCATAAGTGACTTAACTCGGCAGTTACACTATTTATGTATATGCTTTTATCAGGCTGTTTTCAAGATATATATATAGCGAGATAACGGATAACTAGGAGTCTTTCGATATGCGCCGGCGACGCCCGTTTCCGCGTCCCGGTTTTTCCGCGTGTCGCTAAACCGTTTGTGGAAATCGTCGGCTGGATCGGGTCTAGTGGCCGTCGACCGGTCCCGATCAGGGATCGCGTCCCAGTCACGTTCGGGTGCGAAGTATATAAACTACGAGTGCGTCGCTCCACGACCACCGTCCTTCTCCTTTCGCATTTTCCTCGCTCGGACAATGGCGATGTCACAGGCAGAAGCGCCGGACCCGACTGAAAAAATTGGACGCCCTCCTTCTGCCCCACATGCGCTGCCATACAGGGCAGTGTGACGGTGCAGGTTGCCAACAAGGATGGCTCTTCCATTCGCTGGACTGGTCAGCTTCTTCCAAATCAAGCGGGACGTTCTCTGAGGCGATGGGGATGGCTGAGACACATTGCAACCCCAAGACGTCACAATTGCAGGCAGCCACCGAGAACCTCGCCCTGATGGTTGGCGCAGTGCGACGAATGAACGATGCCAACAGGTAGTCATGAGTGGAACGGCAGTCAAACAGATGCAAGTATTGGTCTGAGTTGAATAGCGAATCCGTGAAGTACCCTGTTCATGGCATTCAGCTCGGAGGGGCTCGTGACCATGGCAGCAGGACGTGTCTAGCCGGACCGGTCCAAAAATACCTCATGATGTCTCACCACCTGCTGGTTAAAGAGGACAACGACCAATGAAAAACTTGCCGCGCGCATCAAGGCAGTCTCTGGGTGGATGTATAACACGTCAGCTGTACTTACCATGAGTCATCGCTGAGATTCTTCCCGCCAGGTCAATGGTCAGAGCAATCACCCGATGTGACCGTGCTGCAGTAGTCGTCTCACCATGATGAATCACAGGCCTATACCTGGAAGCGTTGCCAATCAGAAAAATCGCGCATTGAAAAGGTTGGATGGGATGGTGAAAGATGCGTCAGCTATGATAGCCAAGGTGGCTGGCTGAATCAAGTGATGATGATAGCGAGATTGGGAAAAATACGAGGCTGACTGCGTGACGTGCTCAAGCTGGGGAATTTGATTCCCGGAAGGGTAGAAGTGGTATTTCCTGCGCAAATTGCGGTACTCTTCTGGGATCGTCCCAAGGTTGGACCGGCGGCCATCGCAGTACTAAAGGAGGCGGTTGCCCGTACCTTCCACAGACATCTTTACTGCTCAATTTGCTGGTCTCGAATACCTACTCCTTTACTGCTGCACTTTCCCCCTTTCTCACGATGATCAATCTCGACGCGATTATCCCGTATCAACCCCCCTTTCCTTCCAAGCCGTCCAAATCTTCCAAATCTTCCAAAATCACAACACTGCCATCAAAATTCCCTCCATTGATTCACCCTTTACCACAAAAACCTGACTCATCCCCTATCCAATCATACCAGTCGATGCCCAACTTCATTTCCATCCCGGTCGATCAAGAGCAGACATCTCGAAAACCTTTATCCACAAATGCTTTCGATACGGAACTCGCCGCTTGGAGCGATATGGCGGTCAAGAATACCACAGTTGTGAGCACGACCGCGGAGGATAAGGGAGAGTGGCAACAAGATCGCAATGGCAGTGAAAGCCTTACAGATAACTCCGAAAGTCTATCTTCTGGTGAGTGTATCCAATTTAGAGATGCCAATTCCCCTAACGGATATCGAGAAAATGCTGACAGAGTGAGAACATCCTTCAGATATTCGAAGTGATAGTCCAAGTGCTTCAGTAATGTTTCAGGGGCCGGCCCGAGCACATTCGCCGCACGAAGAATCAACAAAACTGATTGACAGTTCACGACGGTACGGGACTCATGATTCTACCAGTAGGTTATCTATGGATTTATTGTGACCTTTTTTTCCCACGACTATACAGAATGCTAATCAATACGCAAAGATCCCGACTTACTAAGCGAAAACGCCATTTCAGTTGCAATCGCACATTCCGATAATGTGGAAGAGTTACACGTGAATGATTGTGCTAGCGATTTACAATCAGCAGAAACCCTAACGCATCAGCCCGATATTGATGTCAGAGGCAGTGGCCCAGAGAGCCAGGATATTCCCAGTGAGGAAGGGGAATTTACCCCAATTGCCCTCCCTCTAAACGTGATTTCAAGTGTGAATGGGGAAACTGGCCTTACACAGCAGGACCAAGGCGATGATCCAGATAGTCTACACTCATGCGAGGGTGATCATTCGACCAATGAACCAGCCTCCATCCAGTCTCAAGACCCGGCACCGTCGGGGTCTAGTGAACAAAACGAAATTTGTCACCGTGAAAACTGTGCAGTCCCTATAGTTATACCTGCAGCACAGTCTCCCAAGCCACGCAAACGCCCTTATCATTTGCGCACCGAGACGCAGACGTACCGAACAGATCCACTAGATGAAAGTGATGAGTTCGACGACTCAAATGATGATGATTACGTCGACCGAGCACAGCATGTGGAACACCGGCGCCATTCCACAAAACGACCAAAGTATCAGCCCATCATCAGTAGCGACCCAATGGAACCAGAAGCGGTTGCAGGTTTCAAGCTTGGAGACTTGTCGCTTCCAAACTTGAGGACTGTTCAGCGAGGTGTCCTGACTTGCGAGTTCTTTCCATCACAGATTATGTATTCCTTCTCGTGGGCAGAGGGCAGAGGGTGCTCGGATGAATGTTCACCTAATAATAATAACACGCTTAGCAAAGGAGACAGTCGGTGCGAAGTGAATAGCACACAGGGATCGGACCTTCATACATTTTCAAAAGATAAGACCACCAAAAAAATAGGTGACAACCAACGGACTAGTCACTTGAACACTCGACAGTCAGGCCTTGGAGAAAAACGCAAGCACAGGAAGGCGTGGACCAATGAGGAAGATGTTCGCTTGAAGCTGCTGAAAGGAAAGGGCAACCTGTCCTGGTCGCAAATCCTGAGGCACTTCCCCAATCGGACGGAGGGCGCGCTGCAGTTCCGATACTCCAAGTTTCTCAAGAATTCGACCTCGAGGCCGTCCGTTATACCTTCACATGATGTGACTGATCGAAATATCACGCTCCCATCGTCGCCACATTCAAGTCGTCACCAACATGGGGATCGTCCTTCCCAATCTGCAACAGAGTCGACGCTTCGTTCGCGATATGGCCCGGCTCGGTGTCGACGAGCTGTGGAGCGCTATTCACCGTAGGCATTTTGTGATCGACATATTTGATAGGATTATGCGACCTCAGCTAGACATCCATGGTGGCTTGAAAATTGTCATGAGTGACATTCAATTGAAAAGCCTGTCATGGAGTCTTCCAAAGATCATGCTTTGCTTGGCTCACGATAACGCACGTGTCAATCAGGCGTATCAATGAAGAATATTTGAGTGTGCTCTAGTTAGTGCTATGGAAACATCAATCACATGTGGTAAATTAAAAGCTATTACAGAGCTCATCTGACAAGGCTGATCCGTGAAAGCGAGTTGCTCTCTCCAGCTGAGACTCCGTTGACGCAGACAAGTAGATAAGGAAGCCACGTCCCCGTTGAATCCACATTGCAGGAATACAAATAGTCCGTTACCAATATTCTTGACAAGAGAATTTTCTACTTCGAAACTTCTTCGTTCTCCCTTGTATCGTATAGTTGATACCTACATCAATCTGCTTAGAAGAGCAACTCCACACGATACCGATTGAATTCCGACCACTTGATTTCATTGAGAATGTGAGATTCATGGAAAACAAATCGATTATTCCCATACTAATACTGCCTAGATAATGTGCGGAATTGTTTACCTGACCTTTGGCTGCGGCCATAGCGAGCGAACCACCGAAGCAGTGTACTGCAGTGCCTACGGAACAACTATCTTTCCGTGCTATTCTTATACGTAGCCGTAAAAGGTATATATGTCAGTGCTCGGATCGTCTTTCCACAAAAGATAATCTTCTCAACCGAGGATACAATCGTCACGATATGAATAGTGCACAGGAATGGAGGTAGATCAACTCGAAGGGTATTTGGCCGTCAGATATTCGGGATGTTGATACAGCGCTGCTCGGTCTTCGGCGCTAATATCTCGTGGACGTCTCTTGTCAATCCAGCAACTTATGCGCCGCCTTCTCAATATATATGGAGCAGGATCCTTCTGTTCTTCTTGGATGCTGAGTAACCTCGCAGCCCAGGGTCTGATGCATTCTTGAATTACCTGAACCTCCCTTGGTTTTTCATATATACTTCAGACGAATACTTTTTCTTCCAATTGTCCACACTAAAGAGAAAAATATTTCTATCTCCAAGCAAGTGAAGCTATAACTCCACCAAATTAGGATGGCAATCCAAACAAGACTTGATAGGGGCCGTGCACTGAGGACAAGGATATTCGTAAACTTGACCCTGGAGCTTGATATTTTCCACACATTCTGTGCATAGCAGGTGGCCACAACCGAGTATCTGCCAGCTTGGCTTAGACCTACGGCAGATGGGGCAGCTGAGGATGCCTCGCTTTTTCTGTTCATCAATATGTCGTCGAAAAGCTTCGATCCGTAGATTTGACGTCCGCACCTGCCCTTTATAATGCTTCTTAGCTTTTTTTAATTGGCGGATTTCTTCCATCAACTGGTCATTTTCCACTTTTAACCGGTTGCTTTCGTGATTCGAAGCCTCATACTGACGGCGAATATTTTTGACAAACTGATCCTACTAATTGTAAGTATACAGTAGGAAAACCAAGGCAATGTTCACTCACAAGGTTGGAATTGAAATCCACAGTGGTGGTGTCTTCTGTTTTTCGTTTGCGTGTATTTGACGATGTAGTGGTCGCATATTCTATCATATCATGATATCCTTGATAAGTATAATCGATCGGGCCAGCAATACGACGTCTTGGTCGCGACAAACGTGCGTGACCATCCTCCTCGTCACTTATTTCAATAACTTGCGAAGAACGAGCTGTCGCACCTCTGACCTCTTCACTGGGAGAAATTCGCTCACTCGGTGATTGTCTCGGAGACGAATCCTCATCAAAAGGAATGGTGGAGGGGAGAGAGTCAGGCATAATCTGTGTGGTAGCCTCAGCAGCAAACTCTGCTCCGTGTGTGAAACCTGGGAGATTCGAGTTGTCGATCTGAACAGGGACCTGTTGTTGCTGTGTCTCCATTTTAACGGACGTGTAGGTATCTGGCGAAAGAATCAAGAAGATAGAATCGTCCTACTGCACCGGGAAGTTGCAGCAATTTATACCTTCTCTGAACCAAAATCTGTCGATGGATACTCACTATTCAGGGGGGCTGAGCAATCCAGTTCTTGTCATCTCAGGTGCATCAGATGCAACGCTGGCAGTGAAGTGGAGATGAGCAAGCTTTACCATAGTGCGATGCAAAGCACCTGGTCTCGCACCTCCAATCAAATACTAGGACTGGCCACATATCATGTAGCACCACCGCATAGTGCATCCCTAAATAGAACATTCATAACCATTGAATCGCACTGTAGCTCATCCTAATCAAGCAGGAGAGTCTGTCATGCGTGGCGCTGCGATATCTCTGACCATGGTCCTTTGTTGACCAGTCAATGTATTAGCATAACATACAATGTATCCAACCAAAAACCAGCAGGTGTCGCACCCAGCCATGCTTCTTTCTCACACTTGCTATCCAAAAATGGAAAATACTCAGGGTAGCAGTGGTATCTCGATCATTGCAAGGCGTTCTCGCCTTATTGATCATACCTTGAGGAGTATAATATAGCCAGGATGTCTCGCAGATAGATCCAGGAGTTCAAACAAGCAGCCATGAAACCAGCTTCACAATTATGGTATCCCGAAGTGTATACTTTCTAGGGGGCATCGCTACATCATCAATTTGACAGAGTAGCCATATCTCCCGCAATGGATGCAAATCCAAAATCGAAGTCATCAGACGAGAAGCTATTATTGAAGAAGATTTGGAAGCACACTGATGGGAAGTTTAGTTGTTACTTGATTCGTGTTCATGCACAGGAGCAATCATCGTGGCTGGTTCCTTCATCAATAATTGGGTACGTACAATCGTGCATGTGTTCCTGAGCAGACAGAATCTGCTTCGAAATGGTCCTCAATTCCTGAACAGCCACCAGCCCATGCTCAAACCGTACTAGAATAACCTGATAGCGAGTCACTACCACCAACTTGCCTTACCATGTACTTCTGCTTGATCCATGATTGGTTGTAACATCGCAGACACAGTTCGGTTTCGGCATCCTAGAATGCCAAAATACTTGGTGGTCCAACTATATAAAGGCCTCTGTCCGCACTTTCATTCTGTTTTCCTTTTACTTCTCCCCATCATTAAAAGAAATCCAGGACGTCAAACCAGAGGTATAGTGCCCAGTATCACCGAGTGAGAAACATACTAATCGCAGAGAGTACTAGTTTTGTGAACTCACTCCTGTGGTAATACAAGCAAACATGACAAGCCATAAATCGCCAACTCGACAGTCTGTCTCAGAGTCGTTTTGCCGCTTATCCTCAAAACGAAAACAGGAACAATATGGGAGTCCTTCGGTCCAGCCCGCTTCAAAGAAACGATGCACAATACCATCAAGGAGTTGCCCAGACAAACCAATCCCCTCAATAGAGATAGAAAGTGACTCGCAACAAGATATTACGGTCGAGGAGGATGACGCAGATTGTGAACTATGTTCAACTCCCATATTCATCCATGAAGGCGTATTCATTGGTTTTTGGTTCGCAGATCAGAGTGGAAATGGGAGGCGACCAGTATATTGCTTAGTCAACAGAGATTTCGAATTCGCATATCTCAAAGGAAAAACATTCATCCTCGTACGATACGACGATTTTGATCCCCTAGACGAATTTGGTGACTGGCTGGGCGATGATACTGAAGACGAGGACGCCATGAGCCCAGAAGACGTGAAAGGGTGGGTGCAAATGATGTGGGAGATCAGAAACTATGCCGGGATCCAGGACATGACACTTGAAGATTGACTAATTCTGAAAATCAAGGCATGTAAGAAGTGACTAGCAAGAGTCAGATCTTTCCGTCGTACAGTTCTAGCGATAAGAATTCGAAAAGGTCCGGAGCACATGTGAGATAACAGAGCATATAGGATGGCAACTCATATAGGGACCACGATTTTCCTGGCTGGTGATGGTTCAGAAAATCATGGATTATAGAAGTCGTGGATAGTGAGAAAGACTCGTGGATCATTAAGTGGGTCCCATCCCGATCCTCGTGAGCCACGTGCCTAGCTAGAAGGCGTTAGTGTTCCAGATTAGGAAGCTGGAGTGGTGTGGCAAGAATGTGGCGCCCTTTTGAGACCCTAACGTCTCGTAGAGCACCTCACATACATATTATTACGCAGAAGCTTTTCTGTTCACGAAAGCTGTCTATTTATAGAAATTGTCTGTCCGCAGAGGTTGTCTGTCAGCAGAGGTTGTCTGTCAGCAGAAGTTGTCTGTCAGCAGAAGTTGTCTGTCCGCAGAAGTTGTCTATCCACAGAAAGTACCTCTGAATAGACAACTTCGCAGGCCCTAGAAGTTTTACTCCGCTGAAACTACTCCACTTATGGTATGTGATCCGTAGCGTGACTCTGAAGTGTGTCACTGTCAGTACTGGAAGAACTATTCTCCGTGATTTCATGCCTCAGGCATCTACAACCGCATATAGTGGTTGCTGTAGCTGTCAGAGATCTTGTCAAAATCCAACTTATCTACGCCAAGTGGGCTCGTCTAGACGTATATTCATATACCCTAGCTTGAAATAACCAAGTATAATATACTAGTCCATTCAAAGACCGTACTGAAAAATCCTGAAGCATGAGAGAACCCAAGGATAACAGTTAGACTTATATACGTTGTATTCTTTGACTGGGCAGAGACACCAAGGAGCAAAGACACTGAAATAATGCACAGACAACCATAGTTACATGAAGAGACCGTCTAGTGTAAGGACTAAAGAGTGCAGATACTTTCAATTAATGCAAAGACACTAATTTCATGTGTGGACACCTTGGTGTAAAGGCACCAGTTTAGTGAAAAGCCACACTATGTGTGGGGACATCATGATATAGAGACACTAAGAAGTAAGAACACCAGAGTGGCAATACACCTCAGTGTATCTATATCAATGTGACTCTGCGCCACAGTGCCCATACATATTCGTGCCTTTACATTCTGGTGCCCTTGCACGTTTTTGTCTTGGCACTGTATAGTATCTACATCAAGTGAATGCTTATGCACTTTATTTGTGTATTTACTTAAGGTGGTATCACAAAAATTAAGTGCCTAAGCATCAAAACCCCGCTTTTACACTGCTTTGGTGGTTTTACACATAGTGTTCTTGCACACTTTGATTTCCAGCAAGCTTAAACCTTTTCCTTACCATAAAATCTATCCATCGAAAACTTGCTTATAGCGTTTAGGTGGTCATTGTAAGAAATGATTATTTAGAGCAGTTTAAACGGCCTATTGAAGCATAGTAAGTCTAGTGTGATCATAGTTTCAACAAATTCATAGGCAGCTCACAAATGAAAGGTCATTTTGAAACGTTGAAGAGACCTCATGACCGAAGGGGCAGAAGGTACAGGGCCTGTAGTTAGTGGCAGGTCGCATGCCCTGCCATAATAGTCATCATCTAAGGGCTGGTGTTCTTTTCGCTGGAAGATGGTCAAGGTCTAATGACGTAAGATGTGTACTACAACATAATAGTATAGTTATATATTTACACAAATTAAGTAGGGTTGTATTTTTCAACGATGCAGTTACATTGTTGAAATAAAAACACGGAAGTGAATGGTGGTACGAAGTTGAACTAAGGGCCACCGTAATTTATATCATCATATGAAAAATATGGGGTGAAAACATTGTTCACCACTACGCCCCACTCTTAAACATGTTTTCTTACGGTAACACATCGTATAATTGACCAGTCATTTTCGTCCATTTCCTTATCATAATACATTAATATACATACTAAAAATTACAAAGGGCGTTTTTGAAAAATTTATTCTACTCCGTAGTATGTTCTAGAACGTTCCTGAAACAGATCCACTTATGACGTATTTCCAACCCTCGCTCTAATATTTCTGATGTAGCGATGGGTAAAAACCCATTCTAGCTAATTCCATAGTCAACCTCTAACAACTTGTTTGTATACTTCTTTCCCGCACTAGCATAACAGGTTTAGTGTAATGTACTCAATCTTCTGCAGGTCGAATGGAAAAGGTGATCTGCTCTAGAGTAGGCAACAGGCTAGATAGGAATAGAAAATGGATTACATGACAAGGCAATAAGTTTTGCCAGCCATTTCTCGCTCATTTGTTATGTTAGAGGATGCTATTTCAATGACTCGCAGCTATTTTTCACTGAGTCCATTATAGGATTGAATTCCCAGGTACTTATTCAATCTATATTGTTTGACCAATCTCCCAACCCATCCCAAGACTAGTCACACAGAACTGCTGAAGACCCAGGATTCCCTCGGTATGGTGTAAATCTTCCTGGGAATAGCTTCCTAGGACTTAAATACTAGTACTGACATAGTCCGGGGCTAGACTACCTAGTTCCTGCACAGTGTTAGGAGTAACTTTGTCACAGGATGGCCTTCCTCAAACAAACGCTGTGCTGGGAACGTTGACTGCGGATGCGGGGTGAATCAGGGCTATCAACCTAAACCCACTATAAACACAGGATCACTGGCCCATGGCCGGGATGGACTGAGAGCCCTACTTGACTGAAAGCAGTACATCTATGCTCGAGAAGGACCTAGGACCATGGTCCTAGGCCCAAAACCAAGCGGGGCTAAACTATTTTTAGAGATACGCCAAGACAGGTCCACACCAAGGTGGGGGCATTTGACAGCTGATTGTGGGCCGTGGTTCGGCCCGGTTCTGCATCCGCCGGGAAGGATTAGGGGATTAGGATTTAGGACCTTTCAAAAGTTGATTTTTCAAGAAACTGCAATACGTGGGCGCATATGCATGCTATCTATTTACGATATTGTAACGATCCTCTATAGGCGCCCTTCCCATGTCGGTCTGTTTACGATATCGTAGCAATCCTCTGTAGGCGCCCTTCCCATGTCGGTCTGTTTACGATATCGTAACGATCCTCTATAGGCGCCCTTCCCATGTCGGCCTGTTTACGATATCGTAGCAATCCTCTATAGTCGCCCTCCCCATGTCGATCTGTTTACGATATCGTAGCAATCCTCTATAGGCGCCCATCCCATGTCGATCTGTTTACGATATCGTAACAATCCTCTGTGAGCACCCTCCCTACACCATTTCTCACTTGCCTATTCTCGATAATCGATAATATTATAGAAGTACTAGCTCTCAGGTAGCTATTCCACCGTATATTATCTGATCGAGATTCCACTTTGGTTCCCCTCAGATAAGGGTCCAATTTCCGATCTTTCCACATCTAGACTTTGCCAGAGCAACTTTTGGCATGGAGCGATTTTCTGGCGTAGGAGCAATCTTTAGCGTTAAGCAACTTTTGGCATAGAGCAACTTTTGGCATGGAGCAATTTTTTGGCACAAAGCAACTTTTGCAGATATTTTTTGGGAAAACGACTTTAGCATGGAGCGATTTTTGGGCACAAAGCAACTTTTTGGCATAGGGCAACTTTTGCAGGTATTTTTTGGGCAAACGACTTTGGCATGGAGCGATTTTTGGCACAAAGCAACTTTTTGGCATAGGGCAACTTTTGCAGGTATTTTTTGGGCAAACGACTTTGGCATGGAGCGATTTTTGGCACAAAGCAACTTTTTGGCATAGGGCAACTTTTGCAGGTATTTTTTGGGCAAACGACTTTGGCATGGAGCGATTTTTGGCACAAAGCAACTTTTTGGCATAGGGCAACTTTTGCAGGTATTTTTTGGGCAAACGACTTTGGCATGGAGCGATTTTTGGCACAAAGCAACTTTTTGACATAGAGCAACTTTTGGCAGAGAGCAACTTTTGGCACAGCAATTTTTGGCCTTTTTTACAATTTGGGTATAGAGCAATTTTTAGCGTGAAGCAATTTTCAATATGCTGAAATTGGTCTTTGTCTAGCCTGAACTGGCCTAGACAGAAATAACCGTAGAACAATCACCATAAAAGTCCATTTTAGCGAATAGTGAAAAGTCACCTTTTGAGAGAGGTAATCTATTCTAAACCACGCTTTGTCGGCACTATT